CACAATTTATTCAACTTTATTGAGATAGACTTATAATATTATGTTGATATAAAATAAACATAAGCTGTATACTGTTAGTTCATTTATGGTACAAAACCTTAGTGAAAGAAACCTTTAACAGAGTACTTAATTTATTATTTTCACCTTCTTTGAGTGTTCAGATCAAAAGAACCTCATCAACAAAAATAGCTTTTAAATATTATATGCTTATAAAGGCTATTTAATTTTAAAAAGTAGTATAAATTATTATACTCAACTCGTATTTATCTATAAAATGTATCGTACTTTTTTCCTTATTTATATTACTTGCATACGTTTTATAATACAAATACCTTTTAGAATACGCTTGATAAATAAATTAAGTAGCCAAGAGTCAAATTATTGCTGCATTTTTTTAAAAATGAAACATTAGTTTTATACATAATTACATATATAATGTGTTATAATTTATCAAACTGTGTATTATATAGTATAATATTTTACGTTTCTTACTAATACTATTTTAATTAATATTTTATGCGGACTCCTATTTACTAAAATTTTCTCAAGGAAAAACTTAATTTCTTTGTATTGAAACTCTTATTTTTTTTTTTTTATCATATCATTCCAACCTAACCTAAATGTTTGACGACGGTAGTTGTTTTTTTACACTATCCCTTAAATATGAGTCTAGTTTTTTCATTTAATCAATTTTCAGCATATATTTAGTAATGCACTCAATTAAATTTACAGGGAGCCTGTAACACCCTGGGATAAGTCGCAAGGACATAAAAGTTCATCTTCACATATTTTGATATTGACCACAATTGCTGCTGCTACATCTTACACTATGTCATTGACAAACTTCTAAGAACTTTTAAGGTAAACAATATCAGTATCAATCGGCTATGATACTCACTACAATTTTAAAATTTCGAATGACAATTCAACTACAAATAAATTCTAAGTATAATACATAAATAATATTATTTTAAATAGATTAATTGAAAATATCAGGTGCCACTAAATATATCAAAATCTTACTTACCTCTATTAACATTTTTGAAATCTTATAACTTTAAAACAAACAAATATAAATATATAAGAGTAATATTAAGTTTTTAGTCAACATTATTTTTAATTTTATATTCATTTATATGTGATAAATTTATTAGTTTGTAAAATTATTACCTATTACGTATTAACTAATGTAAATAATATACATAATTAAATATTTAAGTATTATATTGTAATTTTAATTTAGCATAGTATTTACTATTTATTTCATTATAATTTATTATATTTGACGATACTCTCAGGACTATTTCATATATGAAATTGATAATTTTTTATGAATTATTTATTTATTTATTTTTTGGATTAATTGTTAGATGTTATACTTTTGATAATTTGTAATGTCTAATGTTAATAATGTCACTTTGTGCGAATTTTACATATAATAATATTAGTATAAGAATGTTTATAAATACGAGGTTTTAACCTAAATACCAAAATTATTGTTAATTATAACTTACTTTTTATTGAATTATTTGTTTAAAGTTTAATTAATTGATTGTGATTTATATATGTCTTTATACTGTGATCATAATTTATAAGTCATATATAATTCATAGTCAATCTTAATAAATACTTAACTTACTTAACATAAACAGATTTAATTATATAATTATCCTGATGCGTATGAAGCAAATATTATGGGGGTATAAAGGGGCGGCAGGAGTTATTTACCACCCCAAGTCTTAAATTAGTCTCCTAATCACTTGAAGCTTTACTAAATATCAAAAATAGTAACTTTGCCATGATAAAAATGAGTTTATTCCATATTATATTTATATAATATACAAATAATTAGATTAAATATTATTTAATTTGCACAATAAGAAATTTTACAAGTATTATATGTTCATTAAGCCCAGCACTTTTTGTAATCGTAACTAAAATATTAGAATAATCATTTCAGATTTAAAACCAAATCTAAATATTTACAAACGCCGTCTTGGGATCAGATTTGAATGTTTCATTGATTTTTGCAATTTGAGTGTAATAATTTTTTTTACATTTTTATCGTTTCTCAACGTTTTTAATTTCTTAAATTATATATATTTCTATGACTCCTATTATTTTTGTTTTTGCAATACTATGCCATCATAATATTAGCTTTAATGCAAAGCTGAGAAGTTAATTAATTTTACTATAATGTCTTTTAGCTTGTGAGAAGAAATTTCTTATTCATATTAAAATTATTTTATGATATGGTTTTTTTTGTGACTATCATTTATTTTCTCAGCTCTGACTTTACTATGATGTGATTTTTTTTTTGTCTGTTCCACTTTTTGTCAGCTCTCAATGAACCGATTTCTTTCAACGATACGTCAAAACACGTAAGTAATACAATATAAATTTGTAACAAAACAATCTCGTAATTGCCAACGACCATACCACGTTGAATACACCAGTTCTCGTCCGATCACTGAAGTTAAGCAACGTCGGGCGTAGTTAGTACTTGGATGGGTGACCGCTTGGGAACACTACGTGCCGTTTGCAATTTTTTAATTATTCGAAAAATGATACTCCTTTTACACTATTTAAGAGATTTAAGTTTAAATCGTGAAATTTAATTCACCAGATATTTAAATTGTTTTTTTTAATTAGGATTTAATATAAATTATTGTGTTCGTAAAAAATATATACTATATTTCAAATCCCTATCTAACTTACTGCATTTTTGAAATTAAGATTCTTTAAAAATTCGATCTAAAAAATAATACCATAATACATTTAACTAATGAATATCTTAGAAAAATTAAGTTTAAATTATTTTTTAAGTTATTAAGAAATAGAAGCAAAAAGTGAAAAAAAAATTTTAAAAATTGCAAACGGCACGTAGTGTTCCCAAGCGGTCACCCATCCAAGTACTAACTACGCCCGACGTTGCTTAACTTCAGTGATCGGACGAGAACTGGTGTATTCAACGTGGTATGGTCGTTGGCAGTTACGAGTTTGTTTTGTTACAAATTTATATTGTATTACTTACGTGATGTATTTACCGTCTCCCTATGAAAAATTTCTATACTGCTAGGGATGTAGGGGTAATTTTCTATTAGGTTGGTTTATGATTTAATTATCTATAAAATAACTTAAGTTTGACCTAAGAGACAAAGAAAATTTTTAGAAAAAACTTATATATTTACACATATGTAAATTTATTATGATAATATAATATTTATATTGCATATTAATACATAACTTATATTATAGAGTGTAAATCTCTTGAACAGTGTTTTTTTCTTCATAAATCTACTAAAAATTTTAATTCTCTATTCATTTCATATTCCGAAATTTGTTTGAATATAAAATATACGAAATGATAAGTAAAGACATCGTGCATCTATAAAAAAAATTTATATTGATTTGATCATTTTCAAAAGTTATGACAGTTTTAAGAAAAAAAATTTTAAAAAACCCAGCACAGGGGGGTCGCGGCACAGTGGTGACGTGGCATAGTTGGATCAAGTATAATGATATCTGACAGTGATTAAAATCACTGTAAAAAAAAAAACGCTTCGATGCAAATCTTTAGATAGTGTTTTATTTTAAAAAATTGGTGGATTATTCCAAAAGCTACATAATCTGCTAGTTCCTTATTTATATCCTGATTAAGATAAAGTATGTCAAATGAAAGATGTATATAAATACTACTTCTCATGAAAAAATTGTATTGATCCATACATTTTTCAAAAAGTTATAGCATAATAAAGTTAAATATGTTAAATACAAAATCGAAAATTTTCACACAAAAATAGCATTAGGTAGCCATTTTCACCGTGAAGGCAAAATAAAGTCCGAAATTTTCTTTTTACATAATAAAGTAGATTACATTAGCTTTAATTTAAGATATATATAAAAGTGTCAGACTTTCCGGAACACTATCAAAAGTCAAATTGAAAAAATTAATTTTTTGTGAAAAAGTTGTCATTTTAAATTCCCCCCTGTGGGCAGGTAAAAGGTCAGATATAAAAAAAAAATATACCAAATGAAAGATAATGATATCATGCATCTATATAAAAAAGTTATAGCAATTTTAAGTAAAAAAAATTGAAAAAATGTTGAAAATTAGCGATTTTTAAATTTGTAATTTTTTGGAGATTTCCCCCATTTACGGGAAAAGAGGGAAATTTTTTCAATTTTTGAGGGTAGTGACTTCGACTAGATACAATTTGTGATCTTTAGACGTATCATTGAAAGAAATCAGTTCGGTGAGAGCTGACAAAAAGTGGTAACAGACACAAAAAAATACACATCATAGTAAAAGCAATACCTTCTCAGCTTCGCATCGAAGCTAAAAGGAATATTTTCAAAATTATTATTAGTTATAAGTTAGTCAAATTTATGTTACCTTTAAAAAAATTTAATTTAATACCATTACAAAATTATGGATGGTTCTAAAAATAGTTTTAAGTTCATAAATCAAGATTTATATATTAATTATGTACAACTAAAAAAAATGAATATATTTGTTATTAATGTCAATATTAAGGAATACCTAAAAAAATGGTAAAACACTGGATTTCAAATCATTAAGTTAAAGGTGTAAGTAATATGTATCCCTCTTATTATTCTTTAACGAAAGGAACATAAGAAGAACTATTTTGAGATACTAATTACTTTTTTTTTACTAGTTTATGTGGCGCATTTATTAACCATTAAGGAACAATATTTACTAGATAGTATTATATCACTTGAAAAATTATTTGCTTTGCAAAAATAATGAGTCACTTATGATACTAGATATACTATATTAAAATTAAATTAAAAATATTAATATGTTAATGACACAAAGAAATTTGAAAAAGTATTGTCATAACAAGCTTGTGTTATTGAAAAATCTTTTTATTACAAAACAAAGCACATATAAATTTTAAAAATTATCACATTAAAAAAAACTTGATTATTAAACAATAATTTACAAACATTTTTCATTTATCTATTAATTTTTTTAAATAATTTACTAGTCATACATTACTAAGCAATTATATGTATAAATGATTATGCAATACACTATAAATAAAAGATATTAGGGAAACAATTCATATAATCTTATTAAGTAATCAGATAAATCTGTTGTTTAGTCTATGAATAATATATACAACAGCTTACACAATGTTTTATTCAATTTAACAATATTTATTTGAATTTTTATAAATCATTCTTCAAAGATAAACTATTTTTAAAAGTACTTATAATGCTGTTATTTGATTGAGTATCTGACCACTGACTTGAACACGAACAGTGGCAACTACTGTTGGAACTTGACGTTGCTTCTATTAATTCATTTTCTTGAATCGATTTATTTGCTCTAGTATCTAACAACATCACATTCATAGTTTCTTCTAAAATACGTGTTTCAGGAAAATCAACCTAAAATCCAAGCAGATTAGAAATAGGTACAATATTTAAAAGTATTTTACCGACTTTTGTATGTTTCTTATCAGTTGCATAAACTATTGAAGTACAACAGACTTCTGCTACTTTTTTCACAGCACCTCCTGGGCCATAAAAAGTCCAGCAACAAATTTCATTAGATCCAATCACGTCCTTAATAAATAAACCACGTTCTCTATGCTTCTCGGCTAATTTATCAAAAAGTTCAATGTTTTTCAATAGGTTATCATCAGAAGCTCTATAATGTTAGTTTAAATAACAGTTAACATTTAACATCTCTAACAATAACAATATATTATATCATAAAATAAAATATTTACCCAGTATAAGAATATTTATTGTTATGTCGATTAATAGCAAATTTCACTACGGGCTGAAACAGAAAAAAACTATTTTCATCTGTCAAATATTTTTAAATAAAGTAATAGCAGTAAGGTAAATGCATATAAAATATAAATTTATAATAACACATATAAATAGGATTATACTAAACTAATTGACTATTATTATATATTAATGTAGTAACATGACTTTTCAGGTATAAATTACAAAAAATATTAATATTCATACATTTTTTACTTTTTAATTTTATGACTCTAAGAATAATCAATATTTTCAATGTAAAAACTAAAAAGTTAGTTAAAATAATTTGTAATTTTTTTGAATGATAAATGCACACAAATATAAAAGAAAGATTTTGAAAAGATATCAACTATCAACATAAGATAATGAATTGTAGAGTTAACTTATATGTAACAATATTCAAAAGTTAATTATATCATTTTTTTAGAAACAAAACATATTTCAGTTTTTTTGTCATAATTATTAAATAAAAAAATATATATATATATCATATTGACAGTTATAGTTAATTTATTTGATTCACATAAAATTCAAATTAATGACAAGAACTCATATAATTGAAATTGACCTATTTCAAATTAAATCAAATATAGTTGAAATACAAATTTGAATACAGTATGAAATATATCAAAAATATTATGCAATCTATTTATATTGTAAGTTATAGCAAAACCTCATAACTCAAAATTTTTATTTACTTATATATTTATTTTAATAAATATATATCATATTTTTATGTCTACTGACCTCTCAAGAAAAAATATTTCATTGTAAATTTATCGTATAAACACTCAAATCTTTTTTGTTATTTACAAAAGCAAATGCATATGCAAAATCAAAAAGATTTTTGCTTCTTCTTTAAAATTCAAAGTTACTTAAAAGGTTTTATTATGTACCTGACAATATATAACTGTAATTGTAAATGTTTTAGTATAGTTAAACTTTTATTAATATTACCTTCGAACTAACAGATATCAATTTTTGAGTTTCATTTTGAGATGTCGTCAACGTAACCCATGTAATATTTGTATTTTTGTTTCTCTTTTTTTGTAAGGCTTGTTCACACGCTTCAGATAGTTCAACTACTCCATAGTATTTTGCTTCAGCTAGTATTTCTGATATTTCAACACAAGATGCTGGAAGAGGAACTGAACCATCTCTCAAGAAATTCAAAATAGTACCAAAATGTTTACCACAACGATCAATGAAAGTCCAACCTAACATTAAAAGTGTAAAGTTTCATTTTTGATTAAATTCTTTAAGAAAATAATGAATATTACCCATCATAAATAAACTTACCTTCTGATTCAGATGATTGTGAAACATTTCCAGAATCTGTTAAAACAAGTTCTCGAAGTTTGGAGTCTAATTTTGTAAGTGTAGTTACAGTTGTATAAAATAGAGAACCACCAATATTTAACTTGACATAATTAGAAACTTCTTGTTTAGTTTCATTTAGTAGACCCATCGAAAAAATAAAATAAGTAAAAAACGTAAATTATAAATCAAATATCAATTTAAAAACATCTCATAATGAAAACTTTTACGTCGCAGTCATAAACATAGAAATACTATAAACATCACAATTTTTACAAATTTATTATCACAAATATATGTTATCATTTATTTATATCATTTCGTTTAAATAACGTAACAAATAGCGTAATATTATTATTCAGTATACCATCTGTACTGAGTAATAGTATTCATTAATATTTAGGTCCAGTCACGTTTTTACTATTACTTAAGAGTATGTTAATAAAAAATAAATGTTTGAAAATATAAGCGAATTAAAATTTTTTTTCAAACATTTGAAGAAGATAAAAAGCTTTGAGGGAAAGTTTAAAAATCAACTACTTGTCAGAACGATTAGAATAGTTTTTAGAGTTGTAATATTTTATTTATCTCTTTGAAGTACTATTAGTAAATACTGGCTTAACTATATTTAATTTTTAGATAAATTTTTACGAAATTAATGTTATTTAAATAATGATGTCAGAAGTATAGAGGTATAAATTATTCATGTGGGGTTATGAAAATAAAAAACACCATTCACTTTTCTGTATAAATTGATTACAAGTGAAAATGTTTAAAGAAAATAATTTTAAATTATAAAAAAAAATAACATTCCCATTTTTAATACAATTGCTCATTAAATTAGAGAATAATACATTCTATAAATAAGTTATTTATATGACAAACACAAATTATCTAATAACTCAGACAAGAATTTTTTATTACTTAAAATGTAGTCCAAATAATAAACTAATCCAATAGAAAATAGGTTAGCAATTTAATGTAAAGATAATAAAATTCCACAAATATTAAAAAACATAATAATTGAACAATATTTTTTTTATAATAATAAAGTATAATTACTTTATATCCAAAATATGAATAATTACATTTTTCTCATTTAAACTTAATTATTTAACAAATATTAAATGTAAAATAAAAAACACTTTTAACAATTTAATAAAAATGAGTAAAGTACTTAAAAATTATTTATATAGATTACATGAAAAATAATACACAGTGGTCCATAATATTTTGACAAATTTAATAATTTTGCTCCAATAAATATGCAATATTTTTTTTTATTGATAATTTTCAGTTTTGAACTATATTAAAATCATATTTTTAATTATGAAATATAAATAATAAAAAATTTAATTTATTTGTAAGTTATTAGATTTGTCAAAATATTCTCGACCACCTGTATATTAGGCATAAAAAAAAAAACACATTCCAATATCACAATATCAATGGACATTTTTTGTTCAATAAAAATTGGTAAAAATTTTTTCAATTAATAATTATTTAAATAAGATAGTAAATTGGTCAAAAATTCTATCAGTATTTTAAGTATTAGATTTATACAAATACATTAGAAGGCTAAATACTATATATTATAAATAATGTAATATAACAAATTAAATAATATAATATTTAAATTAATTATTTATTATTTATAATAATAATAATATTAAAAATATATTAATTGTACTGTTTATAGTAAATTGAGAATTAAGAATAGTTAAATCACCAAATTATGAAAATTCGCAACAAAAGAAAGTATTATTATACTTTTAAGACAACATTTAAAAGAATACAATAATATTCATAATAATTTGCATAAAAAATATCTTTCTTCCAATCACATATAATTTATTAAATGGGTGAAATAAAAAATAAATAATCCTTTGTTTTTATTAAAATCTTGGTAAAGATAATACAGATAATAGTACAATAAAAGAAAAGCATTTAAGTTCAAGAGAAATATAGCTGTGTAATAATAGTTGGACAAATTTAAATTATTTTTATTTACAACTCTTCTTTTAGCAAAGTATATCGATTTTTAGAAGGTGCCAATTTCTTAAATGTTGATTCAGGAGGCCATGTCTTTTGTTCAATTGGTTGATCATTATTTACTAACTCAGTAATTATTATATCTTGAGGACCTAAATGATATTCTCTATGCAATTTGCCAGAATAGAGATCATCAATAAACTGTTTTAAACGGTCATGTTGTGTGTAATCCACATCTTTTGGTAGTTGATACATATGTTTGAAACTATCAATTACTATTACTGGTAAGTCAGATTCTTGTTTTCCTAAATGTTGTAATGGATGAGCAAACTTTAAACCATCAGCTGTCAAAAAATTGACTCTCTCTGAAAATTATGAATGAAACATTTCCTATTAATTAAATATTTTTATGGTAATAATCAAGCTTGTTAAAAAATTTGGACTATTTACGTTTTTCTTCTAAGAGATGAGTGCTTACGATTTCCTTAAATTTTTTAACCGATTCAAGATTATTAGGGTTGTAAAAAAATATAAAGAATGGTAAGCCTTCTTCAGTGATTTCTTCAGCATTTTCAAATGTTATTTCACGAACCATTGGTACACAATTAGAAGTAGCCCAAATATTCAAAGCATCGTAATCTGAGGGTTCACCTTCAAATTTTAAGTGTTCTGATTCTGGAGAAGAATGATCTGGCCTAAATACAACTATAGTGTCATTTGATGTGAGACCATGAGATGCCCCAAATGATACACTAACAAAAGAGATAAATGTACTGAATTATATATCATCATATTTTAAATAAAAATCATTTTAATTGTAAAACATAATTTTTAATTACCCAATCCCAACATAAAAGCCACAATCATCTTTGAGATTTTTAGCAACTTTTTTAAACACATGATAATCCTTGGATTCTTTATTATGAATATAACCAACAATAACCCTTTTTTTTTCCTGTATAATCAAAAAAAAGTTATTTTTTCAACATTTATTCTAATAAATAACTAATACATTATCCGCTACTGAAATTTAATTGGGAGTAATGATTATAATAAATACCGTATTTAAATAAACCAGTTCAGAAATACATCCTATAATACAAATACCAAATACATAAATAAAAATAAATTTTGATGGACATATAATAATGTCATAACCTGTTTTCAATGCTAGATAGCCATAAACATCAAACTTAAAAAAAGTTCTTATAAAGAAAAGACTTTGTGCTTTTCACAGTGCTTTATGGTGGAATAATTCTTTTAAATTACTAAATTAAACATTTTTTTTCCAAAAATAAGCAATCTTCTTACATCGATAGTATCTTTAGAAACAACTAAATTTGATACGTCTTGAACTGGGTCTTCGAGTTGGTTTTGTACATAAGATACAAATGCATCAACTGATCTCTTACCCCTGTATTCTCGTTTAGCAGGTTGACCATTTATCAATACTTTTATAGTAGGATATTTAGTTATTTGAAATCTGGAAGCTACAGCAGCTGAAATACAAATAAAAAATGAATTATAAAACCAATTACTAACACTAAAAGTGTAACTTACTTTCAGTATCACAGTCTACTTTTCCTAGGACAACTTTGCCAGGTTGCTTGTATAATTCAGCAATTTTATTAGCAGCTTCATTAAATATTGGAGTAAGCATACCACTAAATCGACACCAGTCTGCATAAAAGTTAATTATAACAAGCTCATTGGATGCTACAACAAATAACCATAAATCAAATAAGCATTCAAAGAAACTCATAGTACCTAGGTATTCCTATAATTTTTCAATATGTAAGCAGTTAAAAAATAATATTACCATTTAAAAACTTTTAAAATTTATAATACTTAGGAAATTGTAAAATATTTGTAGATATTACATCAAGTCTAGTTAAAGAATCACACTGTATATAATTATTTTACTACAGTTACAATATTTGAAAAATGTTTCTATAATGTGTACATTTTAAAATGCATTTATTTATTTATTTTCTACAAAGAATGAAGAAAACTTTTTTTTAAGATATAATTTCAATTAATGCCATTATTATTTTAGTTCAAATCCAATAAAATCTAATATTTTTATATGAATATATCAAGAAATTAGGTAGAAGAGAAGATTTAACCACATATTTTAATAAAGTGTATAAACTTAAATTATATAACATTTTTTCCTGAGCTGATAAAAAATAAAGTAATAAAAATTATAATATTTATATATTTACTAACAATAAAACTTATATTAATAGACTTTGAATTCAATTTAAATAGATTATTTACTTAACTTTTGAGTATGAAATACTTTTGTAGTGCTTCTCTATATAAATAATATCACAAACATTAATAACTTTAATGACTATTATTTTTAGATAGGTATTTCTTGTAACATAATATTGATACATTAAACAAAATTTTTGGCTCTTTGAATTTTTCCATAACTAATAACCATTTCACTAATATGTTAGAATTAAGAGAAATATTGTAAGCTATGAATTATATATATACAATATAAAACAAAAAAAATAATTATCAAGAAAATTTTTTATAAAAATGATAAAATTACTAAGTAATTAATGTATAATTAAAACTGGATATTAACTTATGTTGATAACAAATTAAAAATTTCTAGTTAATTACACAAAATTGAACTAAAATGTTATTAAGAATAATTTACTATATCAATTCATACCCAAATAGAATTTTTTTTTAATAATATAATATAATGTTGTTTTTATATATATTTTTAACATTATTTTTTAAAAATTAACCCAATTTTGTACATTTATTGGTGGGGTAAAATTTACTATAAGACTTAAAAAATCACCTTTGCCTATGTATATAGTAAAATGTATTACATAAATAATATGTACTATCTAAATACCAATATTTGTTTTTCTATAACCTAATAGCACAATAAAACTATTTAGTAATAATTTTTTAGAATAAAAATTACCTAATGTCATATCAATATTTTTACTATTAAGAGGTAGAGCACCATCCACAATTTTGGTTTCAAGTTGCACATCTTCATCAAAATGTATACTGTTACTTTGTATACTATGGTCTAACCTACTTTTACATTGTATTGAATTTAAATGCAATAAAGCCTATTAGGAAACATATATAATTTATACATATTTAGATTTTAGTAAAAATAACATATTAAACTTACACAAGAGATCAATAATATAAACAGTATATTAATAAACGAAGTCCAGGAATTAAAAATCATGTTTTATAAGTATAATGTAGAAAACATTGGCACGAAAAAAATTCCAATGATATTAATTTATAAATAAATAATTGTCATTCAAATAAATTATAGCACTAACTTTCCGTTTAAAATTTGTAACTATTCATTAACAATTTAGACGTCATCCGGTAAAACGTAACGATGTTAATATCGACTGATAAGGCTAATTAGTACCCCTGAGGATTTCTTAAAAATTTGATAAGAGATATTTGTTATATTTAATTAGGAGTTGACCTTTAATGACGGTGATAAAAATTTATGATTTATAAAAATCAGAACACTAATCTTTTTTAGAAGGGGTGTTGTATACAAATTTGACATTGTAATTGTTCAATACAAGAATGAATTAAGTCAAAAAATATATTATTCTTTTGACTAGTAGACTGTAGCTTACTCAACTGATATAGAATGAAATTATTACCAGATAAAAGAATTTTATCAGTAAAAGTGTCTTGATTATAAAAATTAATTTTTTTTTTTTTTAATAATTAGGTTAATTATTCACTTTATATTTTTTTCAAAAATTAAATTATTATCTAACTTTAAAAGGTATTAAATCCATTTTTCAAGACGGTGTCAATTAAAAAAAGGTCCATAACTGTCTAATCTAAATGACATTAGTTCTTATGGAATAATAAAGGTGCAAATAACTATTTTTTGATTATTTTGTAAAAAACATAATTTAAACAACAAAAATTTAAAAATTGGTAACTATCTAATACAAATTCTGATAGCGAAATTCAAAATTTATTAACATTTGTATCGATTAAAACTGTATTTTATCAGATTTAAACCTGTATTTTTTCTTAAGCCAATAACTGAAACCTTTACCCTATACTGTAATTTTTTTTTTTTTTGGTTTTTTACAGTAGAGTATAAAAAAAATAAAGGCCTTGGTTATAAAAAATTCTGACCTTAAACTGTTCGCTAAAAAAAATGGTTAAACTACATCTGTGTGGAAGCTCCTATTGTAAAATTTAAGAATTCATGAACATATAAGTTCAAATAGTTAAGTTGGTAGCCTTATAAGCAATTAAAGAAACTTCTTTCAAATATTTTTTTTTAATTTAGCAATTAAGTACAAGTTATTTGAGTACACGATATACAGAATGACACTCGCTGACAACTTAAATAACTTTTGATACAATTAATATTTTTTTTAATATTTAATATACTTATGGGCTATAATAATGATGTAATAAATATCATTTTTATAATTAAATAAAAAAAAATATATAATTTTAAAAATTTACGAGAAATGTTTAAAAAAAAATTCAAAATAGCCATTTTTTAGAATCAATTTTAAGAAATAATTTGGGGAAAACATTTCTCGTTAATGTTTTGTAGTTAATTTTCTGTAACATTTTAAATTTGATAAAAATTCGGATTTTTCTTTATTTATTCTACGATATAAAACGCTGGCGGGAGAGCACCTTTGCCACGAATTGATGATGCTCCGACATTTACATACTTCGACATTTGACAAAGTAGTAATTGTTACGAACATCTGGTACTCCGACCATCTGATATCATAGGTTACCAAAATTACGACGGATTTTACTCCGACATTAAATTTAAAAAATGAGACAGTAAAAACTCCGACATTATCGATAGTTTGATTATGCATCGAAAGTTATATTATATTTCGATTGTATTGTTAGTAATAGGGCGCATTGATCGTATATGTTGCAACGTCAGGGTCACGTGGCTACAGAAACACTACATTATTAAATTAATTATATTATTATTAATAATATTGTAAAATTTAAATGTTCTATTCAATTAGCATTTATTTGCTACTATAGTTATTATACAATAATATACATTTTGCTTATTATTTTCTGGTACAATTTCTCACATTTGACATATGTTATTAATGGAACAAATGCATTTTACAGCCCCATCGAGTTTTTTCATTTTTTTTTTGTTTTAAACGTGTATTTTTCAATGCTTTTTTCAAAAGTGTTTGAAAAAATTGTCGGAAAAAATTGGTTCAAAAGTTATAGCTTTTTAAAGTTGAAACGTCAAAAACTAAAAATAGCTCAAAAATTTTTTTTTTTTTTGTTAATTTTTGGGATTTTTTCTCATGATACTATTGTGAAACTATAATGACGTAATTATTACATAATATCCTCATTCTAAAAATCCTAAAACCAAAATTATCTTTAAAAATAAGGATTTTCCAAATTTTTTTTTCAAAACTACGCACATCAAATTTACGCAATACGAAATAAAAATAACAAGAAACTCAATTAATTCAATTTGAGCAAAAAAAAAAAAGACCACGATGTGGTGTTTTACATAGAATTGTTAATTCAACAAAATAAAAATTTTTACTGTTTATTATGTACACCAATTAACACTTGTTGTAAACAAAAAAAAATACTATTACATTAGATATTGTTGATATTAGTTAAGTTGTTGAGGTATCAAAATATACTTACTAATATCTTAATGTTATAATGTTGAGTTATACAAACCCATTTAAATATAAGTTGTGGTCACCTACGCCTGCCGGCTCCGGTGACCGATTCGAGCCCCTTCGGGACTCTCATGGGATGGGGGCTCACGCCCCCAAACCCAACCTATTTAAAACCATTCGACTGAAATTCTCAGTGACCCAACAAGTATAAAACCTTGATGTTAAAATGGTGATATAATATTGAAAAAATAGATCAAAAAAAATTAAATTTATTTACTTCAACACTACCTTAACACGTTTAATGTACTCATAAATACTCTTAAATTTACTATTCCTCGGTAACTACATCATCGAGAATACTTTTTATAGTTAATTAATGAAAATTATCAAAAAAAAACAGCAGTATATAACAAAATTTGTATATGATTATTGAAATCTTTGAAAGCTCATAACTTTTAAACTAGACTTCGCCGACAAAAAATTTTTATATATTCTTAGTCGGTATGAAAAACTAAATTGATTTAAAAAAAAAAATTTGAAAAATCTCGATGGGGTGGTAAAATGCATTTAAGCCGTTATTAATACTCGAATGATAATAGTCATTCATTAAGTTACATAAAATTAATAGTGTTTAATACAAATGTACATTTTTGAAAAAGTTTTCTCTATTGTTAGAATATATATTTATCTTTGAGAATTTTATTTTTTAATTATCCAATAATTACAAAATATTTTCATCAAATCAAAAAACTGTTAGTTAACTGTTTTTTCAGTCGATCCACAAAATTTTATCTAATAGTAACTTATTTTTTAACATCTAAGAGATCCATTTGAAAACTAATTTTACTATAACAAATATGTGTTGTAAAAATTGTCTTGTGCAATTTTATTAGTGATTAATTCCTAAGTGTGTAATATTAAAAAATAATAACTAATATAACACATAAAATTGTTTGTACAATATAAAATCATTCTTGGGTATGTCTGGATTTTTTCCTGTGCTGCATTAGGATATCTAAGTATAAAATAACACAGTATATCCAACTTCAATGCAGTAATTGTTGAACACATTTTTTTTAGTCTTATTACTTTCTGGAAGTTTCTTCCAATAGGTTTTTATAGACTCAGAAGAGTATGATTAATTTTTCTTTCAGCAATTTTAATTGAAAATTAATTACTAAAATTATTTTTAACTTATATTAAAAAAAATTAAAATAGTATTAAACTGTGTAAGTTTTGCTACAAGTCTAATATGAGTTATGCTAAGAATTAGTAAGTTTTGGTTATATATAAGTAGAATTAATTTTTTCTTATTTAAAAATTCTGTGTGTCATCTAAAATTAAAAATATATTAACTCATCGTTAAAAAAATTTAATTTTGTGACATGAGTTTTATAATCAATGTTAAATTATAAGTAAAACCATTATAATCTCCAGTGGTGGTGCTCAAAGAAAAGTTAAAAATATTAAGGAGTAAAAAATTATTTATTTAAAGTTCTTTTTGTTTAAAATCTAATATACATTTATTGAAATCAGTTTAATATTTCCTTGAAAAAAATATCTGAATAGCCTTTCCTTTTTTTAATAATAATTAAATTTGTTGGACAATTTTCTCAGTGGTCCAGTGAGAAAAAAAATCTTAAATTTAATGAGGGCCTTCTGAGCCAGGCCGACACTGCGAAAAGATGATTATTTTGCCAATGTTTTCATCTCGTTAGCTTAACACGTATCCTGCAAATACAAATGTATTGTTTTATAAATACAAAATGAAGTTTTTTTTAAAATTTGAATTAATTTTATATGTACTTTTTAGAATATGAAAGCATATTCCAAAAAAAATAAAAATTAATTTTCAAAATAAAATCACGTAATGTAATGTATTATGTTTTGTAAAAATGTAATTATATATATATATATGTCCTATAAAAAAAGTTGTACAGTTTCAATATTACATTATTATATTTGATTTCCATTTAATGAGAAAAAATGAATAATTGTTTGATTATCAATCATGCTTATAAATTAAAATATTTCACTCTATACGTGTATTTGACAAAACTTCAAATAATCATAATGCAAATGAAAAAAATTGAACTATTATTTAATGAATTAACTGCATATTTTTAATCGAGTTAGTTAAGTTTAAAACCAATTTACTTAACAGAAGATTTTTGTAAGTTTATGATAAATCATAAACTATTGTTCACTATTAACTTATAACTGCCTTGTGTTTACTTAATTTGACTAGAGCGTAGGAGTATTGCAACAAAATATTTGGGAACTCTAATTACATAATTTTTTACCTAATCTAAAAAAATATTTCTATACAACAAGAAATACAAATTAATTCATTTTCGGTATAATCTATGGCAGAATTTTAGGAGACAAAGCCCCCTCAAGTCTCTCCAGATTGCGGTCAAATCCAAACTGGACTAAATTAATTTCGTTACCCACCTTTGAACAATGAAATGATATTAAATCATATTTTTGTTTGATTTCATATGACACTAATTGTAATGACAGTTTTAGAGAATGGGATACCGAATATCTTTATAAACGCATCTGTTTAATAACGAATACTATCATCATAAAAACGTACCTCTATATTTTTTAACTAAACTAATTGAATGTTATAATATTAATGTGCTTACAATGTTATAATAAGCACTAATAAGGAGAGGTAAAAAAGATTTTACGTCTGAAAATTGGAATCGCTCTTCTTTCCCCTCCAAAAAAAAATTTAAGGGCTCACACCAGTTATGTTACCTTTATGTACCTATTTTATCAAAAGTCGGATACATTTCGGGGATCTTTATTGTAATAATTATTCGTTAATAGACAGTAATCAATTATAACGCTATTTTATTATATTAATTAATATTTATTAATTAGTGATAAGGGTTATATTTTTCCATCAGATAATATATTGCTACGATATTCATCTACTCCGAAATTTGATAATTTTTTAATCGATTTCGCGAATAATCGATATTCGGAGCTAATTTCATTCGGAGCAATCAATTAATAGTCCTATTCGGAGTATTCGTCGTCGTAGTAACATCCAAATTTTTGTAACCAGGTATTCGTAGTAATTGTTGTCGGAGTAAATGTATTCGGAGAATTTTTTTACAGTGTCGGAGTAAATGAATGTCGGGGTATCATCAGTTCGTGGCAATCTCCGTAAGCCATCTTTTCACACTAAATTTAATATGTGTATGCATTTTTCCATGAAAATTGTTAACGTCGTAATGACCGGCATTAATTCAAATAAATACACGAACAATACCTATAACTTAATAAGTAGTTTTATCTTTTCAGAGTATGTCTTTAGTAAATAAATCTACTTATATTAACTAAAATTAGAATTTATTTATAACGAGTCAAGATTTATATTATACTAAATATAAGGTCTATTATATTTACAAACTAGGTATTAATACGATGATAAGAAATTTGATAAGGCAATTATTACTAATCACTTCATTCAAAAGCGTAAGTAATTTTCATAGAAAATGTTACACACCTCCTAATTATAGTAATCATGAAAAGATAGTGTTTCTTCTGTCCTTTTCTCAACACGTATTCAATGTTTAATATCGTAAAATAATACATAAAAATTAAAATTTTAAAATGCTACTGAATATTAATAAGATATTTTTTTACCAAAATTTTTCTTAAAATCTACTCTATGAAATAGCTATCTTAAATTTTTTCTTTACATTTCATTTAAAATGTGTAAAATAATTTATATTTTTAATAATATGTAAAAAAATTAATTATAAAGATATAATTATAGACCTAACGTATAACTAATATTTAAAAAAAAATCAGCTAAAAATATTAATTGGATCAAAAGTTATTTAAGTTGTCAGTGAGTGCTGAACCAACCTGTATCTTCTTCTTCTTCCTCGCCTTAATCCCAACTACTTGGGGTTGGCCAACCTTATCTTAAATTTCTACTTGACACGATCTCCCACATCCTCTATGCTCACATCAGATGTCCTCATATCGCATTCAATAACATCTCTCCATCTATTTTTTGGTCTTCCTCTACCTCCTCTTCCTTCAACATTCATTTCTACAACTGTTCTTACGCTTCCGATTCTTCTCTTCTCATAACATGACCAAACCATTTAAGTCTATTTTCTTTCATCTTATCCACGATTGACGCTACACCTATACTCCCTCTTATGTGCTCATTTCTCATCTTATCTTCTCTAGTCACTCCACTCATCCATCTAAGCATTCTCATCTCTGCTACACTCATTTTCTGCTCTACTTTCTTATCAACACTCTGAACCATACATCATAGCTGGTCTCACTACAGTCTTGTAGAATTTACCTTTCAGACTCATTGGAATTCTTTTATCACATAAGACACCAGATGCTTCTCTCCATTACAACCACCCGGACTTAATCCTATGTCTTACATTCTCGTCAATTCCACCACTTTTTTGCACAACTGACCCTAAATACTTAAAACTTTCCACCTCTCTAATCACGTCCTCGCTGAACCAACTTGTATATTAAATAAATTAAATTATCCTTATAAACAATATATACAATATTTGTATTATTTTGAAAATTAAAAAAATTTTTAAATGTTTAATAGAATGCAAAGTTTATTTAAAAATCAAATTCTAAACTTTAATGTTACATCACAATATTTTACTAGTAACAAAACTTATAAACAGTACTATAACGTTTTTACACATAAAAGCGTTTCCAATAGCAGATAGTGTTTAAATCTAAATACAAGATAAGTGAATATATTATTTTAAGTGATACAAGTCTTCAGGTCATTATTCCATTGAAAGAAAAAACATAAAGACATTATTTTTGTTTTGAAAATAAAATAACGACTTAAGATCGCCAAACTTAACTTAAACAATTTCAGGATATATTCTTGTTACATTTTACATTAGTTTCAATTAATAATTTGTTATATACATATATTGTTTTTATAAGCACTTTAAGAAGTTTTTATAATAATAATAATAATTAAACTTACAATTAATAAAGAAAGAAAATATAATATTGCAAGGTGAATAATGGGAAGTATTTTTAAAAATATGAAGATATTTATATAACATAATCTAGTATTATCACCAGATGAAATAAACAAAAATTCAACAAGTTACTTGATGTTTTCTTTTAACAATTATGTAAATACTAATTAATTATTCAATAGTTAAAACAATTATAATTTCTCCAATAGAATAAAATATCGTGTATGAATGATAATATGATCATTACAAATATAACAAAAAGATATGTTATAATACAAAAAAAAGTTTAAGTTATGCCTGTAGCCCTTAAAAGACTAATTTAATAATATATTATTTAAATTTGATATATAAATTAATTCAGTTAATTTTAGCTAAACAAAACATTTATTAAAAAAATAATGTCAAGTTTAGGCTTTTAATACTTAATTAAATAAAATGATTATTAATTACATTATAATATTTTTGCTCTAGTTAGCTATTTATTAATAACAAAATTAATTTGAATAATATTGTAGTATATAAAACAAGTTTATTTATTTTACAACAAATTAAAAATTTGTAGACATTATCAAATATTGTCAATTAATCAATGATTTTACATAAATAAATCTATATTAATTTTCTAAAGTTGATTTAATAAAGCTAAATGAAATTATAAATAAATTAGATAAATATATAATTCACAAAAACATGAATCAAGTGATATATTAAAGATAAAAATGTTTTTGTAAAAAAATACTTATGTTTCAATACAATTCTGATAAACTGATATCACATAATTCTATTTAAAACATAAAAATAAATATAAAAAATATGATTTTCTACAAACTTTTTATGGTAAATTCTTTGGGAGACTAGGTTAAAGATTTTAAGTTTAGTGGCCATAGCTACAATTTGGAAAAACATATATAATACTATCTAATTTATTTATCAGTCTATGATACATTTTATTGTGTGCTATGTGAAATTAACTATAACTCTTCTTTTAATAAAGTATATCGGTTTTTTGATGGAGCTAGTTTCTTAAATGTTGATTCAGGAGGTAATGTCTGTTCAATTAGTTGATTATCATTGATCAGTTCTGTCATTATTATATCTTGAGGACCTAAGTGATACTCTTTATGCAATTTGCCAGAATAGAGATCATCAATAAATTGTTTTAAACGACCAGGTTGAGTGAAATCAGCATCTTTAGGAAATTGATACATATGTTTGAAACTATCAATTACTATAACTGGTAAGTCAGATTCTCGTTTTCCCAAATGTTGTAATGGATGAGCAAATTTTAAACCATCAGCAGTTAAAAAATTAACTCGCTCTATAAAAAATAATTATAATAAGTTATTAAATAGTGCTATATAAAACTGAATATTTTAAAATAAACCTCAAGGATTTTACTTACGTTTTTCTTCTATTAGATATAAACTCACAATATCTTTAAACAATTTAACAGATTCAAGATTTTTAGGATTATAAAAAAATATTAAGAAAGGTAAACCTTCTTCAGTGATTTCTTCAGCATTCTCAAAAGTAATTTCACGTACTAGAGGGACACATTTAGATGTTGTCCATATATTTAGAGCATCATAATCTGATGGTAAATTTTTGAATGTTTGATGTTCAGATTCAGGTGATGAACGATCTGGTCTAAAAACAACTATAGACTCATTGGCTGGATGCATTGCACGGAATTTTTCACTAGAAAAAAATTGAAATAATTATGTCATTCAAATTACATTAGTGTAATAATTACCCAACTCCAGCAAAAAAAGAACAGTCATCTTTGAGATTTGTGGCTACTTTACGGAATACTTCATAATCTTTAGAATCTTTGCTATCGAAGTATCCAATAACAACCCTCATTTTTTCCTAAATTTATACCATATTTAATTTTTATTAAAATATATCTATATCTCATAAATAAATAAATCCATACATCTATAGCATGATTTGAATCAACTAAATTTGATACTTCTTGTACAGGATCTTCAAGTTGCTTTTGTACAAAAGAAACAAATGCTTCAACTGATCGTTTACCCCTATATTCCCGTTTAGCTGGTTGACCATTGATCAATACTTTAATAGTAGGATATTTTGTAATTTGAAATCTGGAAGCCACAGCAGCTAAAGTATAAAAAATTTAATTATTTTTACAATATATCTAAAATAATACTTAATTAAATAAAGTAACTTAATATACTTTTTTTATCAAACATTATCTCAAAATAATTTAAAATGAATAAAAATGCCAGATCATAATGATACTTTAAATTATTTAATATGTAAAACATTTATTTTTTTTAACTCATATAACTTGCTGGCCAAAATTGTTTACTAAATTATTACTTTTAAGTGAATCTATTCTATTCCATAACATGCACATGCCCACATAGTAAAATTTGTAGCATTAATTATGTAAAGAAATGCCAAGAATTTGTTATTATTTACAAATACAGAATGATTAATCAACGACAAGACACTCTTTTTTTCAGAAACTATTGATTAATACAAAAATATCAACAATAATATATAGTGCTTTTTGTTTTCATCCCTCCAGAAAAAAAACTTATTTTCAATATACTTTAATAGTAACCCCTATTTTTGGTTTGGAGTTATATAATAGAAAATAAAGATTCCAAACAATTTTGTTCTTATGTTTTTTTCTATCTGATAAACTATTTTAGATTTAAATATGAATTTAAAATAAAAATTCATTATTAATTTGGTTTACATTATACCAAAGTAAAAAATAATTTGTTTTTTATAAATTATTGTCAGTATTTATTCTTGTTATAGTAAATAACAGACATGATAACAAAAATTGTCAATAAAAACTTGTATATATGACATCATGAAAGAATGACAACTATTGTATGCTAAACAGCAAATTATCAATAGATAGTTGGTCAAAAAATGCTAAACTTTTTCAAGCAATAATAAAATAATGGTTTATTGAATAAAAACTATAAGAAAAATATTGTTTGAAATTTTTTTTTCTATCATATTTTTAAATTAAAAAATGAGTCTCCATAAAAGAAAATTTAAGTTTAGGTTTTTTAATCTTAAATGGACGAAAAAAAAAACTTAATTATATGTTATTGTAGAGTTTCTCAAATCAAACAATTCTTTCCTTTATAAACATTTTAAAATTTTAATAGTTTTTTTTTTTATCTTATCTTTAATTGATCACCCTAGGTATATTTTTATAAATAAAAGTGTTCTACCAAGTTTTAATACCTTTAATAACTTCTAACCCAGCTAATATTTTGGGTTAATTTTATTAAATATAAATGTAACAGTTGGGCTAAGTTAAAAAATATTTTTTATTATTTGTTTCTATAACGACAATATAAAAAATAATTTTTTTTTGTAATTTCTAAATAGAAATTTGTTGTCTTTTATGCAAAACTGAGAAGGTATTAATTTTATTATAATGTATTTATTTTTTTCACAAAAAATTTAGGAGAAGTGCTTAGTGAATTACAAGCATATTAATACATAAAGTGGATATCTAGATAGGTACAGATCAAATTGGTTCATATTTATAATGCATATTTCACTCGCACTGCATACTAACTTCAAAATTTGATGAGACAACCATATATATAGTATGATTCATTCATCATGAGAATTTTAATTAATCAAAAAATAAAAATAATATCGAGATTTTTTTTTGGTTTTTTTAAGTACATGTTTTTGCCAATTTATCAATCATAAACAATCTTCCACTTAATTTATACACACACCAACAGTCTTCATATCCCCACTCTCCAATTACATGCAACCACCTCTTTTTCGGTCTGCTTCTTCCTTCAACATTTATTTCCATAAATGATCTTAATCTCTTCCCTCATGAGTTTACCTCGACATCTTAAGCCTTTGATTAACTTCCTTCCTATTTTCTCTTATTAACACTAATCATGAGTAAACAACATGCACCACAGTACCTTTGTCTTTCCTTGGTAATTTGATCCATTACTACAGAAAATACATAAGGACTTAAAGCAGAACCTTCACACACATCTACTTTTACTTTAAAATCTTCTGTTTTTCCACACACACTGTTTACCCTAGTACAAGTGCCTTCACACATACTCTCTATTACACCAATATATATATTTTTTATTCCTATATTGACTCCTATATTTGATAAAGAACTTAAATAATATTAATACATTCTTTATATATTTATTTTCTAAGGACTTGTCAAACTGTTTAAAATTTCAAATTAATTTATGTTATAATTAATGCTCAGAAGATGATGAACTTTGCATTTTGTTTTTTAAAGGACAAGAAATGAACTAAAGGGTGTTTTAAAAAGAACGCCGAATATGAAAACGTCGCCATTTTATTTGTTTGTTGTTGGCAGCATTGTTTTTGCAATTTTTGATATCTATTATTATTGAGGTTTTGTGTTGTCAAGGAATTTATTTGTTCTTAGTAATTGTGTTACCATAGAAAAGTACACTACAAAACAACAAATTTTGTTCATTCAAACTTATTATAGAATTGGTGAAAATTTTGCAGCCACCATTAGCTGACTACATGCAATGTTTGGCTATCATAATGCTCCAAAAGAATTAACTGTTCGTTGTTTAGTTACAAAATTCGAATCAAGTGGTTCAGTTGAAGATATCAAAAGCCCACAATGTCCTCGAAGTGGTCGGAATGAGGCAAATGTGACTCTTGTGTGTGATTCAGTTGAGTTCGGTACCAAGCAATGCTCACTGATTTCCTATGGTCTCAATTGGATCAAATGAACATCGATAACATTTGATTCCAACAGGATGGTGTAACGTGCCACACTTCAGCAAAAACAATTGTACTCCTTCGTGCGAGATTTTCAGACCGACTAATCTTGTTGCGAGGAGACCAAGTCTATCCACCTCGATCATGTGACTTATTTTTGTGGGGTTACACTAAATCACAAGTCTATGAAAACAAACCTAAAAATGTGACGGAACTGAAGTGTGTAATTTAATGTGTTCTTGGCAAAATCGATGCAGATCTGTGTGATCGGGTGATGGTGAAATTCACGGACAGAGTTATTGTGTGCAGGGCTAGTATGGGAGGGCAGCATATGCCCGATATTGTTTTTCATGTTTAAACCTCAAGATCTTCTGAATCGAATAGTATGATTTTTTTATGAAAATAAATTAATTTTATAGCACTTTCAAATCTGGCGTTCTTTTTGAAACACCCTTAATATCACATATAAATATATATATATATATATTATAATTTAAAAATGGAGTTCAAAATTTTAATTTTTGAACATTTTTTCTTTTATGTTATGATTGCTTTTAATCTTTTCTATTTCACAATTTTTTAGTAGGTCATTAGACAAAATATATATAATCTTTTTGTATTTAAAAATTATGTTTAATCAAAATAGATTTTGAGAAATAATTCTTTGAAATAAAAAAAAATATTTAAACTATTTTTTAATAATTGTAAAAGTTTTTATTTTTTGTTTTTTGAGTCATTTTTGTAACTTTTAGAAGTCATCTTTTAAAGCTTTCACTTTCGAGTTCTAGTTATTAAAAATTATACAACATCCTCAACTAATTTTTCATGATTTCTTGTTCCAGATATAATTTATTGAATCATAAAAATTATGTTGAAACTTGAAAAAAATATGTATTTTTTTAAATGTTTTAAACATGAAGAAAACACATTTTAAACATATTGTTTCATTTGAATTATGTTAACTTTGAGTAATTTAAACAAAATTAAATTAGTAGTTAAAAAATCAAACATTTAAAACTGCAAACTCTGATTGTAATTAATTTGTCGTAACATAACTGAAAACTAATATTTTACCACACTACACCCCATATGTTATAAAATAATATATGTACATATTATTAATATATTTGCTGTATATAGATACTAATTTTTTTTTTCAGTATCTATAATCATAGATAAGAGTAAATAAAAAAATTACAAAACTACACAGTAATAATTAAATAGAGTATTACATTTAAAAAGTATATAATTTACAATAAGGCATCTACTCTGAGGTTAAAAAACTTACTTTCAGAATCGCAGTCTATTTTTCCCATTATAACCTTACCAGGTTGCTTGTATAATTCAGCTACTTTATTGGCAGCTTCATTAAATATTGGTGCAAGCATACCGCTAAATCGACACCAGTCTGCATAAAAGTTAATTATAACCAACTCATTTGATGCTAAAAAAAATTTATTATTACGATTAAAAAAAGATAATAATTGTAATTTTATAATATTAATCATATATCTTGTTACCCTAGTAAAGGAAAACATATAGGAAATAATAAAAAAATTTCAGACTACATTATCAACATTTTTCTTTATTTTTACAATTAATTTTAATACTTTATAATTTTAATTGGTTTGTACAAATTAAAAATTAATTTATTTCTATCAAAATTTAGCAAATTAAAATTTTATGATAAGTAGAATACAAAAGAAAAAACAATTTATTTAAATATAAAAGGCTTATATGTCTTTCTTTATTAATACAGTATTAGGTATATCTATAATGCATTTTTAATTAATACATAAAAATGTAATACCTAATTTTACTGAAAAATATTTTTTGATTCACTGATTTAATCTATAATAATATTGCTACTTATCTTAATCTAAACTTATATAAATGTTAATCTGCGTTGAAATAAAAATTGTATGCTATAACTTCCATATATTTGTTTGTATTAAATAATGTTTTAATATAAATAATATGAATATGAAACAAAGGATGTAAAGAATTAAATGTAAAATGATTTTTAATTTTTAATATTTTTTAAAACATACATTCTTTTAGTAATAGCTCAGTTTCAACTCAATTACCTAAAGTCATGTCAATATTTTTACTATTTAGAGGAACAGCTCCATTCACTTTTTTATCAAATTGTACGGCTCCATTAAAATTAAATGTATCAGCTTGTAAAGCGATATCGCCTGCTATCGGTTCATTAAAAAATAACACCTAAAAAAAATATTACATTTATAACTATTTAAATTTATATATTATTAATACTAATATTCTTACATAATAAAAAAGTAAAATATATAATTTGAAAGTAAATGGTTTCCAATATATGTAAATCATGTTCTAGAACCTAAGAAACAGATACCATTGGTAAGAAATGAATAATAATGTATAATAAAATATATATTAGACCTAAAAGTTGTCGTAGTAATAACGACAACTCATGAGGTTTAAATATATTAACTCTACTGAATTAGTAAATACTCAAATAGGTTTCAAATTAGACCGTCACATTACAAAATATTTACACATAGACGTCATCCGGCAAAATTATTGTGATAACAAGTTACACGATTGAAATAGTGTACGTCATTAAAGTGATAATATGATTATGAGAATAACATGCTTAAAACGATAACAAGTTAAATACATGTTAAAAGTTAATATCAAGCGAAAACTTGTTGAAAAATGAATTTTGTATTGTGATTAGTGCAATTTATTTTTTTTATATTGTCTCATTTGAAATTTATAATATAGAAATAACATCTTTTGATTTTTTTCCCTTGCATACATGGAAACTAATGTGTTATAACCCACATCCACATGGGCAAATTATTACTGTTAATAATAATAAAGCTAAAAAACTCCATAGCCCCCAAGTAAAATCTGGGCTACGCTACTGCCTACTTAAATAAGCATTATACGTGCAATTATCTGGAGAGACACGCTAATTATAGGTCCATATAGCAAACTCCTTTCAAAAATATAAGAAATTAAATATATTGCCGTAGAAATTATTATTAGAAGGAAAACGAGTTATGTGAGTATGTGTCTAGCGTTGATAATGGTCCTGAAATACGAAATCCGCTATGTTTTAGTATTTTTGTAGCTTTTGAGTTAAATATTGTTTATATTTTTAATTTTAAACAGAATTTTACCTTCCAAATATTGTGTTTTAATTGCACTTATGATCCTAACCCAGCTTAATTTCAATTGTTTATATTATACGTATAACGGAGACATTGATTAAGTCTGTAATTGATATAAATTTTATTTTATTTATTCTTAAAATAATTATAAATACTTAATAAAGATTATTTTTACTTAATTTACAAATAATGAATAAATAATTCCAAATTAAAAACTTTTTTATATGAATACTATTTTAATCAATTCTATAGCATAATAGAATATTTATGTTTACCTATCACCTCACACAGGTTCTCACAATTATACATTTAAATTTAAACACAACTTTAGATAATGTAGAACAGATACTAAATGAATAATTATAAAGAGAAAAACAGTAGTAGCAAAATGTGGTCTATCTATAATTAAAAAGTAAACATATTCAACTAGGTATATAACAATTTCAGTTTAGTTAAAATTCTACATTACGAAATTTATTGATAATTCCATCAGTTATTTTTCGATAAAATTATGTTTTTTGCGTCTGGGCGGTAGCGATACACCTGAAATAATATTTAGATTGGAATTAATACTACAAACATTTATACTTATTGAACATCATATTTAATGACAAATAAAAACCAATTGACCAATACATGTTGGAATATTATTTCAAAAGCACAAGTTTAATTAGGATTAAATAACATTTTCGTTACTTTTTTATGGCTCATTAGGGCTTTAACAGCCTTTTGAATAGGTTTCTTAATTATGATTACTCTGGGATGGGTAATTATTCTGTCTCCAGAAAAACTTTCATAACATTTTTAAATAAGTTACTTTCCAAACTAGCTATGAAATAGATATCAATAGATTATAATCTAACTATTGAGGTGTACTTATCTACTAGTAAGATATTACTGTAATTCTACTGTTAATTCAATTGGTCAAATGAATTATATGATACTAGTTTATTTTGTGTTATAAATCTTTATTGTCATTTGTTTAAATAGTATTCAAAGATTTCGATTTGGATACAATTTGTAGGTTAATTGTAAAAAATTAGTAAAATATATAGAAACATATCATGTTTCCTTACATTTTACCAATAACATGATTTGTATAATTGCTTGTATACGATCATTTATACAAATCAAGTTATTGTTTCTGCGCAAAAACAATATACCGCTAATACGATTCTCAAACAATATTCATAAAGCTACAAAACAATGTTATCTCAAAATAAAATATTAATTACATATTATTATAATAAAACTATTTCAAATTCACTTCATAAAATTAATAAAAATACATTTTAATGCTGATAGAATTTTTCAACAACATTGTTACTAAAACTTGAATTTTGTCCTGTTATTTAAAATTATGGACGAGTGCGCAGTAGTGCATCTAGAACTTATTTTACTTTCAAATCATAACTGCACAAACATAAAGTTTGTTTAGTCGGAATTAATGAAGTTAAGAAATATTTATTACATAAGTTTGAAGTAAGAATTCTAATGATATTAATCATAAATCAAATATAGTTATTAGAAACCCAACCCAATCTAACCATCAATTAACTTTTCTGGTGCCCTATAGATTTTACCAAATATCATTTCATTAGAGAGGTTCATTTTTGCAATAACAAGGCAAATTTTTTTAGGTTATTTGAAAAAAATATCTGGAAATACTACACTTGATTATATTAGATATGATTTATAAAAACTTCACATAAAGATAATATATAATTAATACAATAATAATCAATATAGTTTAACATGTTACAAAACCTTTTAAAATAATTTTACATTTTTAATAAAAATAATTTATATTTAAGGCAACCTTAGATATAATAATATAAAATTATTTACATTAAACTTGTGATGCTTACAAAATCTGAAGTCGATAAAAAGATAAATTTTTTAAAACAATATTTTTATACAATAAAAATTGATCACTTGTGGCTAATTATTTAAAATTAAAATTATATTAAAAATATTAACTTAAAACTGAAAAAAAAATTAAATTCAAATAGCCAAAAAAAAAAAAAATTACTAAAATATCACAGATAAGTATTCACATACAATGCTACTATCATCAACGCTAAACACACACTACTGTTAAGCGTTTAACTTTTATAAGGTCCCGCTGAGTTGTACAGGTTTTCTCATTCTCTCTAAATACACTAATAGAAGATTAAAAGAGAAAATAATAAATAGAAATTAAAAAAAAGATGAACTGTGTTAATTTTATTTTAGTATTGTCAAAAAGAAATTAATTATAAACCAATTTTATTTTAACAATCGAGGTAAAAATATAACACCTCAGTTTCTCATCGAAGCTGAAAGCTAAAACTACGGTAATGTCCAAATATAAATATTTAATTAGAGGATAGAGAATGTGGATTATCACCCTTAAAGTTACATAAATACGTAAAAACGTTCAACATAAAAACAAAACATAAAGGTTTGGAAAAATATTATTAGCAGTATAACTAAATAAATATTTATTTATTTTTTATTTAACATCTTTTAAAGCTTTGATAACTAAATATTTTGAAGCTCCCTTAAGTTTTTGTGAAATTGATAACATTTCTATTCTAAATCTTTCTAAATCAATAGCCCCAACAACGAATACTAAAAAAGATGCGAAATCGCGGTTGGTTGAATGATCTAAAGCCGCCGTTTTACATAAAGTAACAAGCTTTTCGCCATCGCTTGAATCCAAGTCTTTCTGACAATTTTTGACTAAAAGTACCAAAACAGGGATTTTATACTGTTCTAAGTGGGTTTGACAACCTTTTATATATTCACTAAAAAAAAACATAAAGTTTTAATTAACTCCTTAACGTTTTAAAAATTTAATTTACTTGCTTTAAAAGAATACGCCAGTACTTTTTATCTAAAGGTTTCATAATTTCAGTGAGCCAATCTAAATATTTTACAAGTAATGAATATTTATTCATTAGTAGTTCAACGAGAAATGACTTGCAAGCGTATTCAGGAAAGTAAACTATTAATTTAGATAAACTTTGGACAAAACCAGTCAAATTGGTTTCACAAGTTTTGAACTGTAAAATGTAAATGTATATTAATATTTTCATCAAACCAATAAAATAATCAATTTTAAGCAAAGAAGTCTCCCTAATCATAATTATGTTACATTAAAACAAGAATTGAAGGGAAAAGGAAGTAGTTTGAATATCGAAATAAATTATGATTTTTTTTCTAGAAATAAAATGGTTGACGCGGTATTGACATGTGAATAATAAGTTCGTAATGGCATTATGCTCAGATTTGTTGTTATAACAATGTGTGGCGGATTTTAATTTCGTATCCTTCATTAGATTTTCGCGCGATTTGTAATGTATTTTCGATGTTAAAACTTTAATTCCAAGTGGCTACGTTAGGGTACATACCCAAGGAATGTAAGCTTTCTGACATATCACTTCAGGCAATTCTTTAATTTTTACTAAAACTTCACAAAATCTGTGACGATTAGTATCAGTAACCATTTCCGGCCAGACCTCATCTAATAAGTCTAATATGTCATTCCTACGGTTTCTCTCGGAGATTAAAAGTTCAGCTAACTCTTCTAAATTCCATTTACCAGCAGTTATCATTTCGATAACTAATTGTGTAGTATTTTTAAAATTTTCTTCTGTAACACAAAAAACTAATTTAGTAAATGAAATTGAACATGCAAACGCCATAAATATAACAAAAATACTATTTCGCATATTGTTTACTCAACAAATATTTATTTTCATGTGCAAATACCCAGATTTTACTAATTAATAATTTTTTAAAATATAAGAGAAGTTGGAAAAAATTGAATTATAAGTTTTAAATAAGTACAAAAATTTGATATAGAAAAGTTTATTTTTACATTTGATAAAATTTTCTTTTAAGATCAGTGTAGTTTTTACTTCTGATAATGATATCGAGAAAAATAATTTAAAAAATATAGTTAGCAATATATTAAAATTAGTATAGGCTAAATAGAATAATAAGCATTTAAAAAATAAATTTATAACGATCTCTTTCAAATATTTTTTCAGATGCATTCCTGGATGTAGTCCAGGTATTATTAATTTTTATTTTATAATACAACTAACACTAATTATCAAAATTTCGTTTTCAAAAATAATTTATCATGTAAAAATCTTCATTGATAACAGTGGTTCCCAAACTTTTTTCTTTTACTGCCCAACTAAAAGAAAAAATATTATAGAAGTTCCTGATTGATATAACTAGAGTAAAAATATCTCAAACAAAATTTATAATTGTATATAACTTTGCACGTTAATCATCAAGAACGGTTTAATTTACATGCAAATAGGCAATTTAAAAAGAAATTCATTTCATTTAACAGCAAATAAAAATTTTTAATTTTATAATTAATAATTAAATTTATTTTAGCTTTTCAAACTTTTTTTAAAATTTATTTTATTAATAGTTTTTTTTTCAAAATAATATTTATTACGACTGTCAATTTTTATACTATTGGTCAACAAAAAAAAAAAAATTATTTATTTCAATGATTTTCATCATAAAATAACACTAGAAATATTTTCTAAACCATAATTTAGTGTTTTAAGTGCATATTTAGTTTTTTTAGAGCTATAAATACTTTACTTAGATATAATATATTGATAATAAAAAAAAATATCCGATACCCTTGGTTATAAAATAGTTAATAATTATTAATGATCTATAAACGAAACATATTTATAACTTTTAAAGTGTATTTAGATAATAATAATAATGGTTTACCTAGGACTACTGTTTGGTCGAACAAAAGGAAATCATTGTTGGAAACATTCTTATTAACTAATAAATTATCAGGTAAACTTGCATCACATATATTATTATCAGGATTTTCTAAACTTGATTCATTAACTGACTCGGTTTTGGTAAACTTGCAAGTTTGTATGGCAGAAAAATCTTTGTCGAGATCAAATTCATCGTCACTACTGGTAAAATTGTCATCTTCGATTTTGTAATTCTATATTAACGATTCTTTTATTAAAAGTTTACTTATAATTATCCATAACAAGCCATGGTTTTAAAAAAGTTAGAGGGTTTGGGACACCCCTTTTCGAAAATGTTAAAAACTATATTATAGCTGTGAGGGTAAACTTGATAGGGCTCTGTAAAGAGGGTAAATTTTTGTTTAGTCTCCCTTAAATTAATTCAAGATAACGTACCTGTAAATAATAGTGTTAGGCAAAAATATCGATTTGGCATTAATATCATGACATAATTATATACTGATTTTGAAATTTAATGGTTTAATACATCATAACATAAAAATTATAATAATATTTTTTTATAATTATTTAAAAGTACAAACTCTGAATGTAAAAAACAAAAATTACTGGTAGTTAACACTTAAAAAAAAAATACATTTTTGGAATAACGATATAGTTATAAAACTATATCGATCACTAAATATGATTTGCAATATTTTTTTAAGTACCTTTGAAGAATCAATAATAGTTGCTAAAGAGAAAAATAAATCGTTACATGATGATGATAAATTATGTTCTTCAGATTTGAATTTTTTTACAACTTCTAATAAAAGCTTTTTATTTTCTTTATTGAATGACCAGCTACTCCAATTTTCCATACCACGATACAAATCTAATTAAAATAAATCACAAAATTAAGAAAGTTCAAACATTTTAAAATGTAACAAAATAATATTTATTGTGAGACAACGTAACTTAGCCTATGAAAATAAGATTACACGGCGTTGTCTACAATAATTAGACAAATTAAAATATTTGATCGGCTAAATATTTCATGTTTTTTTTTTCGTTATTATTTTACTTAAGAGCTATGGAAATATCACGAGAAATAATATTTTTTTTAAATTTATGAAAAAAACCAATATAGCACCTTTTTATAATAGATTTTAAGGAAAAAAATATCTTATTAATGTTCAGTAGTAAATTTTCTACTGTATTTTAAGCTTTGAGAAAATTAAAAAATTTGTTTTAGGGTTTCAAATATTATAATAAATATTGCGAAAGGACAGAAGCATACGTATTCGTTTCGCACTTACAGGTCGGACTATTGATATGTATATTTTTCCATGAAAATTATTATTATTTCAAATATAAAAGCCTTTAAGCTAATATATTTAAACTATAACAATTTTTATTTTCATTGTATTTAATGTGAAAATATGGTTTACTTCAATCCTTTTTATACGTATGTATACTGACTTTTGATACCGTGAAATAAACATAAAAATAAATATTCTAATTTTTACAAAATTTAAATGATAAAAAAATTTCACTGCAAAACATTAAAAGATGATTTTTCAACTAATTTTTTTCTTAAAATTTACTTTGAAATAAGACTATCTTGATCTTTTTTTTAAAATTTTTCAAAAATTAAAAAAAAAATGTTTTTTTTTCTATTAATTTAAGAAATACAAAGATATGATTTAATTAAATTTTAAGATATTTTGATTTGACTCTTATAAATTATCAACATAAAAAGTAATTAATAAGAGTTAATAAGAACTCTCTTATGTAGAAATTCATAGTAGACAAATAAATTATTCCACTTTAAAAATACATGATATTACTTATAATTTTTTTTGTAAGTAATACCCTCATCTCAGCCAAATACTACCTTCACCCTCTCAAAATAGTAACATTGTGACCAAGTTTGCGCTTTTGATCGTTGATAAAATTTAATCTCACTTTTATTAGAAACATTGGCTGTGGTGGCTATGTTTTTAATTGTTGCGCGAGGTTTTCAAAAAAACGTGATTCTCTATCTGAGGACCCCGATCACCCCCTTCAATATTGGGTCTGTTGAGCAGATGGTAAAACCAAATATCTAAAAAAAATTGTGCCCACCACACCTACTATAAAAAATTTCTGCAATCATTTTTGACGACTATATAGTATATTCAAAATTTGATATAGGTAGTTGGTCTCATTTAAACCCTTCTTGTAGTTAAGTTTTCTATTGGATTTTTATTAATTGCATATTAAAATAACGAATGATGTCTTAGGAATACCTAAATACTTCTTTTTCTATTTTCTAAGGTTGTTTAATTTTGCTAGAGATATTTTATATTAATATATGATATATTAATATATCAGTGTAGATAATGTTTAATTCTAAGAAATCGATGAATAATTACAAAAACAACATCAACTATTTCCTAAATTATATCCAGATTAGTAATTCTTAGATTAAATAATATAAAAAACCCAGCACAGGGGGGTCGCGGCACAGTGGTGACGTGGTATAGATGGATCAAGTATAATGATATCTGACAGTGATTAAAATCACTATCAAAAAAAAACGCTTCGATGCAAATCTTTAGATAGTGTTTAATTTTAAAAAATTGGTGGATTATTCCAAAAGCTTCATAAACTGCTAGTTCCTTATTAATATCCTGATTAAGACAAAGTATGTAGAATAAAAAAGAGATTATTAGAAAATAGTATTTCCCATAAAAAAATTATATTGATCAATACACTTTTAAATAAGTCATAGCATTATAATGTTAAAAATGTAAAAAATAAAATTGAGAATTTTCACACAATAATAGCATTTGGTAGCCATTTTCACCTTGAAGATAAAATAAAGTCCGAAATTTTTTTTTTCCATGATAAAGTATATTACATTAGCTTTAATTTAAGATATATATAAAAGTGTCAGACTTTCCGGAACACTTTCAAAATTTAAGTTGAAAAAGTCAATTTTTTGTGAAAAAGTTGTCATTTTGAATCCCCCCCTGTAGGCAGGTAAAAAGTCAGATTTATAAAAAAAATATACCAAATGATAGGTAAAGACATCATGCATCTACAAAAAAAAGAATTATATTGATCCATACATCTTTCGAGAAGTTATAGCATTATAAAGTTAAAAATATAAAAAAGAATTTTTTTACAAAAATCGTATTTTTTTTATTAAGTTTAATGTCTGGGTAGCCATTGAAGATAAAATAAAGTCCGAAATTTTTTTTTTCTATGATAAAGTATATTACATTATGTCGAATGAAAGGTCTATATAAATACTACTTCTCATAAAAAAAATGTAATGATACATACATTTTTCAAAAAGTTATAGCACAATAAAGTTAAAAATGTAAAATACAAAATTGAAAATTTTCACACAAAAATAGCATTCGGTAGCCATTTTCACCATGAAGATAAGATAAAGTCCGAAATTTTTTTTTTTCATGATAAAGCATATTACATTAGCTTTAATTTAAGATATATATAAAAGTGTCAGACCTTCCGGAACATTTTCAAAATTTAAGTTAAAAAAATTAATTTTTTGTGAAAAAGTTGTCATTTTAAATCCCCCCTTGTGGGCAGGTTAAGGGTTAAATTTATGAAAAAAATATACCAAATGAAAGGTAATGATATTATGCATCTATATAAAAAAGAATTATATTGATATGTTTATTTTTGAAAAAGTTATGGCACTTTTAAGTAAAAAAAATTGAAAAAATTTCGAAAATTAGCAATTTTTAAATTTGTAATTTTTTTGGAGGTTTCCCCCTTTTACGGGGAACGAGGGAATTTTTTTCAATTTTTAAGGGTAATGTCTTCNTTTTACGGGGAACGAGGGAATTTTTTTCAATTTTGAAGGGTAATGTCTTCGACTAGATACGATTTGTGATTTTTTGACGTATCATTGAAAGAAATCGGTTCGGTGAGAGCTGAGAAAAAGTGGTAACAGACACAAAAAAAAAAAACACATCTTAGTAAAACCAATACCTTCTCAGCTTCGCATCGAAGCTAAAAATTAATAAATTACAAAGTAAAATTATTTACTTTTGAAGTTGAATACTTTATCATATCAAATCTAATTCGACAATAAATACTTTAAAAATATTAGAAATTAATGATTTTAATTGTTTGTATGGAAAAAGCTCGTTAAGCTACTTTTTAACTGAATAAGGATTTTGTTAAGGGTAATATCTTCAACTAAATACGAATTGTAATCATTAGACGTATTGTTGAAAAAATTAGGTCGAATGAGGGTTGGCAAAATGAATCGTAGCCACAAAAAAAACCACATAATAAAATAATATTAACTTGAATAAGAAATTTCTTCTCACGAGGGTAAACTAAAGTGATGGGATCCTTGATATTTATTGAATCTTAATGAGATAAAAATCAAATGATTTGAAAATATTTTTCTAACTCAAAAAAAATGCAAAATATATATTGCCACAGGAGGATTTGAACCTCGTATTCTAAGCGTGAAAGACACAAGTGTTACCGACACGGCAATTTTTAAGTTGAAAATTTTAACACTAAAATAGCGTTTATTTAACTACGGCAGTCGTTTTTTATATTACATAAAATAATCTTTAATTTGATATATGTTTAAAGGACGCAGTATTTCCGGAACATTTTCAAAAAATGATATCAAATGAAAAGAAAATATCTAAGGTTATAGTACAAAAAAAAACTATGTTGATTTGTTGATTTTTGAAAAAGTTATGGAAGTTTTAAGAAAATGACACAATTTAACAATTTTAAAAATTGTAATTTTTTTGGAGATTTGATGCTTCGCATCAAAGCTAAAACTATGTGTCAAAAAAAAAAAAAAAGAATTTTTTTTTTGAATTTTGAGTGTATTATTTTCAATTGAAACAAATTCAGGTTTTTTGGTATATAATTGGCTAATATTGGTCCAATGGGCCAGCGTACACGAGACAATAAACATAAAACATAGTTTTTACTATATTACGGAACTAAGAAGGTATTATTTTTATAATATGCGTAAAAGCGTATTTTACAATACTTAAGGACGCATCGAAGTTAAAAATAACCAAATCATATAAAGAACAAACATTGATAATATTATATAAATTGATCATTTGTTAATAAAATTGATAACCTTAAATTGATTTGACTATCTTCTTACTAAAACTATCAAAATGAAATGACTCAATTGTGTCAACGCTGTATTGTACTAATTTTTTCAGTTTATTAAAAGTAAGATTATATTATTAGAAAATACGACCAATTATAATATAATAATATAATAAGATATATATTATGTACAAGGGATTGTTACCATACATCCAATAACATTGTACGTTAATGTTTACTACATATTTATTAGTTGTGACCTCCTCAGAAATAAGCAATCAAAACTGCTATGAACAAACAATAAAAAAGTAGAAAATTTTTCAACTATACATAAGCAAGGAAGTTACTTTAATTTTATTGATTATAATTTATATAACAAGGTTCTTTTTTGAATGAATCATATAAAATATTTGATAATATAATTTAATACTAAAATGTTCATATTCGTCATAAAGTTACTTTTAAGTCAAATAAATGCATTTCTATTTTATTAACAGTTTACTTTCACTAATAATAAAAAAGTTAATAAAAATTTAGCAATTACATAATTAATAAATTAACTTAATATAATAAAAGTATTATTAAAAAATTAATTTACATTATTTTTTAGTTTTTTACTTGATACATGTTAACATGATTTATGCCAAGGAGTAATAAAATAATTACACTTTTTATTTTAAAAATTATTTAAATGTTAATACAATCAATTAATAATTATAATTAAATGGATCACTAATAACTATGGAATATGATTTTGAAGTTTTAAAAGATTAGATTTTAAATGTTCTTCAGGATTTAAGTTATTTAAAACAAAACCAATATAAATTTTTAAAAATGTAGCATTAATCACATTACCACGACAATAAATAGCATTTAGAAGTACAGTCCAAAGATCTGATGAAGTAGGATACATATGGATTCCTCTTGAAACATTTTTCAAACACATTTTTAAGTTTCCTTCAAATAGATTACAAATGCTAGTTAATAATAATGCTTGACTAAGTTCCCATTGTTTATTGCTAACAATTGTAGCACATTCAAATAAATGAGGTCCCAAACCTCTTTTATACTTAGATTTATTTGCCATATAATAATATATTAAAATATAACCCAAATTTACCATCAAATGTGGATTATCAGGATAGCTGTGGACATAACGACTGATTATGCGTAGTGAGACAGTTGGTTGTCGATTCATGTAATAGAAATATGCCATAAAGCGAATTATATCTTTCATGTATACAGAATCATCTTTGTATGTATGCAATTCTTGTAAAACAATTTTTGATAAGTTTATATCACGTATTACAATACCAAGAGCAAAAGTTGCAAGAAGAGCTTGTACATTTGCTTTATTATTTTGTATACTTTTCAAAAATAATATTTTAGCTTTTTCAAAGTCTTGATTTATACTAAAAGTAATTGAAGCCATTGCTAAGTATGCAGATGATACAATACCAATATCAATTTTACTATCTGTTAAAGACTCATAAATAGCATATGCCTCTTGAAATTTATTGGTCTTATAAAGTGAAAGAGCCATTCCAGATCTATCATTTACATTCAATTCATCTATTTCATTGTATTTCTGAATAGCTTCTTGATAATAACCAGCTTTAAGAAGACTGAATGCTAAATTCCTTTGAATAATTACTTTATTTTCTGAATCACAACATTCTTCAGCTTTCTTGGCATATTTAATAGCATTTTTATAAAGACCACAATGTTTGAATAACATGGATAATGCATTAAGGCCCCAGCTGTGTTTGGGATTTTTTGATGTAAGCCAAGTTAGTACATCTATACTGTGCAATGTTTGGTAAGATGGTTTCAGTACTTTAGAATTAATATCTATATTTTTGAAGTTTAATTGTATGAAATTACATATGCTCTCTTCATGAATTCCTAAAGTGGTGGAATGATATAATAAATCCAATGATTTTTCTGGGTCATCATATTGGGTAAGTAATCCTTGTAAAATCCAACTATTAATTAAAGTTGGATCAATACATTGACTCAAATTGTATGCCTCTTGTGCTAAATCTACATTATTATGAATAGCACATTTAACAGCTAAATTATTGTAAGCAATAGCATTCAAATCACATTCAAGGGACTTAACAAAGCAAATATAACTAAAGTATTCATTATCAGACTCTTCGATTGTCTCAATTAACCCCAAAGTATTCCAAAAGTCTTTATTTTTACTATCCAATGATAAACATTTCTTAATAGCTTGTTTCGCTTTTAACTTAAATTCCATTTGTTGTAGTTGTTCACTAAATGAGTTCTGTGCATGTTTTAAATAACATTTAGCTAAATCGTACCAAATATACTTTTGGGCTGAATTCAATGAAGATTTTTTAATAGTTATATTTAAAGCCTGAGTATAACACCTACGTGAGTAGGTATATAATTGTAAATCTTTTATTTCATACATTTTTTGACTATTATCAAATACATTCCAAGGTAAAGTTAAGCATGATAATTTTTCTGGCATTGTAACAACTAGCATACATAAATCTCCAAATAGTTTCCAAGTTAATACATGTCGGTTATCTATATGTAATGCTCTATGTAAGTATAAACTTACATTTTTACACAGGTCATAACTTCTATTTACTTGATTATTTGAAATATGTTTAGCATGTTCTAAAAATATTTTAGAAGTTTCTAATAATGCAATTAACTCATTAGGGTATACATTAATAATACTATTGTAAAGTTGAATACTTGAGTCTAATAGTCCAATTTGATATTCAATTTTAGCAACTTGTAATTTTGGGTATAAAAGAGTCGGATTAAGTTCTAAACATTTATTGTAAGTATGTTTTGCAGCAATAAATGATTTACGCCCAAAAAGGGCATCTCCAAGACATTCATAATTAAGTGCATTTTTTGGATCATACTTTGTAGAAAGTTGAAAATTATCCACAGCTTTTTCATAATTTTTCAATTTTAAATAATATAAACCTAATCTAAAAGAAGCCCATTTTACATTAATTGAAGTTTTCAAAAAATGTAATAAATTTTCATGTTCTTCATTTTTAGAAAAAGAAATATAAAGATCAGATAGTGAAATTCCTGTTTCTTCATCATCCGGATTTAACATAATAGATCTTTCATAGCAAGCTATAGCAATAGAAAAATTTTGTATTTGTTTATAAAAATTTCCTAGTTTAGTAATAAGATCACACCTAAATGGTGCACTGTGTGAAGCTTCTAGATAAAGTTTACCAGCTTCTGCAAAACAACCCTTTTCCCAAAATATATTTCCTAATAACAACTTCATGTCAACTGAAGAACTTTCAATAATTTTTAAAGTATTTAAAGCATCATCAAGTTGCCCAAATCGGCTAAAGTAATATCCTTCTAATAATAAATAATAATCATTATTATCACAATTATTTTTTAATATATTTAAATACTTTTTGGCAGTTTCTTGATCTTTAAGATTACAACTGGCAATAATTATACACTTATTTAAATTAATAGAATATTTTTCGGACAACAAATGAATAGCTAGTTGGCGACCATGTAGAAATTGTAAGCAAAAACAATAAGCTTCTATTTCCCATATTACCATTGTTTCATAACAAGAAAAAGTAGGTTTTATAATTTTTTTTGCTTGTTGCACACACCGAACTACATCTTTGTAGAAGTGAATATTGACTTGAATTTCTGTAAGTAAAAACCACGCCTGCCAAGAGCGATTAGTTACTTGTAAAACTTTTTGTAACATTTTTCGACTTTCTTCATATTTTTTTTGAAGAGTCAAAACAATACTTTTAGCTATTAATGAATTTGGATTAGTTGGTTGTGCTAGAAGCAAAACTTCACACCTTTCCCAAACTTTAGTACTCATTTTGTCCACTAATTTTATTAAACTTTCCTCAGGATCTATTACAGTCTTAATGTAATTACTAATGAAAGAATCACAAAAAAAATTAATTGCTATTGCATTATTATTATATAGTGATAACATTTTTTCACAAGTATCAACTATTTCTTGTCTTTTTCCTTTTGATTTTAAAACTGGAATAAGTTTACAGTAGACTTCAAATCTATCATTATAGTTATTATCTTCACACAATGCAGTATAAATTTTTTCTAGGTGTTTATCTAAGGTATTAGTTTCTTCAGTAAATGGAAATTCTGCAAGAACTCTACAAATTGCTAAAATTTGAGGAGTCATTTCTTCAGTTTCTATTTTGGACAATACCATATTAATAAAAAGATTCATGTCCAACTTTGTCTTATAATTTTTCCACAAATCTATAGCTTTTTTTGCTCTAGTAATACACTTGGTTTCATCAGTTTCTAAACATAACAAATTTGCATATGTATAGAAAAGTTGAGGAGATACAACTAGCCTATCGCACTTTTCATAGTATTGTTCAACACCTTGCCAAGCAAACAAATTATTGGGATTTATTTCAATTACTTTTTGAAAATATTGTATGGATTCATCTTTTTTTGATGGTATTTCTAATAAGGTAGCACCATACAAAATCAAGCCAGAAATATTGTTTGGTTCTGAAGCCAACACAGTTTTACATATTTTAGCTACTTCAATAAAATCTTTTTTAATGAACTCTTCTTTAGCACGTTTCAATTGTTGTTTTACATTAATTTTATCCATCTTGTTATATTTTATGTTGATTATATCTAAAAACACATATAATTTAAGTAAAAACGTATACCCATCTAACATTAAATTAAGTGTGTATAAACATATAAAAATATATATTTTTACCAAGGCTTAATTTTTATGTTTTATTTATTTTTTATTATTTGTCAAGTTTTATTTATTAATTTATTTTTTATATTACTACATAAATGTGTTTTAAATTGTATAATGAATTGTTAAAAATAAACAAATATTAAATAAAAATAAATCCTAATATTTTCATGTTATAATAACATTTAATTTAAAGAAATTAATGTTACTATAAATTTTATTACAATGTTTTTTTAATATTATATTACATTTAAAAATAGAAATAATTTAAACATTTAACATTATGCGAAGTGCAATGGCAAAATTTTTATTAATCTGATTTACATTTAACGGTATTTTCTGCTTTTTGATACAATTTTTTTGTTTTTACTGTTAATACTTCAATTTTTATAAAAATTTCAGTACATCATTAGTAAATTTTATACAGTATTGAAGCTAGGACTTTTTCTGAGGAGGACTTTTTGCTTTTACATATAAGTCAGTACCAAGGCAAGGAATTAAATGCATTTATAAATTTTGTTAAGTTATTCTGAACACACCATCAGCCAGTACAAACTTTTATTAATTAGCTTGAAAAATTGATAATTTGTTGTTACTGAAGTTATATCTTTGGTCATGATTAGGTCACCCCCTCTAAAACGAAAAATATTTTTACATTACTATATAATCCCATAACAAAGTTGCACAAACTTGGAACCCATCATAGTGGCTTAAACAAAATTTATAAATGTATTCTTAGTTCTAATTATCATTATATGATATGTAATACACAAAGTGATCAGTTTATTATAAACCATTCGATACTCAAAAGAAATACAATATTGGAAAAATTAATTTTTGATCTCTTCTATATACATACAATTATTGATTGATTAGCTAATAATTATTTTTTAGAATCATCCTTTGTAATGTATTGGGATGTAAAATTATTTTTTTAAATAGCAATATACTTAATTAACTAACTTATTTAATAGATAATGATGTAATTATGAATATAACTGATCAATAAGAACTTTTAGACATGTATTTCAGAAGTTATTAACAATTTAAAATAATGACTGGAGGTGACGATTGGATGCTGCTATTTTTATCACTAGTTATTTTTCAGCGGTACTATTCGTTCTACCTAGGTTAAAAAAGAAGAATAACATCCAATGTACTGGTCCAAAAGATGTTATTGACCAGTCATTTTTTTAATTGAATAATTTCTAATTTTATAAGTTAATTAAATATTAAATATTCTATTTAATAAAATAAAGATGATACTCCAATACATTATAAGGGATGATTCTAAAAAGTAATTATTAGCTGATAAATCAAGAATTATATGTAACTAAAAGTAATCAAAAATTATTTTTCCAATATTGTATTTATTTTGTGATATTAAGCTCTCACAAAATAATCAACTCAATTTTTTGAACCTGGTTGACAAATTATTAAGTTTCATGATAACATATGATCTAATCACAGGTTTTTATGCCAGTTTTGTTTTATTCATACACATTTTTTCACAGTATTACTTTTAAAATAATCTGTTAATAATTGCTGTTAAATGTATTGAAACATTTACTAGACAATAAATTGATACAAATATATCAAACTATATATTGAAATTATAAATTAAAACTTCACAACATATTTTTAATTTTGTAACTAATTTATCCCAGAGAATAACTTTTGAGAGTTTTTTCTACCAACTACAATTTAGAATGGTCTACCATGATTTTGTCGTTGTCTAGCCTGTTAAATCCAGATTTATTTAAAAACAAAGAGTGAGAAGTAGAAGAGCAATCACCTACAAATCTACTTAAAATAAAATCTATTTACAATATCCCCTTTTAAATAGTAATGCAACTAGAGCAAATATCTTAGGTGTTAAAATTATGTAAGACTTGTTGTTATGGTAGCCTAGAAAATGTAATATTTATAATGCTACACTCTACAACTAATAATAATTAATTTTTTAAAAATCCATAGTTAAAACAATATGTATATATTTAAAATACAGAATTACTTTTAGAGTTTTGGGTACCAAAGCACCTTTTAATACCTCCTAAGTTCAGCCACTCGCCCTAAAATTTTTTTTTTTGATATTACATTATTAAAAGATTAATGATCACTTCATTGTTACTTGAATAATACTTTTGTTAATAATGACAGTAGGCATAATAAACATTATAACCATGTTCTAATGAAAATTAATAAAATTATTTTTGTTTGTTTAATTAAGTGCATTTTTAATCTAGGTGACACAATAAAATACAAATATTGCCCAGTAAAATTATTTTATCACCTAGTTAATTACTTTACATTTAATGTTTTTTAATCTACTAGATAGATATATTAACTATAATAATTTTATAATTTGAAATATATATAAATTGTTTCTTTTTACTTAATTACTCTAATACAATAAATACACGAATTACTATATGTAATTTTCATCAAATTGAAAATTATTTTATGTAATTGTAGATTGAGTACTTACCAAAAAATATTTATGAGCGATTCAAGAATTTGTTTCACTTGCATTGAACTAATTTTTAAAGTGTGGTTAATTAAAAATTTTATTGATAATTAATTCCAAAATATCATCAATCTTATGCTTAGAAAAAATATTACAAGTAAAATAACAGAAAACAGAGCTTGGTTACTTAATTTTGTTTTAAATTTAACTAGATATAATAAAATTTGAATTTTTCAAAAAAAAATATTATTTATATAATTTTTTAGGTCCAATTTACTAAAAACATTATGTTAATCAATAACAGAATTATGGTTCATTTATTACTATCACATATGATAACAATGATGGATAATAAGTGTCCAGCTATGCTGAAGTCATTGATCTCTTATGATTTATAAACATTAATTATTTATAAATCTAAATATTTATAAGATCTATGGTTAAAGAACTCTTAATCTAAGATTATGACTTCACTTAAGTACCTTTAGAGATAGGAACATGATAAGATTTAAATTATTAAATTAATAATTTTTTTTTCATAACTTAACCAACTAACCTAGTAAATTTGTTTTTTTCCATTGGTTCTACAGGTAGTGTTTAGCCCTGTTATATAAACCGAAAAGTATAACATTTACTTCCTTTGTAACTGGAGCTCTAAGGGGAGTGATGACATGCCTTTAAAAAAAATAAAAAATTATTCATATATTTTAAATAATCATTTAAATAAATTTTAATAATTAAAGGGACGTAATATTATACCTGAGAAAAATTTTAGCACAGGTTTCAAAATTATAATAAAATAGTAATAATAAAGATAAATTGATTTAACATATAAAACATCAAATTATTTTGCAATAACTTTTTTTAAAATTACTGATCTAAATAAAATTTTAATGAAGTAAATTAAAGACAATAAAGCTTTTTTCTGAAAATCCAATGGAAGGCCGAAGTACAGGAAGGGATTAAAATAAAACACCCACACATGTCAAATTTTAGTTCAAACTCGATTTTTGAAAATATTTTGGAATGCTGGGTTGACAACTTCTAACCTATATCAAACTAAAGCTTTTGAAGTATACTATAATATTAAAAAATTGGAAGGATGAGAAAAATTGGGAAATGAAAATATTAGTATCCACTTCTATAGTAATTATTTTAAATTGTTAATAGCTTATAAAATACTGGTCAAAAAGTTATCGACTAGTTATTTACTTAATTACATTGTTATAAAATAAGCTTGTTAATTACGAATATTGTTATATTAAAAAAATAAAATGACACCCCTATTTATTATAAGGGATCATAAAATTTATTAATCAAAAAATACCAAAGCTTTTTATTAATACTGTACTTATTTTGTGAGTAATCAAGTGTTAATGATAAATTAATCATTCTGTTTATTATAGTTTCAAAAAAAAAAAACAAGGTAAGATGCAAATATATACTTTTTTGGTGATTTAATGATTACTACTTTTTTAAATTCACTAATAAAAAAGCTATACTGTTTCAATAGTTAATAAATAAAACACTTTTTACTTCACTCTCTTATCTTACTACAAAATTAATTTAAAAAATAAATATACAAAAAATCAGTTAATATTCAACTCAGTTATAATGAACTAATTAATAGACCAATAGTAATTAAAATTTACATAAAAGTTTCAGAATAAAAGACAAATATGATAGTATTAGATTTTCATGTTCACCATTTCATATTTCTATAATTTTTATACTAAAACAAGAAAATATAAAATAATTATGCATACCTGTCTAATGATAATTGTCCAACCACATAAAAAAAATATTTACTTTAATTTTTATTACGTTTCCTAATACTAATACCTATGTGTTATGTTAACAAAAGAAAAAATTCATTATAATTACTTTCAAAAAATAAATTACTTCAAATAACAATATAAAAGTTTAATTAAACAATATTTTCTAAACATTGAAATTACAATTTTCTCTCAATTGATGAAACATAACATTTTTAACACACTAAAGAAGATATTTACACATAATATTGTAAATTCATTTTTAAGTAAACTGGTTTCAATCAGAAATCTAAAAAGGAATGGTTTCCTTACAGTCAATTATACACAATTTTTTATACAAAATTAATAATAAATAAAGAATGTACATTACATACTTAGAAATTAGGAGTTGTATGAATCTATAATTTTTATTTTACAAAGTATTAATTAAAACATAAACGATTCTTTAAGATTTCATAACACACTCTGTGTCTTAATTTAGGCATATCTTCTTGAGTGAAATCCAGTTTAGCATCACGAGCTAAAAATTCTGCATTAATACATGCAAACACTCCACAATCATATCCATTACGTTGTTTTGGGCAATCATCAGCATCCATTAGTCGCCAATTACTACAGTCAAGTTCTACATTTTTTTTATTTTTATGTTCTTCTTTTAAATAATATAACATAACATTTAAGCATTTAGGATTTTTTCCTCCTAAACTATCATAGTATTTAATGGTTTTTTCAACAAAATTGATACATATTAGACACCAATGATTGCCTAAATGAATCGGACTGAACATTTTCTTACAAGCAAAAATGTCTTTCCTTCTTGACCAGCGTCTAACAGATTCATAACCTTGTGAACTGAAACAAAAATTATTTATGTTTAAAATAATTAATACAAGGTGTTCTTTAGCAAAACTATCACTATAAACAACATATGACTAACATATTTTCTAAAATTTGTTATTGCCAGTTGGTCAGTTAGTTATCAATTTACAATCTCTTTTAATATAACTTATAACCAGTTGGCAATTTTTTCTCTACAAGGAGAAAATAATTCTCTATGTCTATATCTTACACAAGAAAAATCTTGAGCATATCAAAGACAGTTTTTTTATGAAAGTATATAAACATTATCATTTTGATTCCTTTTTAACAATTTTTTTTATTGTTTAATTTATTGGAAATTTACAAAATAATCACTACTAAGCAATAGACATAAATTATAATTTTTATTTTAATTCATAGAAAAACAGTAAATGATAACTGTCTTTTACAAAACCAAATAACTGCTACCAAAATAGATAACTAATTTAATGTATAACTCATTGTGGTAAATTAACCTGTTATTTTCTTATTTTTATAGTATTTCTTATTGTATGCTGTCATTAAAAAAATTTAATAAATTGTAAAATTCTGAAAACAATAAAAACTTTAATAAAATATTTTTGTAAATATTATAACAAAGTCAAGATATTATGAGGTCTAAGATTCAAAATTTAACGAAGTACTCATATCAAAGACATTACATAAATATTATATTTTATGCTGTGCTAAAAAAAAATTCTGAGACACCTAAACTTTATAGTCCAGGTACCATGGCTCCCTTTCTCAATCTACATCAAGATATAAAATATTTGATTTACATTAAATAATCAATCAGTAAATATTTAATATATTATGAATTTTCAAATCTTTTTAGGATATTTAAAATTAAAACTGCATTAAAAATATTATTAATTTAAAACTAAAAATTATTTAACTCAAAAAACTACAAAAAATGACTAAACATATACTATCAGTGTATGTTTACCGTTAATAATGGTAACATTGTGTTTCGAAATACGTATCTGTGATTTTTTAGAAATTTTTTGTTACTTTTTGTGCTATATATATTTAATTTTAAGTTAATAATATTTTTAATATAGTTTAAATTTAAAAATTATATTAGCCCCAAGTGATCAATATTTATTATATCTTTTAGGATGACTTTGAAAATTAAATTGTTATTACTTTTTATATTTTACTTTATTAGTTATCTTCAAACTTACGATAATTTTGTATAAAAGAAAGTATCAAATGAATGCAATGAATTAGGATCACGTTCCACAATCATATTCATGTAATGGTTAATAACTTCATCATTCAACCATGCTGTTGGAGAATAGATTGTTCTTAAATCACTTTTTTTTATATTTTTGCCTTTAATAATGTATTCATTTTGTGGGCCTGCCATTTTTTGCGCAAGAAAATCTATAACTTCTTTTCCATAACCAGGAAAAATATCACTTTTTTTCTTTGGTTCGACTTTTTCAATCAGTTTATTCATAGATTGTAGTTTTTCTAAAAATACATCATCAGATGTTTTCTTTTTTATATCATTTTGTATGGCAGCAGCTGCTTGCTTTTCTTTAAACTTTCTCATTACACGACTATAGAAATTTTCTTTTTCTAGTATTTTATTTTTATAAAAACTCAGTTCTGGAAAATTTAAATTTTCTTTGCCACAAATTTGAGATGTAACAGGTTGATTTAAAACAGTTTGTTTCCTTGAAATAAGTGGAGATCTTTGACTTGATGCTGATAACACAGAGATTTCTGACTTCGATTTTGGAATAACATAACTGTTTAAAATCATACCTAAAATACGTTCATCACTATTCTTTGAATGGATTCTATCAATGTGCATTGTAGACATACTAGATTCCATACAGCAATTGTTTAATTCTATAAAATGAAATTATCATACTTTAAAAATTAAATTTAAAAAATGATAAATAAATAAACTCTTAAATCATATAATTATTAAAGTTTGAATAATTAAATACATCATTTTAAAACGCAACAATTAAACTTTTACTATAAATGTAAAATAAAAAAATATCAAGTATAGTTGAATCTACATGCGTATACGCTTGAAGATATACGGGTGTATAGTTTAACATCATAAATTATTATTTTTAACTCAAGTGGCTGATTAATGTACATTATATAAGTTTTAATATTATATAGATTTAAAGGATGCAAGTTTGCCACTAATTTTATGTAGGTTTAAAGAAATAAATTTTTTTAGAACATAATTAAATATTGAAAAAAACTATACTTCATACATAGTTATCAAATCAAATCTTAAAAGTATAAAACATACTATAGTATTTTCTTTCAGTAGTTAATAGTATTCTATGTTCTATAATTTTCAAAAAAAAATATTCTCTTCAGTTTAAATTAGTTCAATTTCAGTTTTTTAAATGGAAAAATATATGTTTAATTACCTTGAAAATATAAAATTACTGGTCGATAACTTTGAATCAATATTTTAAAAAATATCAGCACTTTTAAATTAGAGTGGGAGGAGTAGTGTCATTTATATATGTATAGAAATAATAGTAAATAGACCAGCTTTACTCTTCTCACTCTAGTATAATAGTGCTAATGTTTTTAAAAAATAAGTATAATTAAACCATTAGGTCAGAAAAAGCTGCCTCGTTATTTCTTATTAATTGGCAAAAAAATAAGATGTATAATTAATTGCTTATTATAATAGTTTCATTGTTTTTTTATAAATTCTAACATAAATAAAATGGCTTGATAATTATCAGTCCACTATACATTGAGTAAACAGGCTATATCATTTTACCCCATGTTCTTCTTTACTGATTAATAATTTCAGGATAAATCAAAATTAATAATTAGTATAAACCATAGACGTAGCTAAGAAATACAATTTTTTTTATACAAAATTTAGTTTCCTTAGGTTTATTTATCTATTGTTTTGTCATTAATATAATAAGAAAACTAAGTTATATAAAAAAGTTTATACTAATGATCATTAGTATAATTTATACAATAAAAGCAAAGGTATATTTTGTAATTTTTTGAAAAGGCAAATGATATAATTTAATATTTTCCCTTAAAATATGTTTTTATAAAACAATACAAATAGTTTTTTTACGTTTTTGGGGAGTTAACTCTCCAAAACCCCCATCATTTTTTACAAATGACTTAAATTACAACTTCAAATATTTACTTTTACCTTTAACTGATGAAGAAGAAGATAGTAAATATTTATCTTCTATATTAGATTTATTATTAGTATTTGCCATCAATTTATCTTCCCTACTAGATAATCTAGAAGGATTTGATAGACTGTATGATCTTACAACTTTAACTTTCTTTTCCTCATCACTGCTACTGGTAAGATCTATTGTAGTAATGGGTGATAATGTTCTTCTTTGATATCGTACAGTATCAAGATAAACTGGTGGACTAGCTCTTAGGGGTACAGTGGAAGGTCCAGGTTCCATGATTTCAACCTCTTCCGTTTCAGATAGAGACTCATCACTAATTTCAACTATTTCTACAAGGCTGTCATCCATTCGAGCTCTTTTGCTAGCTAATGATTCACGTTCATCATATTTCCGTTTGTTATTTTCTCTTGAGTCAGACAATCCAGTTTTAGTAGCAAACCAATTTTTTATATTTAATAATGAGTTTAAGAGACCCATTACCCAATTTTAACATAGAGAATGATATAAAAAATGACCTGATTATTTACAATTTCTGAAAAAAAAAAAAGAACAATTAATATTTTAAATAAATTTTATTTGTTATATAGTAATAGATTTTTTTTTTAAGCTCAAGTTTTAAAAATATAAATAAATATGTTAGACATCTATAACATACATATAATATATAATCACATATTTTTTAAACACTTAACATATCTTGAGAGTTTCACATTACAAAATAACTAAAGAACAAAGAAAAAACAAATATTTAACATATTAATAATGAAATAATTTATAGATATAACTAGGTAAGTATAATATAAGTGGTTTAACACAAAACAGAAATTAGGGATATTAAATAATATATGGTCAAAATATAAGTGGGTATGCTCTAAAAGTAGAACACTGAATCCTTCTTTATAATTTAATGACAAATAATTAATTACAAAAGTTTAAAATTTTATAATATTTTAAAATTACTTTTTAAAATATTAATAAAAAAATAAACTTTTAATTGAAGCTCCTCAAAATTCTTGACTTTTGTTATATTATTATTTTTATTTAACTTATAGGCAATAGATTAAGAGTATTTTTTATTTTCTCATATTATTGAACACATAAATAAAGTAAAAATGTTTTCTCATTCAATAAAAATAGTGTATTTAACAAAAAAAGGAGTGGATAGGAAAAACCTAAATAGTTTATATAAGTAACTATTTAAAACAATTATAAATTTACATTATAGTGAATTAATGATTTATCATATTATATATATAATAAAGACTTATAAATTAACAAATCGAGAGAAAATTGTATTAAAAATATTGTTAGATTAACTATCATGGAATGATTTCATAGGGAGTTGTGATAATGTCACACTTCCTAAACATTTATTAAAATGATTAGTAGTTGGCATTTTTAGAATATATTGTGAACTTTCTTTACTCAATAAGGTTCATTATTCAGCAAATGTATAACAAACAGTCATCAAAATTCACATCACAAACTCCTAGACATTAACTCTATGATTGATCATTTAATGATACTCAAATTGTTAAAACAAGTATAGTTTAAAAAAAACATTGAACCTTCACAATTTTTAAATGAATTTTATCTCAGTTACTACTTAACAAATTTCAAAAATATATTATTTTTCTCTTACTCAATATTTTGACACGCAAAAAATGTTCGAACAAAATACTATAAAAACAGAATTTAAATGTATACAAATTTTTAATTAGTTTATGATATTATCATAATCTTAATTTTTCAAGTCAACAGTTGTTGGTGGACAAAATTAAGACTAGTAATATCAATATGATATCATCTTCTTTTATAAAAAATTGAAAATAAACAAATCAGTGTAGACAACATATTTCTTATTATCCGTCTACAAAAAAAATTATTAATCTTATTAGTGATAAAAATTTAAATTTAAGTCGAAAATCTTAAATTCTACAATTGTCGACTTATATTGACTTCTACAATTTTCTTGGTTTTCTGAAATTTTCTAAAAAATTACTTCAATACCTAGCCTATCATTTCAAATGTTTGCAATTGTCTTTTTAATATTTTAAGGAGCAAAATACAAGTTTTTCTTGAAAGTATCATTTTTGTAATCTTTTTCCAACTATGGGACAAGATGACAAAAGCGATTCTAAAAGAAATGTGTCTTTGTGACTTATTAGGTATTAAATAGTATTTTTAGAAAATTTAGGTAAGAAATTTGAAAAGTTTTCTTTAATGTTTTGATATTTAAATAATTACATAAAAAAACACGCTAAATATAAATTCTAATCACCACTAAAATTAACATACGTGCATGTATGTTAATAACAAAGTGTACCGTAAGAGGCTTTTTGCTACCTAGAATGTGCTGCTATAAGTAATTGATGTTGAGAAATACTTAATTCGTCATTATACCCTATAGTGTTTTTAGAGTAGGAAGTAGGGAAAAAACAATTATAATTGTACTTTTTATAGTATCCTTAAAGACGTTATTCTAATAGACGCCTATTATTGAAAGCAAATATAATACTATAATATAATACATAATTGTATAATTTGTTTAAATAATAAAGGTAACGCAAAAATATTTGCTAAATCAAAAGTTATTAAAGATGTCAGAACATGGTGAGATAATGTATTATTATTATACAGACCATTAAGAGCCATTCAGGCTCCTTCAAAAGATTATTAACTTTAAATTTACTGTGACAGGTGGTTGTCCCATCACTGAAATTATGGCAACTTAATTACTCTTGTACAATATACAATGTTGCCCTTGACTCAATCTTGAATCTGTCAAATTATGCATAAGTATAGAGTCCAGACAAACTCTTACGAGAATTTGTTCTCTTTTTGTAGAAGTTATGTTATGTCAAAAAGTCTTCATTTTTATACTTAATTTATCAGTTCATATTTCTAATACAATAGTAAACTAATAACAATTTTTATGTATAACAATGTGAAGTAAATTAACAATACAAAGTTTTAAAATGATACTTTATAAATATATCTATCTTTAACTAAGATTAACTGATAAATCTAATTAACTGTTTGCAGGCTAATTGGTCATAAACAAATTTTTTTAATTACTAAATCAATTTTTAAACCCAACCTACCTTTTTCTAAAAATATTTTTTATATTGTATTAACTTAATTTTCATTTTTTTTGGGGGGGTTCTTAACCCTCAAACATTTCTTAACTCTATGCCTATATTTACTAATAACTAGAAAAAATTTCTCTTATTTCATTTTAGACATTTGGTTGCCATATGCATAAGACATTGCTACATTGCTTGTCAGCTACAAAACCCTTATATATAATTACAAAAGATTAATTAGGACATTTTTTATAATTTATAAATTTTTTATTATAATATTTTCTTAGCTAAATATAACTATTTCAAGTTTATGTTTTTGGAACAGGGGGTTGGTAATATTCCTTGATGTTTTCAGGTAATGATTTTATTTCAAAAGCACCAACCTCTTTCAATAGTTGATTTTTTTCATAAAAATATTGTCTAAACCAATTAATATGATCTCTCTTTTCTTCGACAGAAAGATATGGATTTTTAGATAAACCAACACAAACTAATTCCATAAAATGTCGAATCGGGCCTTTATTAGGGCACCAATCTTCAATCAAGGGCTCTAAAAATACATGATCAGCAAAAAATACTTCATTTTCATTTTCCATTCCTTGTTCATTATTTATGGGAAATTTCCATAATTTTCCTTCTTCTGTCCACATTATCATTTGTTCATAAATATTTTTAGGGGGATGTGTTATAGCTAATTTTAATGACTTTTTATGTAAATGATCCCAAGTAGAAAGTGTTATACCATTTTTGTCCAATGTAAGAGGATCCTTGAAAATATTTAAAGGTTCACCTCCAAATATGTCTAAAGGAGTGTAATCTTGCATAGGCTTTCTATAATATTTAAATTTTTCAAAAGATTTTTGGGATTTAGTAAAACGATTTAAAGATTCTCGAACTCGTTGAGCTTTATCAACTTCAGGATACTTATTAGTAGCAGGCTTAGAACAATCAATTTTCATTCCAGAAATAAGTTCACTTAGGTGAACTGATGATTTTGGTTTCTTTTCATTATCAACAATGGTTTCATCACTGTATATCTTTAATAAATTCAATAATTCAGATTCTGTTTGTTTGATATCTCCTCCTATTGATTCAGCAACAGAGTGTGCTGCTTCTACTAACTGATCTTCTAATTGTTTTTCTTCAACCTTAATTTTTTTTTTACCTAATTCTGCTTGTTTTGCTATTTGCCTAGGTTTTGCAAGATCGATTGGTATGGCACTTTTAGGTACATCATTTCCTTTAGCCATAGATTTTAATAGATCATTTAATTTATTTACAGCTTGTGTTTTTTTATTTTTTTCGTCATCTGGAGGTATATTATTGGACTTAAATCTATGAGTGAAGTAATAAATCCTATTTGTTCTTAAATATTTATCACTCTTGATATATGATATACACTTCATAGAAAAGTTTGAATACATATCTAATAGTTAGACATGAACAATTTACCTATGAATAAATGCAATATTAAAAAAATAATTGTTAAATGAAATGACAATAATATTTTGGACAACTTACTTAATAAATATAGGAAGATGAGGGAAAGTTTACTAAAAAAGAGTTTTAATACCTTTTTTGTTACATAAAGTGTAATCAATAAAATCTTTAACCAAAAGTTATTAAGCAATACTATTCTATTGCAAAGAAAAAAGAAACTGTTGTCATTAGTATTAAATTGTATATTCTCTACGCACATGCGCCAATGAAGTATCAATCACTGATATATAATAAAACTAGATAGCCGTCTTCGATATTATCACCATAAAACAGACCACTATATGTTAAGTTGACAACTCAGAAAATAAACATTATCAATCTCTACCTATATACTAATATGTAATTATAATCAATAATCATTGAAAAATTTGTGGATTATTAAAAATTATTTAAAACGAAAATTTATTTGTTGTATTTGTATTTGTTGGATAGAAACAAATCGAACTGGTTTATGAATCATTTAATTTAATAATGTTTTGGATTTGCTTGGGTGTTGTACAACTTGTAAAAAAAAATGTTAAATACAAAATTAGTATAATATTAGTATTAAAGAAATCACAAAGTATAAGTCTGAGTTAATAAACATGTTATTGGTTATAAAAAAAAAAATTGTTATAGTTTTTTTTTGGCGTTTTCATGCTGGATTTAAAAAATCTGATGAAAATTGTTTCTTGTATAAATGTAAACGAATACTTCAATTCTTTTCAAAATTGATGTTAGTAACATTTACTTATGTGGCTTCTCTAAAGTTTCTATATTGTTACATCTTAATTTTTAGAATATTTAAGTATCCAGTGCATTTTTTTAAATATATTATATTTTTATCTAAATTTAGAATATTAATATTACTAAAATAGTTAGTAAAATGTAATAAACTAATTTCTGTTTCTGTAATAATATTGCACACATGATTAGATGTTGTGATTAAACCTCTGATTTTTGGAGTATAAAAATGTTGTGTGTTGAAGTAGTCTGTAATCATGTTCACTTCTTATTTCTGCTAATGATGACAACCAGTAATTGCTATCTATGATTTTACAGACTTTTTAATAACATTTTGTGAAATATAATATGGTATATTTTCCTTAAATATTAAATTATGTATTTTTTAATTTCACACATAAGTAATTGGGGTAAAGTAATCTATGTATATTTTCGAATTTCACATAATATTATCTATGAATAGCAATTTTTATAATTATGAGATTAACCAAAAAATAGTTATAGTAAACAGTTTAGATTATTTTTAGCAGCATTTTATAAAATGCCCATCAAACTAAAACTTAATGATGAATCATAAGTCATTTGATTTTTAAAACAAGATTTATCTATTTTAGCTTCGATGCGAAGCTGAATAGGTATTGGATTTACTATGTGTTTTTTTTTACATTTTTTTTGTGTATCTGTTACCATTTATTCTCAGCTCTCATCGAACGAATTTCTTTCAATGATACGTCAAAAGATCACAAATCGTATCTAGTCGAAGACATTATCCTCAAAAATTGAAAAAATTTCCCTTGTTCCTCGTAAAAAGGGAAATCTCCAAAAAAATTACAATTTTAAAAATCGCTAATTTTCAACATCTTTTCAATTGTTTTTACTTAAGACTGTCATAACTTTTTCAAAAATAACCAAATCAATATTATTTTTATTGTTGCACGATGTCTTTACCTATCATTTGATATATTTTTTTTATAAATCTGACCCTTAACCAGCCCACCCACATGAGGGGATTCAAAATGATAACATTTTCATAAATAATTAACGTAAGGGGAAATACTGACACTTTTATATTACTTTGAATTAAATGTTATGTAATATACTTTTTTATGGAAAAAAAAATTCGGACTTCATTTTGTCTTTACAGTGAAAATGGCTACCGTATGCTATTTTTGTGTTAAAATTCTCGATTTTATATTTTACATTTTTAACTTTAAAATACTATAAATTTTTGAAAAATGTATGGATCAATACAATTTTTTTATGATAAATACTATATAGGATATAAATAAGGAAATAGGAGATCATATAGCTTTTGGAATAATCCATAATTTTTTTTAAATTAAATACTATCTATAGATTTGCATCGAAGCGTTTTTTATGATGGTGATTTTAATCACTGTGAGATATCACTATATTTGACCCAATTATGCCACGTCCCCCACTATGCTTGGTTTTTTTTTAATTTTTCATTATTTATTATTTTAAATTTAAAACTAGCTTTTGAGCCATAATTGTAGAGTAGAAAAACTGACATAGAATTATTAAAGAATTTGAGAGATCGTTTTATACAAATAAAAAACATTTTAAGTGGAAAATATTTTATAATGAAATCTTTTAAGTACTTTTTTGAAAGAAATTTGATTCAAGTGAAATAGGGTAAATGTAAACAAGTTTGGTAATAGTAAATTCATTATTTTTCTTAAAATACTATTTTGAATAAATGGTTATATAATTTATTATAATTAATAATTCAAAATATAAGGATTATTTTCAGTAGATGTATCCACAATTATCATTTTTTTTTATGTTTACCTTACTTGACATTAATTACTTGTGTGAAATTAAAAAATATATGTAAAACTCAAAAATTAAATAAAAAACTACAACATTTATTGAAGTATTTTTTGGTGAGTTTGAAAAAAAAATTCAAGATCCTTGTTCTTTGATGCTGAAAACTGGTATAATTACACGTGGCGAATAACACTATTACTTAATTAATCAACTAATTGTAAAGATAGTCACAAATATTTTGCAAATAATGAATAGTCACACTGTTTGAATGTAAAAAACCAACAAAAATAATTCAATAATTGTCTTACTCCAAATATAATTACACCATTATATACAGCATCAAAAAACACATATGTCTGTTTTGTTTTCAAACTGTAAAATTGAAGTTTTTAAAATTTTTAAGCTTTACATATAAAATTTTAATTTTATACTCAGTTTTTATTAGATTAACCGGGAAATAGTTACAGTATAGTTGGCTTTCGTTTTACCAAAAAAGCCTATCAATTTCAAAATTAAAGGCCTACAAACACGGTTATATTTGACGGATATGGCCCAAATTTTAAACAAATCTTATTTAATATCATCAAATTACATTACAGAATTAAAAAAAGTAAGACAAGTAAAATAAAATGTGAAACATATTAATTTTATTTCTCTCATAAGATAATAACAGATTGTCACAATATAAAACAGCTAACATAAAAAAAACAACTTAGAATCATTCAGTTATATATATATATAAACTAAAATGACAAGATAAATTTAACACTACAAAAAAAATAAAATAAAAATTGACATGAGGAAGTAGTTAAAATATTACCAACTTTGAAAACTGTATTTTAAACTAAATAGAGAACAGTTATTTTTAAAAATAATTTTTACAATGAGTACAAAAAATAGATTAAATTAATTATTATTAAATCTTATAATTTGAAGCAAAAATGTATCTTTTTATTTGTTTAATAAAATAAATAAATGACAACTTCTTCAAATAAAAATTTATTTAATTAGAATTATATTAATACATATGTTTGAAGACTATTCAACTCAATTATCAACATTTTGTAAGTAAGAAAATTAAATTAATGTACTAGAAACTAAAGAGAAATGCAAATATATTATATTACTTTTTAAATACGAGAAATTAAAAAGAAAAAAAATCATTTTATATAAATTGAGAAACATTTTAAATGTTTGTTAAATATAATTTTCATTTATAAAAGATGCCTTGATTAACAAAATATCAAAACATAAAAATATACTAACTTATTATAATAGTATGTATTACTAAACAAACTACTATAATTAGTTAATTTATTAATGAAGTACATTTTTTGTTTTAATTTTATGTAAAAACAATTCAAGTAATGTGGATATATGAACACATTTAACAAAATATTATATTGGTTGAAAAAGCCTCCATTACTAAAATAAAACTTAAATAATTTATTTTTAATCTAAAACTGTAAATGATGCACAATTAAATTAATAAAAAAGATAACAACTACAATAAAAATATAAATAGGCATTATGATGAAGAGATAATTTATCAAGCTGCTAATAACATAAATAGACAGCAAAACTTAAAAAAAAGTGTTAATATCACTAACAAATTCCAAAAATTCACAGTTTCACCTTCGCAATCTTTTTTTTTTTTTATAAAAAAAAAATAATAATAATAATTTGTGTATGTAAAAAAAAAAAAAAAAAAAGTATTAAAATTATCATCACAGAGTTCATCTAATTCATATTTACATTAAGGAGACAGTAAATAGTAAGTTATAACTTTTTTCTTCAAAAGGAAGAATAACGTTGAGATTTATGTCCAACTAACCTCCTTTTATGCAATGTATTTAGCGCAACAGGGGCTCGTTTTGGAATTAGTCCAATTTTTTTAATTGGAGAACATTGAGTAGATTTTGTTGTTGAACAACTAGCTAAATAGTCTCTTTTGTATTGTATTGTTGATAATTCAGCTAGTTCTGTAGCTTTAAAGGTAACATTCTTGAAAACATCAATTGCATTAGGTCGATTTAAGGGTAGTGGATCTATCATATTTGCTAATAACAAACTTAATCTGAAACCATCTATATCAGGAACAAAACCATCTCTCAAATAATGCCATTCGGGTCCATCACTTGGTAATCTAGATCCTGAGATGGCTTCATAGGCTGTCATCCCCAATGAGAAAATATCAACTTTAGTAATTGTTGAACTATCATATTTACCACTGAGCATTTCTTTAGGTAAATACCTTGCATCACCATCTTCGACATCACATAAACTATCTAAATGTGCTACATGGCCTAGATCTCCAATCTTGTATATAATATCTCTATCAACTTTTTCTTCATCTTCTTTCGAATGAGGAAAGTGACTAATCATAATGTTTGCTGGTTTTATGTCTAAATGAACCATTTTTGACATATGCATATAATGAAGACCACTGGCTAAATGAGAAAGTAGTCGCTCTAAAGCGCCATCATTAAATTTGTGGTTTTTGGTGAAAATTAAATCTTCCAAATTACCTCCATCACAATATTCAAATTGAATAAAAACTGAATTACTCTCATTCCAAGCTGAATGATAAGCAACTATATTTGGATGGCTAAACAAAGCTGCATTTGCATATACTTCTTTACGGGCATAATTTTCACGTCTAGTACCAACAACTTTTTTGAGAGTTTTTTTTATAGCATAAGGCATCCCTTCTAATATATTAATACATTTATAGACTTCTCCAAAGTCACCTTTGCCTATAAGCTTGTCAATTTTAAATTCTTTGAAGTATCTTGAAACTTCAAGATCAGAAAGCTCAATATTAGTTAAATCTTTAGCCCAACTATCGGATAGTGATGGCTCATTATTATTATTATAGTTGTTTTTACTACAGTTATTATTGTTCATCCATTTTGAACGCAAATCAGTAGCAGCAGGAGAAAATGGATTTATACTAAACTGTTTTACTTTCGGTAATCCAGAATCATTGAATGAATTGTGAGCAGTTTTGTGTTCATAGATCCTAGAACATTTTAATGAAGTATGAGATCTTTCATAAATTCCTTCTTCCAATTTAAGTAAACAAATTCGTTTAATAGGAGGAGAATATGAGATTTCATCTTTTTGTGGAGAATCAGCTTTAGAAGGAGAAGCTAAATGTTCAGCAAACCTTAATGGAATAGAGGGACGATGTTTTCGGCAAGCAGGTGTCATAGGCGGTATAAGTTGTCCATGATTTGGAGGTGTTTTAGGGGATTCTGGCAAATTTGTATTATTGTGACTTGGAGAGGATTCATTAGAGTCATTAAAATTCAAGCGTCTAGGTAATAATGAAATTTGAATACTTGAACGTTGAATAGCTTCGTCCATGATTTATCAGTGAATTAATTAATTTACAGATAATCAAGTTGTTATCATTCAAAATCAGCATTGTAAATACTTTTCTATCTAATTAAGATCTGTAAAAAAAAAAACATTAATTAAATAAAAATTTAAGAACTGTGAAATAATAATATATAATTAACTCATCAACTTATTTAATATGATAATGATGTAATTAAGAAAATAACTAATCGATAAGAAATTTTTGGGTCAGAATTTCAGAAGTTAGTAACAATTTAAAGTAATGATTAGAAGTAAGGAGTGGTAACTACTCTTCTCCCTCCCCTAATATAAAAATTATAATAACTACCAAAGTATGGGTCCAAAAATTGTTGTTGACCAATCATTTTGTCTTTTATAAGCTAGTTAAATAAATACATATCCATTTAATAATATGGAACAAGGGAAAAATTTTCTTAATTAGATAATTTTTTATTTTATAAGTCAATTAAATATGTGTTGTTATTTAAAAAAAATAAAGCTGACAACTCCTATAAATTATAAGAGATGATTCTAAAAAATAATTATTAGCTGATAAAATAAGAAACAAATTCTTCTTCTTCCTCGCATTAATCCCAATTACTTGGGGTCGGCTACCCTTATCCTAAACTTCCACTTGACACGATCTCCCACATCCTCTACGTTCACATCATATGTCCTCATATCGCATTCAATAACATCTTTTTTTTGGTCTTCCTCTACCTCTTCTTCCTTCAACATTCATTTCTACAACTGTTCTTACGCTTCCGATTCTTCTGTTTTCATAACATGACCAAACCATTTAAGTCTATTTTCTTTCATTTTATCTTCTCTAATCACTCCACTCATACATCTAAGCATTTTCATCTCTGCTACACTCATTTTTTGCTCTACTTTCTCATCAACCGCCCAACATTCTGAACCATACATCATAGCTGGTCTCACTACAGTCTTGTAGAATTTATCTTTCAGCCTCATTGGAATTCTTTTATCGCATAAGACACCAGATGCTTCTCTCCATTTCAACCACCTGGACTTAATCTTATGTCTTACATTCTCGTCAATGCCACCACTTTTTTGCACAACTGACCCTAAATACTTAAAACTTTCCACCTCTCCAATCACGTCCTTCCCTATTGTCACTGGTCTCCTTATTTCACCTACCTCGTGTTCTCCTTTATCAAAACTCGTACTCTATATACTGTCTTTCTCCTACTTATTCTTAAACCCTTTTTTTCAAGAGCTGATCTCCACACCTGTAGCCTTTAAAAACAAATATAAATAAATAAAAAAAAAATACAATTTTTTTCAACAGTATTTATTTTGCATGTAATCGAGTGGCTTATGATAAACCAATAACTCTGTATATATATATATATATAAATATAATACAGACATGATCTTCCTTGAGCAGTTTGTTAAAGTACTCGATAGTGAATTTAAGCTTATTGTATGGACTTAGTACTCATGAAAAAATATATTTTAACATAAGTGACAAGAAAAAAAATCATTAAAATAAATTTGTAGATCCTAGGCACTATACTTTTAATAAATAATATGGTAGCGAGTGATTCACTCAATTTACAAATGATATTTAGATTATTATTTTAATTATGTTTTAAGATTTGTAATGACTGAAAAAAATCTATTAATTATATGGAACTATAAATATTAGAAAAATTCATTATTACTAGCAAACCATCTAAATTCTAAAATATTTATAGAACATGTTTTGATTTCAATTATAAAAGTAAAATTTGATATTGATATTTTTATTTTCATATAGAAAAAATATTTTATGTACATTGTTTAGCAACAAATAAAAATAAAATATACTTATACTCTACATAATGGCAATACTTATTTACATTCAATAGTTGTTTATCTTCATTATATAAATAATAATGATAAAAAACAAAGAAATTGTACCTAAATAATTTTTAGAATGGTATAAGTTGAATAATTTATATTCTGTCATTTCATAATTAAATTAGTCATATAAAATAATTAAAAAATATATAATACATTAAAACTGATACATTTTTCTCTAATCATTTTTCATGAGTCATTATTTTACTATAGTATAGTGAATTAAACTGATTTCTTTATGTCACATTATGTGTCATATTTATTGTTAATTTATGTTAGCAAATTTTTTTTGTTAGTGATGTTGATAAATCGAATTTAAAATTGAATAAAATTAAACTGAACTTTTTCCTAGTAAGTCACAATTTTATACCCTATTTAATTAGATGTTCGTTTTTAATTTAAAATGTAAAGTATAACATATCCAAGATGAATAAGAATCGTAATTGACCTAAATGGGTGGTAATGCACCGACTAAAAAGATTTGGCTTGTTAATAATAATCGAATCTACTAGACGAATACGTAAAACTATTATAAAGGACAAGACTCAAAATATAGAAGGAATCTACTTACGCGGCTCAGAAAACATTCTTAAGAAATTCAACACAAATAATTCACGAAGTATCCAAAAATAAAGTCTTGAGTTATCAACACAAAATTGTTTGGTAAGTAAAACAGATAGACTACAAAATTGAAATAATTAATAAAAAACACTGTTAATAAAAGAACCGCACTAACAATTAACCAGTCTTAACATGAACGTAATGAGTCATACCACGATTATTCAGATCTGCAATCACATGAATCATGATACCTATAAGAAAAATGTATAATAGTATTTGGTATGTTTTCATCTAAATATTTTTGCGATTTCATTGGTCACAAATGATCACATGACTCTAGGTATACCATTGCTTATACAATGTTGCCAACATAAATTTGTTAAGTTGTGTTGTCTTTTTAGAAAGCGCGGGAAAACTATGATACAGAGTTCACCCCTCCACACTACCGCAAATCAAACCAAATAAATCTACAGGCACTCGACAGCTGCAAGTATTATGTGGGTGTCTGTGATTTTTTATTAAATTAAAAAATAAACGCAAAGGGTACTATTTTTATTAATCTTAATGCAAACATATTAATTATTGTTAGGTTGCTTAATAACAAAAATGTATTCCAATTTTTATGAAATATAAATAGTACAGTTTAAGTTTTTATTAGTATTATATTCATTACAATCCCTTAGAGGTGTATTAAAAAAAAAATTGTATGAGGACGATCCTGATAAATAAGAAATGGAGAGATATTGTGAGTTATGGAGAGATTCATTCTTCCACTAGTATGATTGTATGCCTATAAGGAGGATACTTCTGTAAATACATCACAAGCGATCCTAGAATTAATTTTTAGGGGGTAGAGAATGAATGCATCGATTTTTGTTTAAATTGATTGTTTGTTCTTGTTATAAATTTACTAACACGAAATTTGTTTAATGAGAAAAATTATTAATAACATCACCTATTAAAAATGTATTTACAATTACCAGATTTATTTAAATTTATACAACTTGATTCTATTCATAAAAACATGAATAGAATATTGTGTTATCAAATCTTTTTGTTATCAGTTTTTTCTATTTTTTAGCTTAGCTTTTTTAACTTTTTTAAAAGTTTTTTTTATAGCAACATGGCTTGTAGCTTTATATATATATATATACGTAGTATATTTAAATGTATACATATATAGTTTATACGCATATTATATCAAAATATAATATATAGCTGATAATTTTAACAAATTATGAAAACACTAAACGCGTTTTGATGAAGGCCAGTAGTTTATTTATACTATTGAATAATCACATAAGACGACTTTTTTTTATAAAAAACAGATGTCCTTTTACACACTTTGAGTTTCTTAAGTTGGAATTAAACTGAAGCAGATGTACTGGTAAAACCGTTAAAAAACCTACATAAGATCTCACCTGTTCAGGTAGACGAGACACGCATGGTTTGTGGATGGGAACCTTTAACTTGTTCCCACGCATTTTGCACCCCAGTTTAAATATATGTGTGTATTTGACTGTTTTTTAACAAATCCTTCCGGTACTCCATCTTATTATTCAATAAATATCTAATGAATATATAAATTAAGTTAACTAACAATCATTCGTCGGAACGTTGACTTAAAATAATTACAACAAATTAACGTGAAAATAGTACAAAATTATCAAGAATATAACTTTTCTTCGTTATACTAAAAGAAAATATCTAATGATATGTTTAATTGGTAGTAATAGAAAAAGGAAAAGTTTTTTTGTCATAAGCCAATCAAGTAGAACGATTACATGATTAATGTATAAAATTTTGATTTATATTGTCTGCCTCATTAAGTAAAACCAATATACAAATAAATAATTAATGTTTTTATAATAATCTGTCTTTTTTTAGCCGCTAATTATTTTATATTTACTATATATTTATCATAATAGTTAAACTCTTTCAGCCGTGACTTTTATGCCAATAATACTATTTTATTACCATAGCAATAACTTATTTGTTCGTGATAAAATTAGATATTATAAATTAATTTGTAAAAATGTCACAAGTCAGATTTCAGTTTAATTTACTATATTACTAGTTTCTTACTTAAAACAGAATTATAGGCATGCAAATCAGAGATAATGGTATAAATTATTTACAGGGAAGAGTTAAATACATATATTCTCAGTCCAATATTTGTATTAAAATTTGATTTTAAATAAAAAATATTCATAGTGGGAATTTAACTCCTTTTCTCTGATATAAACTAAAATTTTATGATAAAATGTCTTACGTTTACAGGACTCTATAGCTTTCAATCAGTTTATGTATAAACTTAGGTTTTATACTTCGAATTTATGCACATTTTCATTACTTCATTACCTGATATAGTACAAAATAAATTCTATATAAATTAATCATTAGTAGTTTTATCATTGAGGATATCAACATACATATTAAAAATCTCAATTTTAAAGAAAATTCAACTTATTTTTCTTTTATATAGCACAAAAAGCATCTGCAAAATTTTTTCATGAAGGGAGAGGGTAAATATTTTAAATCCAGCATATATGGATGGGTGACTAGAGTCTTCGGCCAAATAACCTCTCTATATGGATGCCTTTTATAATCGTAACAAGAAGGAGCTTAGCAGCCATATTAATTAAAGAATTACCTTCTCGAAAAATTATATGTTGTCATATACCTATAATGTATTTTTCAGGATAAAGAAAAGATATAATTAGCTTCCTCAAAAATGTTATTCTAATAGGTGCCAATAGGCCCATATATATGATCCTAGTAGAAAAAAAAATTAAAAATAATAGACTTTTTGGTAATTGAATGTATTATTTATAAATTAAAAGTCTCTTTAAATTTAATAAATAATTTTATTATTCTATAATAAAACAATGCTCCTTATTCTGGCATTCATAATATAATTTAATATAAATCCATTTTAGCTTCGATGCGAAGCTGAGAAGGTATTGGTTTTACTAAGATGTGTTTATTTTTTTTTTATTTTTATTTTTTTTTTTGTGTCTAATTAAATAGGAGTAATGTTGATAAATTAACAATTAAAAGTCAACAAATAATTTATTTATCTATGCCCAGAAGACAATTTACAGTAAAATAGATTTACGATATATGTATATATAAGTGCAACAACCAAATTATTAGTTACAATACGTATTCATTAACTATTAAAAAACGAAAACAATAAATGATAATAATAAACAATTATGATTAAGAATTTAATTTAAGATTTTTAAATTCTTTAAATAATAATAAAGCTTTATCATAAACTTAATACTATCTAAACTATGAACAAGATATCAACGTTACAATCATTACAACTACTTAACAACATTCGGTTAATTGGCTCATGGAAGCTATAATTTTGACTGTGATGATCAATTAAAATTAAAATTTATGTATAATGATTTATTAAATGAATACATGGTACATTTAGACCATTTTTAAATAGGTATATTAAATATTTATATGAACTAATAAATATGAGGAATCAATATTTCATTTTAACAGATCAAAAATAAATTTTAAGTCGAAGTATCTTCATCGATCAGTTAAGGCAAGTAGATGAAAATAAGAGAGCATACCTTTAAATCTAGGTTGCCACAGTTATCCTTATAAGCTAGTCATGTTATATATTTTTTGCACAATTCAAATTATGGTTACCAGTCCCAATTTTGATGTATTCCATAAAATGCTACCATACTCTAATATAAACAAATCAAAGAATAGAATAAAAATTATATTTTTAATTATCTCCATTTATTTTTAGCTTCTATACACATTGTTCTATTTACGTTGTGCATAAACGTAAATATGATTGACAATTCATATTGGGCGGGAAGACAGTCTGTCTTTTCAATTTACATTTTTTCACAATCAGAAAATCCTTTTGTCTTTGACCCTCGTATTATAATTAAAATTAATATACAATAGAACTTTGATTAGACAAAACTCAAGGGAAATGACTTTTTTTTCGACTTATAGAGATTTCAAGTTATTAAGGTTTTAGGGGAAAAAATTCGACATAATGAGTTTTCAGAACTTATAAGAACATTATTTTTACAACACTTTACCACACAGAAGTAACTAGTTTTCCCATTGTCAGTTTTAAATTTAATGAAGTTATAAAACATTTACTTTTTCGATGCAATAATTAACGCAATAAAAGCAATCAATTCAAATTGCCATAGTTAATTTGTCTAAATATATAGGCAAATCGCTGTAAAAAAACCACAATAATTTATAACTAACTATAAATAATATCTTTGAGTTATCTATAGTTTTTCTTTCAAGTGATCGAGGTTTTTTCAAGGGAATAGAATTTTTTCACCTTAACGAGGATTTCGACTTATCAAGGTTCAACTTATCGAAGTTCTACTGTAAATATATACAGAATTATATAGCATGATCTGATAACTCTTATAACTTTTGATATAACTAACATTTAACTGTAATGTTTATTTTTAATAATTTATGAATTTTTAGATTATGATTAAATCATATTTTTTATTATTTGCATCCAATAAGAAAAAAATATATTTTTTATAATTTGTAATTCTTTGAAAATAGTTAATTTTTAGATTTTTTATTACGAAAAACTTTGATGGATCGATAACAACTTTAGAATAAATACTAATTAAGTTACAATAATTTCGATACATAGATTAGGTATATATTGTGGGTGGAGTATGCATCTTAAGGATATAATGCGTCAGTAAGAGTTGTACCACCGGCGCTATTAACTTAGACTATATGTTAAAATATTTGTAACTCAATAATTATGTATCTTCTGACCGAAAATAATTTACGAAAAGGGCTAAACAATAACTATTTAGAAATTTTGGAAAAATAATATATATGCTGTTTTAGTATTAAAAACAAATAATAAAGAATATAATTTTAACGTAGTCTAAAAATTCATATTTTTTTTTATTTCAATGAAATATTTAATATATCAAAAGTTATTTCTTATAACTTTTATTGTCAGAACATGCTGGTCCATTCTATATATTTTAGTAATACCTAATTAACAATATGATTGAATTTAACTTTCTATTTTTTTACTGTCTCAAAGTATCTCATATTAAAAACCTAAAATACTAGGAAATATTTGATAGGAAATAGTTTGCAGGTATGAAATATAAATTTAATAACTAATATTTTAAAAGTACCTTCTCCAAACATTATAAAGTTAGAAGTAACAAAAATAAAATCTATGACCTTCACCGTCAACTCATTTCAAGGATTTTTGTTTAATAATCAATTGGATGAAGTAACCAAAATTTTCTTATTATGAAGAAAATATTTACATTAAATTTTTTATCAATATGGTATAAATAATTATATAACTATTAATGAATTAAAATTAAATTATGATTTATGGTATTTACCGTTAAAGTTAGTATTTATTTCGTATTCATACTTTTTATTTAAATTTTTTCAACGAATTTTCGGTATTTTTTTTTTTTTTTTTATTATACTAGTTTATTATTCCCTTGACTTATCGGAGTTTACCTTTATATAGGACTAGGACAATTGTAAAGTCCTTACAGAATAATAATTAGAAACAAGTAAATAAAAATATAATAATATTTGATTTTAAACATGTTCTCATAAGTGTTGTGTGATTATTATTATTATACAGCGATTGTTTAAACAGATAGATTAGACATAGCGAATGACCGTCAACGATTTATAATTGATAATTGTTAGAAGACAATAATTTAAATCCGTCATTGCACTGACATGCCATGAATAATACATATTACAATAAAAACATTAACAGTTATCTGTGCTAGACATCAAAGCGGCAGTTATTATATAGCCTTTACAGATTTTTAAATAAACAAATCACTTGGATATTAAGTAATAATTTATAAATTAGTTGTTTCCTTTTCAATTTCATTTGCTATTTTTCAAAAGCTTCTTAATTGTACAACGCAACAAAACTAGTTCCTTAAAGTTGTAGGAAGGCTGTGAATAAGTTAATTACCTATCTGAGGGTCAGGTCTTCGATGTGTCCCACATTTTTATACACGTAGTGCTGTGCACCTACCGCTGAGCACAAGGTCATATCAAGAGTGAACTTACGTGGACTTCAGAATACCACCTAATTTACATTAGGGAAATATTTTAGGTTTAAAAATTATCTTCAATAGCGATTTCGCTGATTAAGTGCATAATCATTGTCGCTCTCGGGAAACACCGGACATGTTAAATTCAAGGTCAAAGTGTTATAATCATCTTTCCGAAGATACGAATAAAGCTACAACTGTTCTCATTGTTCTTTTGACTCGAGTAAACGATTATGTTTTAATTTACTGGCAAATTTTTTTATTAACTTTTATTGGACTATAATGTACAAAAGCGTGTTAATTATTAAATATTGCGCGTCAGTTAGAGGGGAAGTGGATAATTTTGAAAATCAATCGCTGTCTTTAACCTTCACCGGTTGGGCTCACCTATAAAACGGCGGGCCGTATCTTAACGCTGGTCCAGTCACTCCCAAACGTTAAAACAGGGCGGCCGAATCACAAATTACTGCAGCACAGCCATCGTAGTATTGCGACTGTAGGTAGTACATTGTAGTGTTATAGCCGCCAAGTAAAGGATTTTTGTTCAAATATGCCCGCCGCGGCCGCCGAATACATGCCAGTGGCTGCTGAACTAATGCAGGTTTTAAATGCCGCTAATAAAACTCAATATTTGGATGACGGTGTTCAGAAAGTTTGTAATGATATCACAAATACCACTACCACCGAAGCTGAATGCGATTATAAGAGTGCACCAGATAGAGCAAAACACGAAGCTTTTGTTCAAGATGCAGTGCGCGTGATGCTGGAACAGGCCGTCTTTCGAGGTACTGATCGTCGGCGTCCGGTACTTGAATGGAAGAGTCCAGATGAACTACGCAAAGTATATGATTTCCGTTTACAACGAGTCGGTACCACTCATGACCATTTATTACGTCTCATTGAGGGTGCTATCGAGCACAGTGTTAAAACTGGTCATCCATATTTCATCAATCAGTTATTTTCTAGGTAAGTAAATTTATCAAACATCATTGTTGAATTAGGGTATAAATATTGCACAATAAGTACTGATTTACGGTATCAATTTTTAGTGTCGATCCATATGGCTTGGTAGGTCAGTGGCTTACAGATGCTTTGAACCCAAGTGTATATACTTTTGAAGTAGCACCAGTAATGACTATCATGGAAGAAACAGTACTGTTGGAAATGAGGAAATTTCTTGGATATCCGGATGGTAAGGGCGATGGTATATTCTGTCCTGGTGGTTCTATTGCTAACGGATACGCCATCAACTGCGCCAGATTTCACGCTTTTCCTGAAGTTAAGGTTAAAAAACTTTATTTTGATTCTGATTTATAGTAAAAATATAATAATATTTCTTCTATTGTGGGATTTTAGTCAAAAGGTATGCATGGATTGCCCAGATTAGTAGTTTATACTTCGACAGATGCTCATTATTCCATAAAAAAATTATGTGCCTTTGAAGGTATCGGTTCAGAAAATGTGTATGGAATTAAGACGGACGCTAAAGGTAAAATGGACGTTAGTCACTTAAAACAACAAATTCAAAAAACATTACAAGAAAATGCCGTTCCTTTAATGGTATCAGCTACAGCAGGTAAATTGTAAAGCATTTTGTTTTAAACTTAAATTCGGTGTAAAACACAGGACAAATTTGAAGAGTACAAAATTTTAAACAAAGTTAATGTAAAAATAATTTTTGCACAACATATTCATTGTTATTTTTGATTAACAAGTCTTATAACAATAAAAATCAAATAAAATACTAATACTTCAAGTAATTTGAATATTAATGATAACGTATAAGTAACATAGTAAAAGTTCAGTATAATATCTATTACGCGTTTATGATACGATATAAGAGAAAGTAACAACGGAAGACCTCATAACTTCTATTGCACCAATAAACATTATAACTAATCAACCGTCATATCATTAATGATAATTGTTATTACAACGATATTAAAATGGTTTGTTTTTAATAAACTAGTGAATAACTTTCTATGATTAGTGTTTTCATTTATAAACACGTTGTAAGTTTTTTGAAGTAAAACATATTTATTTGTTATACAATAGGTACAACAGTATTGGGAGCTTTCGATCCAATAGCAGAAATAGCTGATGTTTGTCACGAGTACGGTATTTGGTTACATGTAGACGCAGCTTGGGGAGGTGGGGCCCTAGTGTCCAAGAGACACAGGCAACTTTTGAGTGGTATTCATAGGTAATTTGACATACATGGATAAATTCATAAATCGTGAAATATAAATAGCAATACATTAAATTGTTAATAGAGCCGATTCCGTCACTTGGAATCCGCATAAAATGTTGACCGCACCTCAACAGTGTTCGACTTTCTTAACTAAACACGAACGAGTACTGACTGATAGCAACTCCAGTTGTGCTCAGTATTTATTCCAAAAGGATAAATTTTATGATACTTCTTATGATACTGGTGATAAACATATTCAATGTGGACGTCGTGCAGATGTGTTCAAATTTTGGTTTATGTGGAAAGCAAAGGTAAATAACTACAACGTTGTTATTGTAAATATTTTTGTGTTTGTTTTGACTACATTTGCTGTAATAACTTTTAGGGTACGGATGGCTTAGAAGCGCATGTTAATAAGAACTTTGAAAACGCCAAATACTTTACAGATAAAATTAGGAACAGGCCAGGATTCCAACTAGTGTTGGATGAGCCCGAGTATACCAACGTGACGTTCTGGTACGTTCCACCTAGTCTGAGACAGTCTCATGATAACGATGCAAATTTTAACAGTAAATTGCACCAAGTGGCACCTAAGATCAAAGAAAGAATGATGAAGGAAGGCTCTATGATGATCACTTATCAACCTATCAATGATTTGCCAAATTTCTTCCGGTTGGTATTACAAAACTCATCATTGACTCAGGAGGATATGAACTTTTTCATCTCTGAAATTGAACGTCTCGGTTCGGATTTATAAAAGGCTTTCACGGTTTGTTCCTATTTTATTTCACTGTTTTGTATATCATTTTGTAGTATTCAGTATTTTATTTTAGATAAGTAACATAAAAATTAAATGAGTTTAAAAAAGCTTGGAATTATGTATAGTAAATTATAATAATTTTATTATAGTAAATTTTATTTAAGCGAGCTAAAATAATGTCATGAACATAATAATAGTTATTATTTAATTATATCAATAAATACTTTTCTGTATATATTGTATAATTTATATTTGCACGAAAGAATTAATAAATTATAATATATTTTGTTTTTATATTGTATGTTTTATTCTTTTAATTTGTTTCTACATATATATGAAATAAATTTTTAGTATTGCATAATCCATTATTATAATTTGTACTATGATGTCATATAAAATATAATAAAACCAAGGTCTTAATATCTAATTGTAATATTTAAAATAACCATATCATATATGCAAGGTTTTATTTTTTTCTAGAGCATTTTATTTTATTTTCCTAAGAGGAACGATTTAATAATTAGTTCAAATTCCATTTTACTTTCATAAATACACCTCATAAGCTTTATAAACTTTTAAAATAATTCTTACAGAATTTGATATATTTGATTACAAATATTTCTAGGCATACAATCTGTTACTATTTAATAGTATTTAACATTTTAAAACGTTAGTTTATGTAAAGATTCTAATACTAAATATTTTGTATTTCCTTATATGATTAAATTAACCTTGTTCTTATTTAATGATTCAATTACTCCCGAATGTGTTAATTCGACCATCTGAAAGTGATAAATAAAATCATTCAACTTTTCATTTTATATATTTCAATATACATATTATTAGTAGTTAAGTTTGGACGACTTGTAAAAATTGAATTATTACATCATTATTTAGTGGATAGAGTACGTTTTAATTATTTTTGTAGTTACAATGAAACCCGGTAGAATAGTTTAAAACAACTAGTAACATTTTTTAAAGCCAAATTTCCGGAATTTTTTTAAATAGTTTTCTATATTATTTCTTATCATTATAGTTTGGTGCAATAGAGTAGCATTCATGTTCTCTTAGTTGGTCTGCTAAAATCTTTACGACTCTTTTATAAGTTAAGATATTTCTATATCACAATGATTTTTAGGAAACAATAATTTAGGATAATATTATAAATTTTATTTCTATTTGTATTGTGTTCATGAAAATAAATGAGCATTATTTAAATTATTTAAAAAAAAAATGTGCTATAGTAAAGTTATTATTTAAACTTATTGAGAACAATGACATTATTTTTCAAGGAAATTAAGTACAATGATTTTTATCATGTTTCTTCAGCTCGTTATAAAACAGTTGTCTTAATATAATTTTACTTAAATCGAAATCCAAACTTTAATGATTATACTTACTAATAGTTACGTATCTAGGAATTTATCTTGGGTGTTTTACTTAAGAAAAATTTTTTCATTCACTTTAAATAATATCTAAGTCACATAGTATTGTAAGAATTTAAGGTGTATGAACCCGGATTTTCCCTTTTTTTGGTAAGTACATCTTTGTTTATTTACATGTATGACAGTATGTTAAATAGGATACATTCAATAGGTTTTCATGATTGAGCTAATCCGATCTCCTGTTTTTTCTTCTTACTGTTTAGTGAGCAGTGGCATTATCAGAAAAGTTGTTAGGGTTTGTAGTTCTCCTTCCGAAAAGCGAGCAATTCTTAAACTACAGTCGTTATTGACCTTCTCTTTTTGTTTATTAAGTTCATTTTAGGTACGTTTAACAATTCCTAAAATTACATAATAAGAAATACATAATAAGAAATTAATAATATAATCAATAAATTAAAAAATAAAATGAATACTCTTACAGAAAAATTTGTCTGGTTATATTACTGATAGCGTTCAGCTCCATTTTAAGTATATTTCAAAATATATTAAATGATTTTACTTTTTAATTGAATTTTATACAAATGTATGCGATATTCTAAAAATAAATTTTTTATAAATGATAGTAGTATTGTGATATAATTTGTGTTACTAATTTATTGGTTAAATAAGAGATATATTTTCAACTTTTTTACATTGACAACTTTAAAAAAAATCATATCGAGGAGTTTTTGCCTTTAGTAAACATACTTTAGTAAATAAAAATTTAAATTTTATGTTTTCCTTGATGTAAAGTATAAAAATCTTTCATTGTAATTGTTCCTTGACACCTAAGCCATATGACGGCCGCTCGTGTACTACGGTTCCGGTTATGTGCATACGTTCGTTGTACAGCTGGTCGGCCTCATTGAGAAAAAATTTTTGAATTCTTTAACACTATAAAAAAGATTATTTATTTGATATCTGTTCTTAAGGCATCTCTTTAAAATTAATGATATGATTACTTATTAAAGTATTTCAATACTTTCTAGATTAATTCTGAATTAACACACGAAAAGTGTATTACGTGATAAATAATTTTTTTTTAGCTTCTCTATACATGTGTACATAATTATTTCTATTGCTAAACTTCTGTAGAAAGAATTCGGTAAAAATTTTATACAATAACACATATTTTTAATTTTGGTACAATTAAAAAGAGGAAATTATTTAGTACTTAATAGAATTATTTTGCTAGGTCAATACTTTTAAATAATCAGTGACACATTTATCATTACATTTCTTCGATTAATTTTTTAATTATTATTATTATTACTTGAAAAATTCACAGAAATATTGTAGTAAAACTTAATTTGACCTTATAGTTACATTTTAATTTAAATACATAGTATAAAACACAAAAAAAAAGTAAAAGTAAACGAAATTTATTAATGACTTGTTAAAATTGTTAAATAATTTATATTTCCTAATAAATTAGGAAATAGCATTTAATATTAATAAATATGAAATTCCTACGACAATGGCATAACAATGTAGCTTTAAATAAAAAAAATTGATTTATTTACAATTTAATCATTTTGTACTGGGAGGGAGAAATTATCATTCTCACTTTCTTTAATTTCACTCACGCGATTACATTTTATTGAACACAAATATAATCATAATAAAATACAATTAAAAAAAAAATCCTAACCAAGTTTAGATATAAATTAATTAAATATATATATATTTTTTAATTTTCACACGATATGCCTTATTAAAACATATAATACATATAGGATTTTAGGAAGCAATTGAACGATCAGTGTAACTAGACAATATTTAAGAGAATAGTAAACATTTTACTAAACGTGATCCTTTTAGATTAAGAATTTTTTTTTACATGCTTAACACATCATTGCTAAGTCAAAGCTTTTCTAAAAATGAGAAATGAGTAAAATAAAAGGCATTTTCTAGTTAACTGTATATTTTTTTTTTAGTTTTTTAGTGTCTAGATTTATAGACGAATTATAAAATTTAATACTTCATATATCGATATAATAATACTTATAAGTATAATAAATTTATCTTTTTTTTTTTTTAATAATATTTTAAAATTACTTCAAATATACCCTAATTATCTGCTAATATGCTTTGAAAACTTCACAAATTTTAACACTTCTATTTGGTAAATAGGTCAACCCATTGGCGTTAGGTATAAGTAGGGGATTTACTAGATATTTAGCAAAATTAAATGCAAATTTTATATAAAAATTTGATCACTTTGTACTTATGAATGTACCAGATAAAAGTATTTTGATAAAAATTCCATCCAAAAATATCTTATTATGAGTTATTCAATTTACAACAACTAAACAAAAATTTAATTAATTAAGACTGGAAAGATTAAAACAGAACAAAATATTAGTTTTTTTTTTAAATTTGAACACTTTAAAGATTATGGAATAGGATAATATAAATATAGATTTAGTTAGGTATTGATAAAATACTGCATTTATATTTTTATTGTTATATATATATATATATATTAAATTTTACAACCAACAGTATCTATAGGTATAAAATATTCACAAAAGAGATACAACACCAATTATTAATAATAATTTATGCATCTTCAAAATATTTTGCCTACACTTAATTCTAATACTTTTAAGAATCTATTATTCACGGTAAATAATGTCTTTCTGTATCTCTACGTGTTTAAAAATAGTTATTTGCAAATATAACATTTATAATATACACTCAATTCATATAATTATGGTAGGGAAACATACATTTTGTTACAGATGTCAAAAAAAATACACATTTTCAGTCTTTGATTATATACATAGCTGATTTTCATGTTCAATAAGAATAAATCTATAAATATACATTTCACAAAAGAAAAATATGATCTATTTTTATCAATAAAAATAGACAAACCTAAATGATTAAAAATTTAGAATTCAGTAATGAAAACTAATTTATTTGGTTAGTGGTAACAATCATTATTTAAATATATTGCAATATTTAATTAAGATAAATTGTTTTGGATATTATATGAATCATAGGATTGTTGTTCGCTTTTATTGATATACATAAATGTTAACATATTCTTAATTAAACTCTTATAATAAACAAAAATACTGTTTCTATTAAAATACTCCATAATAAAAAAAAATTGATTGCATGTGACATTAAAAATGAACTAGTAATCATATACAACTTTATCAATCGCAAATTGCATACAACAGTTATACTATGGCATAATCAATTTATTATTGGAAGCTAATCAGTATTATGTTCTTTAAATATAATAATAAATACTGATTTACTTGATGAGTAAACAAACATTGAAAATATAAGGGATCAAAGTAGTGTTTAGAAAAAAAAAAAATCATGCGATAAATTTAAAATAAATATTATTATTTATCGAGTAACTTGATAATTTTTAAAGTTTTTTTTTCAAAGAGAGCAATATTTATCAAAGGTTCCATAAACCGTTTCTAAGTATACGGTTTTATAAGTTCAAAATGTGTTGATTATTATTTTGTCTCTTTGATCCCTTTCGAATGAGGAGCTTTTTAAGTTTAATTACTTGTATACTAATATTTTATTTATTAAAACAAATATATTTTAAGTATAAATATGAAATTATAATTCTGAATAGGAGTAACTGGTCCAGTTATTAAAAAATGAAGGATTCGTTTATTTTTAATTTTAATTAATAATTTATTTTACCTAGTTAAATTGTTTAATTAATTTATAGAAACAGTAATTGCATATTATTAAATTTGTTTGATTTTCAACAACATTAAATAAAAAATTAATCTCTTAGATTAATTTGATTGAAAAAAACTAAATATATGATTTAATTGAAAGATACTTTATTTTCATAATTAGCTTTAGTAAGCTGGAAAGTCAAAAATTAAACAATATGGGAAGTGTTTATTTATTATTAAGTTTATGCAACTGGATCAGTTATTCTAAGTAAAATATTTTCAATGTTTAAACTGAAATATATTAGTTTTAATATTGGTATAACTTAATTTTAAATTTGCTACAGTAAATATATATTTTAAATCTCTAGAGTACTTATAGATCTTTTCTAGCAAATTCGTCACAACTACAAAACTAATATAATACAGTCATTGCATTTACTTCAATATTCATATTCCATAAATATCAATATATTCTATAATAATATATTTCATATTATTCTATATGAAATATAATGTCTAAAAATGTTTATATTGTTTTAAGGTAAAATAATTTCTAAAAATTAAATTCTTTCCGAGGTAAAATTTTTTATTTTTTAAATCATTGTATTGGTAAATTATACTGCACAACATCCAAATTTATAAGAGTCAATTTTATTGATAATTTTTTTGTTTTTATTTAAAGAATACTTAAATAAGAAAATATTATTATTTTAGAGTGTCATTGAAACTAAACGAAGACAAAGGACCAAGATCTAATAGGTAACATATGTTTTTAAATTACACATACTAACACAACTCTATAGGTTTGTGTTATTATGTGTAATTACAATATATTGTAATTCAAGAAAAGTTCAAACAAATAATTCTAAAATAATTAAAATCACCACTTACATTAAAGCCAAATTCTTTAATTAGATTTATTTTTAAATATTTATATAATTATTGATTAGTGATACACAACCTTGATAGTAAAATAAAAATGTATTTTTAGGATATATGATATGTGTATGGGCGTAACATTCGATTAATGCCAACACGAAACTTCTATAAACCATATATCACATAAATTAAAAATTGAACATGATAAAAAAATGGAAAATAAAAATTCACAAATTTTCCATTATTGTCACACGTTTTAAATCATAATGGATCATCTATCTAACAATTAAGCATGATGATAAATGTTCTCGTAGGTACTCCAACAGTTCAGGAGAAGCTCCTGCGCAATTTGTAAGTTCGAGTTCTTCTAAATTTCGCATTTGTATTAAACTTGATAAGCCACTAGATGTTAGTAAATGACATCCTAAAAAAAAGTAATTGTAATCAAATGACATCAACCATTTTTATATGCTAATGCTTACCGGCCAAGGATAGTATTCTTAAATGTCGCATACCGCATAAATGTTGAATACTGAAATTCCTTAACTGAGAACACCAACGTAGAAATAGGGCTTGTAGGCATATCATTGTCGATATGTATCCAATGCCAATATCAGTTATGTGTATACATCTAAAAATAAGTGTCGCAAACTTTATATTTTTTAGTAATGTGTAGGGCAGCCGATATTTTCGATATCCAAAAAAATAAAGAATACATTTAAAATACTAATTTAAACTAAAAAATCGTGTATACGTATTTCGAGAAGTATGTTACCATTGTCAACACAAAATACATACGGATACCGCGACCAAAATATACACCTCTATGTACCCCTATTGAATTTATCACCATGTAATCACATTTTACCAGTTTACATAAGTTCAATAATGATTTTTGCAGTGGGCCTAGATCCCAATTAATTAAATTATTCTTCTTTTTAAATATTTTTATTGCCTGTTTTATATTAAGTTCTTTGTAATAATTTACGTTTTTAGTAATATTTATGTTTTAATGGAATAAGTTTTGATAAAACTAATAAGAAAGAAGAAAAGGCGGAGGAAGAACATAAAAGAGAAGGAGGGATGTTGTTGGGTGTGATATGGGGACGACTGATGCAAGCGTGGATGATGTGGGAGATCGTGTCAAGTTTGAGTTTGGGATGGGGGTGGCCGGCCCCAAGTACTTGGGATTAAGGCGATGAATAATATTAGTTTTAATATACTTTCAAATTGGAGGTTAATTAAAATTTTTAAGAATTTTGGAATTAATTTTGTTACATCACAGAATAATAAGAGATTTATTAGGAAACCTCAAGATAAAATGGAAGAAGGAGAGAAAATTAGGCACTTATAAATTACAATATAAAATTTCTGATAAATGTTACATAGAACATGCAAAAATCAACATAAGGTTCAGGTTTAAAGAACACCTAGGAAAAATTAAGAATTCGATGAAACATCCGTGACTGAACATTTTCAAGCTTGGATAAGATTTAAAAATTTAAAAATATTTTATCAGTACTTTATTTTAAAAATGAGAAAAGTATAATTTACTGCCAGTATAGTGTTTAGACTGGGTAAAATCTTATTACCCACTTTTTCAGAGCTAGTTTTAGCACAATAAAAATTTTTACTTTCAAATTATGACAAAAAAAATTCATAAAATTGTTCAAAAAAAGGCCAATTTCCGCTAATGTAGGTCGTCCAAATTATAACCGGATCTATTCTGAATTTTAGTCCTGAGTATGTCTTTGATTACGTTTAATTTAGTTTGTTTATTCATGAATAAATAAACTAACTATAGGTTTTATTATTCATGACTTCCATTTTATTTTAGTCAATAAGTCTTCAGAGATCACATTAAATAATAAAAATATTTTTTGAAAATTATTAATAAACTTTGAAAGTAAAACTAGATATAATTTATTACTAAAAATGTTTAACTAATAATATTTAAATACCTATTTATTTTAATTTTACATATCTACTATATCTGTTAAGGAGTGGTTCAATGCATTTAGTAAATATATTTGTTTACCTGTCTAAAACTAGTTGCTCCAAGCCGACTAAGTCACACGCAATATACTCCAGTGCTGCATCGGTAACTCTAGGACACCATGACAAGTCCAGAATTTGTAATTTCGGAAGATTTTCTGCAATGAGCTCTATGCCGTCATCGGTAATTTTACTGCAACCCGAAAGACTCAATACTGTGAGATTGGGAAGAGAATGAACTGAAAGAATCCATAGTTATGAGAACGATTTTTAATTTATTTATTGTAACTTCGATATAAAGCTGAGAAGGTATTAATTTTACTATATTTTTATTCATTTGTTTTGTGTGTCTATCACTACTTTTTCTCAGCTCTCACAAGACCGATTTTTTTCAACAAAATGTTTAGATCACAAATCGTATCCTGTTGAAGACATTCTGCGTCAAAAATTGCAAAAATAAAAGTGGGGGTAACTTTTACAAAAAATTACGATTTTTAAAATCGGTAAATTTTGATATTTTTAAATGTTTGTTTTCTCAGAACTGTAATAACTTTTTAAAAATAAATTAATCAAAGGGAATTTCTTTATAAATACATGAGGAATTTTTTTTTCGTTAAATAATTTTTTTGAAAATTTTTCAAACCCTATACCATTTACAAGGAAGATTCAAATTAGTAACTTTGGCATTAAAAGTTAACTTTTTTAACCATTTTAAATTTCTGAATATTTTTAGGAAGTATTCGAACTTTAATCATATATTAAATTAAAGCTTAATACAAGTATTTATTAGTGTTTTATACTTATTAATAATAAAAATTATAATCAAAATATGATTAACAAAATATGTAGGAGTACATGTTGTTTTTGGAATAATCCTACAATTCTGTCGAAAAATTTAAAACTATCTATAGTTTTGATTCTNTGTTTTTGGAATAATCCTACAATTCTGTCGAAAAATTTAAAACTATCTATAGTTTTGATTCTAGGGATTTTTATGATAGTGATTTAAATCACTGATAGATGTCATCTTAACTTGACCCAACTATATCACGTCTTTACTGTGCTAAATTGTTTTGTTTTGTGTCTCTTGCCACTTTTTCCTATATTTCATTGGATTGATATTAAATGATACATCAGAAGATCACAAATCCTATTAAGTTGAAAACGTAACCATTCAAAATTTAAAAAATTCCCACGTTCCCTGTAAATGGAGGAAATCCCACCAAAAATTATGATTTTTTAAATCGGTAAATTATTATTTATCATTTTATTTATAAAATGCTGTAAACGTTTGTCAAATTGGGACAATTACGATAAAATTTGTCAAATATATAATTATATTATTTTCATTTTTTTTAATTTATTAATTTTGTAAAAGATCCATTCGTTTTTATTCAAGAGTCCTTCATGAACTTAATTACTAAAGAAATGTCAAGTACCCAATCAAAACCTTGATACCTCAGTAAAAACTATTCTTACAATTTATTTAAATAAAATGAACCATTGTCATACTAAAACATAACCACATATTGCTAATAATAATAACTATGGCCATAATAATTTCATCTTATATTCAAGGTATGTGTAAATCACATACAAATCAAGTTAATAATGATCATTCAGTTTGGAAAAGACATATAAAATTTTAGTTACAGTAAGTTTCATGGTAGTGAAATACTATAACGAACATTATTATTAAGTAATAAATAATAATTATTCATTTACAATTATTGAAAAAGGTAAAACTAAAAATAAAAATTTGTGTGCACTAAGTTATTTAACTTATATATCAAAATATTTTAGCACCCGAGTACATATTTATTCAATATTATTACTTTTTAAAATAACCTTTTAAATATTCTATATGATTATTTAATATAATTTTTTAATGAACAATGTTTAATGAACTATTTTAAATCCCTCTAGTGAGCAGAATAAGTGTTAGATTTTCAAAAAAAATTATATCAAATGAAAGGGAAATATCTAAGGTTTCAATACAAAAAAAATTATTTTTATTTGTTCATTTTTGAAAACGTTATGGCAGGTTTAAGTACAAAAAACATCCCGATAAAAGGTGATTTTTATCGCAAACATTACATTTTTTTTTAATTTTCAACAGCCATTTGCACATAGAAGATAAGATGTCGGGACAAATTTTTTTTTTTCATTTGATAGTATATAACATAACCTTTGATTTGATATATGTTTAAAGGACGCAGTATTTCCGGAACATTTTCAAAAGTTCAGTTGAAAAAGATCTATGTTTTTTACAATATTTCAAGTTTTGAACGCCCCTATATAAGGGAAATTTGTCCAATTTTAATAAAAAGTATGTCAAATGAAAGATGTACTTATAATGTATTTAGAAAAAAAAAATTTGTGCTGATATATACATTTTTCAAAAAGTTATAGCATTTTTAAGTTGAAAATTTAAAATCGAAAATTTTAACAAAAAATAGTGTTTTTTTTAACTACGGCAGCCGTTTAAATGTAGAAGATAAAGTGTTGGGACAAATTTTTTTTTTCATTTTATAGTACATAAAATAAGCTTTAATTTGATATATGTTTAAAGAACGCAGTATTTCCGGAACATTTTCAAAAATTAAATTGAAACAGTTAATTTTTGTAAAAAAGTTGCTATTTTAAATCCCCCCCAATGAGCAGGTTAAGTGTTAGATTTTCAAAAAAATGATATCAAATGAAAGGAAAATATCTAAGGTTTTAGTATAAAAAAAAGTTTTGTTGATTTGTTTATTTTTCAAAAAGTTATGGAAGGTTTAAGAAAAAAAAGTGAAAAAAATGACAAAATTTACCGATTTTTAAATTTGTAATTTTTTTGGATATTTCCCCCATTTTCTGGGAACGAGGGAATTTTTTTCAATTTTTAAGGGTAATGTCTTCAACTAGATACGATTTGTGATCTTTTAATGTATTGTTAAAAGAAATCGGTCCAGTAAGAGCTAAGAAAGGTGGCAACAGACATAAAAAAAAAAAAAAAAACACATCATAGTAAAATCAATACCTTCTCAGCTTCGCATCGAAGCTAATATTTTTTAATAGCAGCAAATTTTTTGATTTTCATACATCAATTTAAATGAAATTATTATGTGATATTATTATGTGAATATTTCCATATAATAATATATTAAACATTTTTAATTAAAATAATTTTTATGTTTCAAAAAAAAATCACCTGTCTATTTTTAATTCATTTGCGCTAACTGATTTTATGTATTTTGTGTATTGATATGGCAAATTTCATTGCACGCGCTCTGCTTTACTGTATTGAAATGTTTGGGGTAGTGATTACTTTGCAAAGTTGAATCACGTGTCCCTGCCAACGTTCGTAAATGTACACAAAGAGATATAAAATGCAAAGAATGATTGTGCCTGCAATGAGGGGATAAATGCATTGGGTGCCACCCTTCACAATATTTTTTAATGTAAAAGGGCGAACTAGGTGGTTACCACTGTGTAGAGTCTTATACAACTGCACCAAATACAAATAGTGCAGATGGTGCATATACATATATAATACCAGTGTCAAATAGCATCGGCACGCTTCGAGTAAGAATTATTCACCAAATTACTACGTATAAAAAAATTCCAAGCGACTAGTATAGTTTAAATCAATGTATTTGTATGTTTATATAGAAAAACACACACAAACATATATATATATATATATATAGAGAGAGAGAGTGATTCTTGTAATAATTACCACTTGATTTCTCTTAAAACAATAATATTCTTTTTCGCTTTTGTTAGTGACGCATGCATTTATATGCTATACAATATTTTTTATATTTATTTCATAGGTCTTTTAGATGTCCACTTAATTTTTTTAAAGGGCAACTTATTTATTTAACTAACTTATAAAATAATATAATAACTGTCGATGATAAATTTTGAACCATTATTTCAGAAGTTATTAACAATTTAAAGTAATGACTGTAGGTGTAAAGTGGGTGCTGCAATTTTTATCTTTAGTCATTTTCTAGCCGTACTTTACATCGCGTTTAGGTATACAAATAAAAATAACATACTAAGTACTGGTCCAAAAGTTGTTATCGGCCAGGCATGTATTTTATTACATGTTATATTCATTATATAATGTTTACACCCTTATAAGTCACAAGAGACAATCATTTTCACAATTTTTTATAATAGATAAATGGAAATATAAAATAAGTATCTTTTAAAATACAAATAATAGTTACATATTATATAACTAATAATAGTAAAAAAAAAAAAGAATTATTTAAAAAAAATCAAGTGACTAGCGTTAAAAAAGAATCTTGTATGTTATACCCCAGAGTAGGGTATTATTTGGATAATTTTTTTTTAATTTCGAATAAAAATGTAGTATTATTATTAGTATTATATATATATATATATACACGTATATTTAAGTATATAAGTTGTTAATCTCTATTAAGTAAAAACAAAATATTTAAAATATATATTATAATATAAATATTCTATTTTTTAAAAGTTTTTTAAACTTGATGACTCTTAAAAAATTAGTTTCCAATATAAATTTTCTTTTAATTAAATAAGATGTAATTTTATATTCTTTGTTTATGATCAAAGTTTCAAAATTAATAGTTTTTATAATTTTAAGTTTTTGAGATATTTTTTATAAATTTAAGCAAAATTTTCAAATTTCAAAGAATATCTTCTACAAGTTATGATTAGTATCAATAGGAACAGAGTTTAGTCAGATAAAAAGTAAAAGAACATAAATAATTAATACTTTCTAAGTTTTACACTAAACAAAAACATCACGCATAGCTAAAATCCCCACGGAGGTTTTTCCGTACCACGGGCGGGATAGGCGCCTCAGATGATGGCCTAGTCATCGTCTGCCTTCCCGACACTCGTTATCAGACCGGCATGTCACTCGTATATCAGTGGGGCATGGATCTGTGGTGGCTGGTGTGACTTTGTGGTTTACGGCCGAATGCTGGTCTCAGGGAAAGCAGCTGAGAGACGGGTCCACAGACTCGTCCTTGGCACCTACCGGCCTTTCTCAGCGGGGAAATACACTGGAGGTAGCGTATACCACAATCTGTAGTGGCTTGGATAGTATCCGCGGCCCTACCGGGGTGCCCGAGTTTGGTGCAAACCAGAGGCGAACGGTATGGGTTACCTATCCTGGCGCTGGTGCTCCGTTGAAGACACGGTGACCGTGGACCCACTGGTCGCTCCTAGCTCACTGATCCTCCGTGCTCGGTAAATAGCGCCTAGTGCTATCGCTGATCACGGTTGTAGGTGAATCTCTTTGGAGTGAAACCCACAAAGACAATAAACTAAAACTCTTTTTTGAAACTAACTTTACTTCTTGTGAAAACAATAAAATTTGTACGTGTTTTACTAAAAAGTTGCTTCATAATTGTAAAATATTATATCATAATAAAAATTGTACAAAAAAAATTGCTCACATACGAATATACGTATATACGTATATCACCATCTCATTAAATCTAATTTAGTATAGAGTTCCGTATATATTTTTATGATTTACAACATTTTGAAGTAAATTATGCACCAAATGAATAATGATGAAAAATACTGATTATTAAATTTAAATACTATTTTTTATATTAAAAAAAATAAAGAAATTGAAGAATCTAGAAAATTTATAGACTGTTCTATAAAAAAAATTAATTCATTTCCGTTTCCGTTGCATCTGCTTAAATGAAGTAATAAATGAGTTTGTAGTTAGTTGAGTTTAAGTAAGAAAATCCTGTTTACGAGATAAATTGTGTTACTTTGATTTATTAAATTTTTCTTTTAATTACGGAAAGTCGAATAAATTATACTTGTATAATATAAAAGATTGACTGATAGCGTGTACTATTTATACTATTTAAAGTGCTTTAAAAATACTAACTTGACAAATAAATCATATTTTATAAAAAACAAATACTTATGATTGTTTTTGATATTTCAATTATTAAATGTTTTTTTGAAAAACATCAGAAATATAGTATCTAATACGATACTTTCATTTTTCCTATAAATTTTATCGACATATTTATTTGGGTACTTCTAATTAACGCCTTAAATGTCAATTTTTTTTTTAATATACTACTAGCCAGCTATCTTTTATAACATAATATATATATATATTTTCTTTTTTAAAAACTTATTTTTATAGGATAACACACGAATACATTTACTATGTTTACCATTATAAAATTAAATAATAATCTATGAACAATCATTAATTGTTATAAATTTAAGACCATGATAATATTAATTATCAATAGTTTATTTATTAATATGATTCAAAATAATAATAATTATTATATTTACTTATATTTACTTATATGATTAAACAAATAAGGATTCTTAAAGTATTAGTTTAACTCATATAAATAAAATACAGTGCTGTTATTTCTAGAAACCTTTAAATATTTCAACCTATAATCGTTGTAATACATTTCTCTAATACCATTACTTAGTAAAACGTTAATAATTACACAATAAAAATACATTTTATAATTAGCTTAAATAATAACTGTGAACTGTTCTAATATATCCGTAGAAACAAAAACAACTTGTCAACAACTCTCGTATATGTTTTAATTTCAAAATTTGTCAGTTCGTTTCTTAAGCTCAACATTTTTGTGTCAAATTGTGAATTCCTATATTAAAATCGCTATAATGGGAAACATTTTTTCTTTTGAATCTATTAATTCAGAACAAAAAAAACTCGATGATAGTGAAACTTGCTCTATTTTAAACAAAAAGAAGAATCTAAATTGGTTTTCTAGTTGGTTTGTTCAATGGAGCAATAAACTTGGTTGTAAAAAGAATATCATAAATACAGAAATGGATCAAGAAATTCTTCCATTACTCATACAACCAACTCCAGTGTTCGTTATAAAAACTCGTGTGAGCGACGTTTACGCAAAATCCCATGGAAGAGTTTTTATAAACGTTTGTTATAGTAATGAAATTGAAAAAACATCATGTTTTTTTGATATTAATGAAAACAATTGGCGTATTCCAAATTGCATTTCACCAGGCCGATATGTAAGCGATTCAAAAAATAATCTGAATTACATTTTCGACGTAGTTTTTCACACCGATTTTGTACTTTCGACTGTCCTGAATGATAACTTTAAAGACTTTGTCAAAGATGCAGCTCTAAAGTTTGTTGAAAATAGTTATAGTATTATTTTAGATAGAGGCATTGTTAAGTACTCTAAGAAGAGTGTATTTGGTGAGGTTAAGCCGATTAAAATTAAACCATTATATAATATGCAGAACGTTAGTTCTTTTATTTCTATTCTTCAAGATAGTTCTACACAGACACTTGATGATTTGGCTGATCTTGGAGTAACACTTTCTTTTATTACACCATTGTATACAATCAAATATCGCTCAGGTGCTAATATTCTTGATATCAATGATGAAATGTATAACTCAATGCCAATTTCGAATTTTAAAGAAATTATTATTGAAATTTACTTGCCACTATTAGAAGATTCTAAAAACATTGATCTAAATATATTTAACAGTATTTTAAAATTAGTTTCTACAAGTCCTGCATGTTATAAACTAAATATTAATTTACCAAGCTTCGTTTCAGTAGATAAGGTTATTAGCGCATTTGATACTGACGAGAAAAGGCTAACCGTGTGTCTTCCTATTTTAATAGACACTACATTCAATAATGGCGCCGAAACTAAAGGTGTAATAGATTATTTAGGTAAAGAACCTACAATAGAAAATATTGAAGATATTTACAACGATACTTGCAATTTTGAGAGTTTAGTTGCATCATCTTCAGACAAATTATTGTTTAAAAATACGCATGATGAAAATATTAACTCATTCGTTGTAACAACCGACTGCAAAGGAAATAATGTTTCTAAAAATGATATTTGTCTTCACAAAACTAATATGAAATTAACTGAAAATAGAACCTTCTTTTCCGAAAATATTTCTGTAAAAGATGGTGATAAAAATGCAAAATCTGAAATTCAGAGTATTGTTTCTGTTAAGCCTAACACAGATGAATTACTATTGAATAATACGGAATGTCATGAAACTAATCCACACGGTATGACTGTAAGCAATTACAAAGAAAATAATGTTTCTAATGATACTCATCTTAGCAAAACTGATATGAAATATATTGAGAGTGACACACTCTTGTTTAATCGTAAAGCCAAAAAAGTATTTTACAAAAATACCCAATCTAAAGTTCAATATATTCCTTCTGCTGATTATTACAATACAGCCAGCATAGTAAGCTTTTGCAACGAATAAAATACTTTGAATTTAATCAGATAACATATTTTCTTTATTTCATTATATACATGTATTACTAACTATATATTAAATTAATTCTTTGTAGAGAGGAATCTTGAAAAAAAATACTTCAGACTGTAAAATCAATTCATCAAATAATATAAACAATAACAGATCTTATGATTCTTATCAAAAAAATTCTGTTCGATTTCATAAAAAAGCTATCGTTAAAGAGTTTAAGTATGCTTTATTAAATCATATATACATAGAATAATAAAAATTGTAATTTTTAATGGGGTGTAAGTTATTTCATAAAAAAATAGTTTTAACTTTAAATTAATACTTTTTTTTTCACAATAATTATGGATTATGAATTTTGAACTTCATTGTATTTTTTTAGCGGTAATTTGAGTTTGACAAAGCAAGTCACAAAATATCAATGGCGTCAAGAATACAAACGTTGGACAAAATATTAAATAATCTTTTATGTAAATTATATTTTTTATTTTCATTTGTTATTTTTATTTAAAAAGAAGTTTAATTTATTTTATTTATATTGTTAAGTTTTGTTCTAATAAAAATTATTTTTGTTATAAAAAATTCATTCGGAAATATTCTATAGAAAAAATTTAGTAGTTCCGACTTGTAACAACGTAAATGTTAACATTTCTGATGAGATATTATTAAAAATAAAACATATCGCAGTCGCGTAATTAATTCACTATATGATTGTATACAAATAGAATAATAATAAAATAGTGGTTCTATAAAGACATATTTTATTAACAATGTATGAAGCGTGAACTAATCATTTGTCTTTTCATTGTTTTTATACGATATATTTTAAGCACGGCATTTTTATTGTTTTTTTCAATAAGACGGATAGGTACATTTTTAAGAACAGAGATATTTTTATTATCGAGTAAAAATATTACACTAAAACGGTAGCACAGTGAGTTCGTGGCATAGATGGGACAAGTGTAGATGATATCTGACAGTGATTAAAATCACTCTCATGAGAAACGTTTCAATAAAAATTTTAAAAAATTCTAATTTTTAAAGTTTTACCTCCCGTCTATAAATAGAAAAAGTCCGATTCAAAAAAAATTTATGCCGGATGAAATATTTGTACATAAAATGTTTTTTTTTTAAATTGTTTATATATTTTTCAAAAAGTTATAGAAATATAAATATAATATATATTTTATATTAAAAATATAAAATGGAGAATTTTTACACTAAAATAAAATAATTTTGAATACGGTAGCCATTTTTACCATAATGACAATCTAAAGTTCGAAATTTTTTTTTATATAATAAAGTATATTACATTCGCTTTGATTTAAGATATGCATATATATATATATATATATATATATTAGTATTTCCGAAATATTTTCAAAAGTTCAGTTAATAAAGTGAATATTTTTGAGGAAAAGTTATCATTTTGAAACCCTCCGTGGGCAGGTGAAGAGACAGATTTTCAAAAAATATATACCAAATGATATGTAAATACCTAATGTATCTATAAAAAAATTTTTTCTATTCATCTATTTTTCAAAAAGTTATGAAACTTTTAAGTAATAAAAATGTCGAAAATTACCAATTTTTTAAGTTTTTGGAGTATTTTCTCCATTTACGGGGAACGAGGAAAATTTGTTCAATTTTTGAGGGTAATGTCGTCGACAAAATACGATTTGTGATCTTTTGACATATTGTTCATCAAAATAGGTCCAGTGAGAGCTAATAACAAGTAGTAATAGACAAAAAAAAAAAAAATAAACACATCATAGTAAAAGTAATACCTTCTCAGATTCACATCGAAGCTAATAATCACATAAATATGATTAATTATTGAAATATTTATTTATTTTTTATCCTTTGATGTTATTATTTATTTTTATTAACTATAAACGCTTCGTCAACTATAAAGTAAGTAGTCAGAGACAACCATTGTACGCCCTATTGTGGCCCAAGAGCAAAGTAAACAATTTTCTTTTCTATATTGCTTGTCATTTGGGTAAAGTTAAGAAAAAGTTAATTTATGTAAATTTTCTGAAAGACGGCCAGCCAACATATATTAATCTGGTCATGTAGGTTTCGATTTTTGATTTGTCAAAAATTAAAAACTAATAACTCCTGTGCATTGCATAATACCAAATTTTCTGGCAATGACTGAAAACGACTTACCTATATTTACAATACCATGATTGGTCAACTCCCAACACGATTGAAGTCTGAGAGCTGATAAACTATTTGACTGCCTCGAAGAGAAAAATCCTAGGGCGGCATCAGTGACATGGTATGCTTGAAGTGTAAACTCGTTCAGAGCAGGTAACATTTGAGCTACAGCTCCGACTGCATCATCAGCCACATTTATACAATCGCTTAGGGTAAGCGACACTATCCGTGGTGTCAAACAAGCCCACAGACCAGCTTCTGTGATTTCATTACATCCGATTAATTCCAACTGCCAAACACCCTAAAAGTAAAATTTACATTATTGTAGCACACAATTATTAGTTTAATACCACAGCTATCTACTCGAGTATCTACGGAGTAGACAACCGTGTTTCAACTACGTTTGGACAGTGGTGTTTTGGATGATATAAGGCGTATACTCGCTAATAAATTTTGTAATTAACGTATTCCCTAGAAAAATACTACTCATGTGTTATTTACATTGAAAGGTATGCGCTCACAGATCAGTGTATATCCTAAAAAGAAAAGGGTATTTTGTACCACTGCGTTTAGAAAAAATCAATGATATTATCATTATTTGTGTAAAGGGGTAGATTTGTTTTATTTTTACAAATTATTTTGAATAAATCATCAATAACTTCTATAAAATACGAGCAATTTTTAAACTTGGTTAGTTCGATAGCTTGTACTGACACTACTTGATAGGTATCATAAGGGAGACCCTTCAACTTGGCTCTTTTTTTATAGTGTTTTTTATTTTCTAAATATAAATATATACGTTTTAGATAAATAATGAGTTAAAATCAAAGTACTAAAACATATAATTAAAAAAAATTCAACTTAAAATCTTAGATTATCTACATTGATTATGTTTTTAAAATATAAGTAGAATACTATTTATTTAGAAACTACACTATTTTAATGATTGCTATATTAATTTCATATTTAATTTGATTTTTACGACAATTTTCCTTGAAGTATTTTCCACATGTTCCACATGGTTATTTGCCATGCACTTTCTCAAAAAAACTTGTCTTCTAAAGCATATAAATTATTGTTTGTATCTTACTTATTATTTAATTTAAACGTTTATGAAACTAAAATTATTACACTGCATCGAGAGACTAATTCAATTTGGTATCTTTTCAATTAACAATAAACTAATCTTATAAGAAATAAGTACACCAGAAAAAATTAAAAATTGTGTTCACTCTCTGCCATTTAAAGAAATTGGTACTTATTTTTTTAAATGATTTAGAACATATATTACCTAATACAATTAATTTTCAAGTGTGTTTCAAAACGATTTATAATTAATGTATCACAATATATAATATGTTGACAAAACTGGCACCGGATAAAGTAACAGTAATAAACCGTGTAATGGTAATTTTTTAGCCTAAAAGTATTTTGTAGTCATATAAGTATTTTGAAATCTCGTAATACTGAAGAGTGTCTTAAGCACAAAGAATCGCAGCGTTAAGTATTTCATGAGTGGCCCTCTAGAGAATTCTAACGAACGTGATCTTCGTCTATATTCGATTAAATTTAAAGAGAATATAAGAAAGAATTTGATGGCTCAATCATTTTAAAATGTAATTTTGTTAAGTATAAACTTCACGTATAAGCTTTGATTTTTAGACAATGTATAATTAAAATGTAATTGTCTGTAAGTTGAGTTATAGTATAGTTGAAAACTAAATGATCTTAAAAACCTTTTTAGTATTTAAAATAAAAATTGACATTATTAATAAAATTATTTCCTTTAAATTTTAAATATGAAGGGAGGTAAATAAGTAGGATTCTACTTTTAGAGACAGTCTTAGAAGAACAATACTGATTAGTGTATTAAATAAATTGATAAGGCTTAGCGTAAGCTTTTGATAGTATAAAGATTAAAGAATTCATATATTATAAATAAAATATAATTTAAAATTAAAAATTTATTAAACTAGCTATTATTTTTGAATACTATGCTTTTGATAAGTGCTATAGTAATATCAATAATTTTTTAACATTCCAAGTCTATTTTAATTTAATAATTTTTTTATTTTAAATTATGGGTATTTATAATTATATCCATAATTAGTCTTGGTCTCTCTCTTAACGTCACCACGTGTAATGTTATTTATTTTTCTAAATCTGGCACACATATTTTTAATTATAACTTTTTAAATGACACTTCGTTTCAGCGATTATCTATTGTCAAAGATCTTGGTATCTATTACTCCTCTTCATTTTTTTTTTTTTGATTACCACATTGACATCGCTGTTGGTAGAGTTTTTAAAGGCCTTGGTTTTATAAAACGAAATGTAAAATTTTTTAAGTCTATAGCATGCTTGTGTTTTATATTTATTTTGTTCGTCCTCTGCTAGAAAATGCATATTCAAGCAAGGAATGAACAAGAGTGACGATAACACCATGGAGTTGTCTGGTAACTGTATCTTGCTAAAGATCAGCTGCGTCTGTAGCGTGTTCAAAATAGATTTTTATCCTTTGCCGTTTTTAAACTTAAACTATCCAAACCAGACCATGACTATACTTAGCCGCAGCACACTTTAAATATCAACACTCTTCAGCCAGTCTGATATTGACGCTCATCTCATTGATTTAGTGATCTATCAATGCACCTGATCTTCTAACATATATTGTTTTCCTAGTCTCTTATAATGTTTGTAATCAATGTCCTTTTTATATTTCTGGCCATGTTATTTCCTGTGGTCGCTCAATCATCTTTAAAGTTTTTTAAATAGTCTACTTTATACGTTAATGAATTTTTTTGTAATATTTTATTTTTACAATTGTGTTTTTATTTTTGTACAATTTGTCTATGTTTTTCACCTTCTAGTTTTGATTGTATGTGTGCCATATTGCCATTTTTTGTATTTTTATTACTATTTTATTTTATCATTCTTATTTAATTGCGATCATATAAATATAAATCTACTTTTTGCGTTGTTTATTCCATCTTATTGCTGTTATATTATTATTTAAATAAGTTTTAACTAAAAAAACCATTTGGCGTTAATTGTTTTAAATAAATATATTTTATTTAAAACTTACTGAACGATATTTAAAGCTAGAACTGAAAATGTTTCTATGAATAATTAAATTTGATTTGTATCTTCATTAAAAAGATGACTTCTGCAATAATATTTTATTTTGTTTTAAAAATATTTAACGAATTACATATTTATAATATATAGAACTTTTATGTAAGAACATATTATAAATCAGTAACCTTCAGAATTTTGTAAATCGAGTTCTGTCTGAGAAGACTTGTACTGTTTTGTATGTGTATCACAAGATGCATATAAATGAAAGTAAACCTCTGTAGAAAACTTAAATTGTCCGATGTGGGAGTTTGTTTTTGCTCGTTTTAACCATTATCTTAGACATGGGCTGTGTGTGTAACACTTGGTACACAAATATACCATTGTTTCTTTTATGTATCTACAATGGTTAAGGTATCATATGTCTATACGGTATGAAACAATATTTAAGAGACGACAAAGCTCACCTTGCATACATTTTATAATTCGAGATAACCATTGGAACACTCAAATTATGATCAGAGTTACAAGTCCGTAACCATTTCGAATATTTATGAGCCAATGAATTTATCGTGATCTTAGTATTAAATTATGAATCTAAAAACTACCAAAAAAAGTAATTCTAGTTTCTGAATTTTCCAAACAAAACCGTTAGTAACTCAAAACGAGGTAACTAATATTGTGTAAAATTATTCCACAAAGGCCAAAGTAATTTCTCTATTTTAATAGGTATTATCATACAGAAAACGCGCATACGTTATAAATACAAAAGAATAATAAAATATTTCTCTTATGACAGCCTGAATCTTTGGGGACATAAAATCATTGGGTTATATAGATAAAACGGATGGCTGAATACTATTTTTTTACATTTCCCTACAGAGTGAAATAAATGGTTTGAATAGTTTCATCGTTCAATCCAAAAACACCCATACAGAATTAACGAATTTGAAGTGAAAAACAACTGTAAAAATAATTGTATGTGGACTTATAGTTAATCTATGGACAAAAGAGTCAACTAAAAAACTGATGATTACTGTATACAAAACTCTTTATTTTTATATTTAATCCTAATGTTGTTTTTCAGCAATTCTCCATTATTCCTCACCATTCGTCTTTCATTTTATTCCTTCATATAAATTGCATCTTTAATTTTGTACTATTAGTTCGAAATACTCTAAGTCAGTCACTTGCTTTTTTATTGAACTTGTCTTTTTATAAATACTAGTTTTGTAAATTGTCAAAAAATAAAGTTAGGACTTTTGATAAATTGAAAAAAAATTAGCTTTTTTTGACTAGTGTAAGGGATTTTGCTCCTTTAGTTACAATTTTTCATAATTACAAGTCCATAAAATATATATTTAAAACAGAAAACAAGGAAATATAATAACTAGCATTATAATCAATAATCATACGTATCTTACATTAATTCAATAAATTAAAAAATTATCATCACAAGCAATGCGTAATATACATTATATTTAATGAAGGATGCTTATTATGCACCTGCCTTAAATAACAAGTACGCTAAAAATTAAAAAAAAATATTCAGCTACCCATTAAAACACCATCTACAATAATAGATCCTAGTAGTCTATCCCTAAAAAAAAAAAACGTAGAATAAAACAACCTTAAATAAACATTTCCTTAAATCAATAAAATATGTTGTAATATAATCAAAAAAACATTTTATTGATATTAATTTTTATAGAATGTTATCTGATATGGCATGTATTCTATGCCTAGTGTATTTATTAAATCTTTTTCAATTTTTTTAAACTTTATTTATTATTTTCATTATTCTTCCATAATACTAAATTTCAAAAGCTCCTATTTTCCTTAAAATAATTATTTATGTACAGGTGTAAAAAAAGTTTTTTTTAAAAAACAATTTTTTAATTCAAATATTAGACTTGAGAACATATTTCCTTGGCTATAGGCTAATATATTATTAAATATTAGATTTATTATTAATTAGGTTTCTTTTGTATATACTTTTGTATAACTCAGACTGGTATATTATTTTTGTAATTTATTATGTAATTTTTTTCATATTAGGCCAAGTTTTGGTTTTTGATCATTTCTTAACAAGGCTTGAAAAGTTTATGGTTAGTATTCTTTTAACAAAATAAGATTATTTACATAATTATTTGTGTTAACAATAATTTGTTTATATAACTACTATCTAATAAAATCAAGAAAGAAGATTATTCAATGGTTTCATGACTTCTCCATTCTAAGCACATTTGTTATGATAAATTAGTACAATTTCGTTTGTGTCTATTGGTATTACTTTTCATTTATGAACACTTTCCTTATGTTTATTTAATATTGCGTGGTTGTATGTTTGTATATGCATATAACGTTTCACTAATTCAATTCAAAGTTGTTTTTGTTTCTTAACAATGATCATTCATATATCAAAAGTTAAGGTCAGTATTTGCGTGGGGTAATCTTTTTGGGTATTTTACTTACAGCCAAAAAATAAACAACAGTGGGCAACATATTCTAAATAATTTTTGAACTCAAAAAGCTAATCACTTAAAATATTTTATTGTACACATTATTAATGGACAATTTTGAGTCACAAAAATTTAGAAACAAGAAACACAAGATTGCGATTGTTTATGTAATTATATATAGTTATTTATTTTAATTTTTTAAGGTCTCTCTTAAAACCTATTCTTTCAGATTTTGAAGCTGACGATTTTTTTTAATGTTCTTTATAATAATAACGAAATCTAATTTCAATGTAACAGACAGAATTTAATTTTTTTAAATTATAAGTGTCAAGTTAAAATATTATCTTTAAATCTCTTACAAGTCGACAAAATTCAAACAAAAGTCAGCTCAGATTAATTTGTTTATCATTTAAGACAATTAAATACCTATAATTAAACTACTATATGAGGACAACGATTGGAGGATATTAAAATATTTTATATTCATCTGTCGTTTATAAATAAGGCTGAATAAAGAGTACAGGTCGCAATGAAAATAATTTCATCGATCGTTGACGTAAAGTAATTAAAATTCATCTAGTGCTCTTGATACTTCTTAAATCTAAATTTTCATGTTGACCTCTGAAATAAATATTCCATACTGATTATTTCGTTTATTTGTATAAATCTAATGCCATTCGCAATTAAAAGTCACAAAGAAAATGAAAACTCGCATAAACTTTCTGAAAATTTAAGTCCAGCTTATTAATATAGGAAAAACTTTTCTCATGGTACACTGCAATGCGAAGATTATTATTAATCTTTCTACATATTCGAATAAGTCATATATATTTAATTTGTTTCGGTTAAATTACTACCATAATTCAACGTTTTTTCAGGGCCAATAATATATAACTTGACTGTAAATATTTGAGACGTTTTTATGTCTTCGACATGAGCTCGCTACTAACTGACAGGCAGACGCCGTTAATTAATATATCCTACCAAAAACAATTACTTACCTAGGCTACACAAAGTTTCATTACACCGAGTCAACTATCCAGATCGCCTCGTTTGACAATTATCATTTTTTAGAATATTCGATGACGTCCAGAACGTCCTATCATATCTCAGATTAATTAAATATAATGCCAGCTAGCTGTACGTAATTATTAAACGTGCAAAGATTTCTAGGTAAAAATTCAATAGTAATTTTACAATTTATTATGTTCCAAAGTGTACATGTAAAAAATTTGGCTAATAATATTTAAAATTTATGAATGATAATTTTCAATCTATATAGGCATTCATTTATTATTTTTTTTTTTGTGCTCTACTATTATCCTATTTTTTGACATGACGTTTCTTAAATTACCTAACATTGCCTATTTTTTGTAGCTTGGCAACGACATGATAAGTGACGAACTACGAACGTTTGGTTACTTAGCACTTAAAAAATATAAAATCATAATAGTAAATTGAATACAATACTATAATCTAATATTTTAGTCAAAGAAATCTTGCTTAGCTTTTAATAGAAATATCGAACAATTGATTGTATTTATAATATTTTATATTGTAGAAGACACTTATTGTGAAGCATTAATAAATATCTTTAACATACTTTTGTTACCTTTATTCACTCGTGAATGTTTGTAAGTAAATAACAGAAATAAGTATAGTTAAAACATTATACATAATTTTTGGAATATTAAACATTAGGCAATGTTGTTGAAATCAAAGTTGGGCGCATAAAATAAAAAATTGAATATATCTATATTATGGAGTATATTAGCAAAAATAAAATGATTAACTTATGACATAACGTCTTAACATTTCTTACTTGTATAGTATAAAATATTCAAGCAGAATTTGTTAGATTACATTTGTTTTATTGTATTAAGAGGAACTTTATTCTTTGTGATTTATTATTTCTTCAAAGTTTATTATTATTTATTAAATATTTATCATTTATAACTTAAACGGTTTAAATTTGATAAAACATTTGTTTTAATACTATCTAAATTAGTATTATAATTTATTTTATCATTTGACCACGTTGAACGTCTTCTCTTAAAGTTATTGCTTGTGCCAGAGAGGACGGGAAAACCCAAAAGAGGCCAGGCAATGGAATCGAACTCTTGTATCTACGCTCCAAAGCATAACGCGTTACCGACTGAGATAGGTAGGCCGCCTAATTAATAATTGATTAAACATTGGCATGCATTTAGTTAAAAACTTGGGGTCCTAAATAATTGATTCCAAAGTAACCCTTAAGGAGCGAACCACTATATACAGGGTGTTCAGTAAGTCAGGAAACGGGTTTCTATTGTTCTCATTGTTTGTAACAATGAGAACAATAGAAACCCGTTTCCTGACTTACTGAACACCCTGTATATCCCTTTCCTTATATAACATAGTAGACTTGAGTTCACAATAATTGTGAAACTTTTTGTTTATAATATTGTTATTAGTTAATTATTAACTAATAACAATACTAAAAACATTTGAAATAATAATATATCAATAATATCGCAGTTTATTTTTATAAAAAAATCAAAATTAAATTAACGGAATAAACACATTTACATAATCGCAAAATAACCTCTTTTTAAAATTTGGTGTAGCTAAAAATGATTGAAGGTGCTAAGTGCCCCTGTATTGCGTCAATGGATCCAAACTATGTCGTGAATTATACCCCCTAAAATTCACATATTACTCATTGACTACATCTCTAGTCATTATTTGAAATATATTTAAATCATTAGATCATCTAAACATATTTGAGTAAATTAAAATAAAGTAAATAAACTCTATAAACTAAGTCATTTTTACATAAATTTTCAACTTGATTATGAATACAATTTTGATTTAAAATAACTTAAACTTGTATAAATATAGTCAGGAAATGGCGTAGCTGGGATCTTTAATGGTGGGAGACTTAGTCAAAAAATGCTCATATTATATCGAACCCTTTTTTCGTTGATCACTTAATTTTGGAAAAACATATTATGGCTAATGGAAACGTAAAATGTATGCCTTTGTGATACCTATCTACGGCACTGTATTCAGTGAAACATTAAAAACGTTTTCTTATTCGGATGTTTTTAAATGTATTCTTATAAATATATTTAATTTGACTATTGACACATATTTATTTTTAAAGCACTAATTTTTTGTTAACATTTTTTCAACCATCTTATTTCAGCCTGTAAATAATGCATTGTTTTAAATAATACCCACTAATTTGGCGGTGCCCGCGGGCAATCAAAGATTCTATTTTATATAAGATAGATTAAAATAATCTCAGGGGTTCTTGCGCTGAATAAATGATAACTTTTACAAATACTTTTTACCGAGCAAGATATTAAATACTTATTGATAAAAACTTCTAATGATATAAATATTCACTTAATAATATAACTTACTTGTAAATGATCTAAGAAGGATTCCAATCCTCTATCAGTGACACTTGACGATTGGAGACACAGTGATAAGATGTTTTTGCTGGGAAACGGGTACGTGTTGACAAATTCTACTGTGTCCTGATCTTGGGCACCGTAAATAGTCACAGCCGTTATTTCTCTAGCTGCGAATGACTTGAAAATAGCCGCCTTGTCCGCATAGTTGTATGCTCGGAGTTGTTTGCATCTGATTACCGGTCGAACGTTGTACCAAAACTTAGGTGATCTATACAATACATCACGCCACCGTGAACAGACGCGAGTCAAAGGAATACGTTCCGAAGCCGAAAAATATAAGAAAAATCCATTGAGAAACTGTTCATCGCGCATTAATTCTGACCACGTGACCGGACGTTTGATGCGATAAGCTGCGGCACGATTTCTGACCGGTGTCCGGCCACGGAACCGTGGGTATTGAACACTAGCACTAGTGCCACACAATACATTAGTGACGCGCTCCATCACACTAGTTCCGGTCCGAGCAGTTCGAGAAGGCGAACAGGTCGCAGCTGCTGTAGCTGCGGCCGAAGACGGCTTGTTAGCCGCTCGTAACGTTAGGCCGTTGATGCGCTTGGACAACTCGGCGCTGGCACGTTCTACGACGCCCTGGCTGCTCATGGTCGACGGGACCCGTAGTGCCTGCGCCAGACGTTCCGTCAACACTGAGCCGAACTTTTGCCAACGCCGACTATAGCGCGGCATTATCTTGCACCCCCTCCTTTGACCATCGCACGCGCTGCCGATTTCCTCGGCCCTGGACCGATCAATAATATATACATAGTGGTATGATGTTCACGTATTTACCGCGCAGAACTATAATAATACATAATGACAACAATGTACATTTTATAGTTCTCTAATTTACTCAATGAGTTATATCACTATTACAGATATTATGTAATACAATTGTTGTCAACTCTTTTAAAAATCGAATCATTTCGTTCGCATTCGGTTATTGTCCGATTCGTAAAACTACAATTTTGATTCCTACATAATAAACCCTCCTAAAACTTAATTGTCTCTGCAACGGTGTAACGATACATTAAATTTTTTTCTATTTAAAATTATAATTTAGTAAAATGCGCCTTCAAATTCTAGATGTTTAATTACATAATGTCAATAGGAAACGTTGCTTATAAAAACGCTTAAAAAAATAATTACTTAAATGACGTTTAGATCTTGTGTAATTTTCTTCAATAATACAATATTTCTGTACCCAGAGGTTAAGGACACCATATCCACTTTTCGTAAAATAAAATTAGTCTTGTAGTTTATTGTACAAGGTGAATGATTAACTATGCCACACGCAATACCTTTAAAAGTATAAATCATATGATCATTTTTTTTTCTTTTTAGAAGTTAATTGTAATTTTATATTAGAGCGAGGAGTGTAGTGTGGTTTATAAATACCCAAAGATAAAAATAAACAAACCTGCGTTTCACCTCCAAACATTATCGGAAAATGTAAATAATTTCCAAAACACTGGTTCAATAGTTATTAACCATCGGTTATTTTTTCAGTTAAAATCATTTCCTTGTTTTTAAACTAATTAATCATATATATTTTCGATTTAAAAATTAAGTTGATAATAATTTAAAGAGAGGAGTAGAGCCAATTATTTTTTTAATTATATGACATTGTATACTGTTAACTCTTAAAAAGAATTAATATTCTTTTACTATATTTAATTTACTATTAATGTACTAATTACATTCTATTATATACTCTTGCCTCCAAATTGCATCTTTAATACATAATTATTTGCATTATACGGCGTTAAAACCTATTTTTCCCCATTGACACGTCATTGACAGTAATTTTTACCCGTACATAATCTGTTCACAACATTATGGATGAACATTTGAGACATTTGTACTGAACTCAGTCGAAAGAGGGGTATATAACCTGGCAAAAATTTAATTTTATACATAGTTGATGGTCTTTATTGCTTTCTACAGTTAAATTCAAATTTTAACTCCTTAAGTTCTTTTATGAGCCAAATATTTTAAATTGTACCGAGCTCACAAATGGGTAAATCATTGCCTGTGGTGCACATTAAACATCAATCAATGATAAATTATTGACGGTCGTCGGTCAAATCTCAAAAACAAAAATGGTCTACAAAAGATTAAAGTTTTACGACCTAATTAAACTAATATAATTCTTTAGCCAAACTCGGATGAATAGCAATTAAATGCGTATATTATTTCAACCATAATCTAGCCAGTATAATTTTTATTACAAATGTCGGCGTTTAATAATATGTAGATTCTAAATATATATATTTTTTGCACATTTCTAAATTATTACTAAGTAATTTGTATTTTTAGTAGTATTTAAGTCATTTTTTTTAAATTTTGCACTTAGTTACAAAGTTAAAAAAATTCATCTAAATATTGTATAAATCAAATAATTTTTCATTACTTGAAACGCTCAAAAGCCAAGCCGATTAACCTCACTTTTTTCAAATAATTTTTTTTCAAAATTATCAACGTTTATAATACAACCATACCTACGGAAGAGGACTACTAAAGAAGAAAGATGTGATAAAAGTTACTACAAACCAATCTCAGTATTGAAAACAAAAAACAATTCAATCATTTTATTATTATAAATAATAATAATAAAAATTTTATTATTTGTTATTATTGCTTCTCTTAAAGCAGTAGAGTTAATTAGCTAAGCATCTAAGCGGCATATTTTCGTCTTGTATGATTGTTATTATAGATATTTTTCGTTAAGTTAAAATTTAATGGTATTTTTGTAAAAAATTATAGATTATACAATATATTAGAAATTTGTGAGACCCAAATCGAAAATGTATACGACTTTTTTCATTCAGTTTATATATTGTAAAGGAATGGGTGTTCATATAAATGATATACAAAATATGTCATCATCGCCCTCTCTCCCCAATCAAAGAGTACACCATTGTTGTAATAAGTTGATGAAAATAAAATAATACCATTTTTAGAGGTTTAAAACAATCTGTGATCATTAGTATTATAACATTTTGGTATAACCGCTTTAGCATACTACGCTTTACTAATCAACTTACTCCATTAAGTAAAACCATTTACAATTATTTTTAAAGTAAAAGTAGATTCCTTGAAAAATTAAAAACTAATATCACACACTTAGGAAAATAATGTCATAGAAATTCTTATCTAGAAATTTAGTCGAAAATCGCAAAATTTTACTGTGACCGTAAACGGAAAAATAGTCGTTATATTTTAAATAATGATAATCATGTTATGCAATCAGTGCCTTACCCAGTGTTTTAGTTTAGAAGAAATTCGGGTGAAAGGTATTACTCTATGGCCTGTGTTTTCCAAAAAAACCCTTTTTTTAGGGTCTACACTGACAAATCAACGTATTCCTTCAATATAATTAGAACATTAGTGTTATTTTTCTAGGATATATGTTAATAAAAAAAAAACCATAGTGCATTCCCCAGAACCTTTACTAGTTAAACGCAATCTATAATTTAATTTGAAGAAAGGGGTGTAGGCCCCTAGATTTATCTTTTATTACATATCAGTAACAATTACAAAAATTTGCATTATATATTTAATTTATTATTATTAAAAGTTATATGTAAGGTTTTTTTTTATATATATATAAGTTTTGTTATGGCTATAAAATGATGAGTGAAAAACTCACATTAGAACCTCTTAAAAATTATAGGAGATTTTAAACTAGAAATATTTTTTAGACAATTAAAATTCTAAGGTTATAAGTAATAATAAAATTTTAAAATAATTTAGTTTGATTTTAGATAGATAGATAGTTAGATTTCGAACCGTCTCTTGTAAAATTATCGACTATTTTTTAACAAAGAATTAAAGATAATAAACAAGTGTCAAAAAATCTCTTGTGTAGAAATTAATAACAAAAAATTTAGCACTCCTCTTTACAAATACATGATATTACTTATAATGTTTTAAGTTATTAACCTTAAAAAAAACTTAAATGTGAAAAAGAGCTTTTTATTAAAACCTACCTATCAAAATAGTAATGTAAACGTTTAATTCGACTTTGCTCTTATTTTTTTTTAAAAAAGTTTTTTTCAAAGGGGAAAGTTTTAAAATTAAATTTAAAATATACAAAGGATATTTTCTAAAAAATAATCAATATTGGTATATTTTAAAAATACATTTTATTTGAAATAATTTTTAAATGTTTAAAAAAATTTTCTTGCTACTTTGGAGGTGATAACAATATTTATAATAAAATGCAAAGAAGTTATCATCCTAATGTCCGTGATTTGTTTTAAACTTTAAAGGGGAAACCGAATTTGAAATGTTATCATTTTCCAAATAAACTTCTATTCAACGAGATGCTTCTATTTGAAACTTTGTTGAAATTGATAACTATTATCTATAGAAATAATCATGGATTGCCTCTACATTCATTGTTGTGCAATTATTGATTATTGAAACTTCGTTTCAAATTTCAACGTAGATTAATTTAAAATAATATCAAACAATAAATACATAAACAGGACTTGAGCAATGGATTAACACATTTTGTGGTCCGGTGACAAAATTAATATGAGGCACTTTTGTACATTTAAAAAAACCATAATTCATATTGATGAAAAATGCAATAAGACTCAAAATTATAAACAATTTGAGGTCTTACCCTCCTTTAATACAGATTGTATTTGTATTTGGATCAAAATTTATGAATTTCATTTTTAAACATAACAAAAAAATATCGCCAGTCCTCGAAAAAAGAAATATTGTAAAATGAGTGACATCCTAGCAGTCATTTTATAATTAAAAATTTACTTTAATAAACACTATAACATTATTATAGACTGTAGTGTAAAATGTATAATTATTGTCACATTTTTAACTATTTTATAAGAGGTGTGTTTGTTTTTGAAATTAATTAATTTTTTTAATAATAAGTTTTATAATTCACATTATTTCTTTGCCAAAAACTAAATTTTTACTCGACTGTGAAAATTACTATTATCAATTTAAAAGGGTTTTAATAAAAACAGAACCACTGACTGTCTGTTTCGAATAATATTAGTTTTTATGGAAAAATAACTGCATGGAAGCAATAACTGTATGTTATAAACATTTATTAAAAATGTATTATACTTACACAAATTCTGAATGTTTTATTTTTATTTTTCGAAAATTCGAATTCTAATAAAAAATGTTAACTTATAAAATTTTACAAGTTTAACATTTTATTTTCTTCTAAAATTAGTAAGAGAAATTCAAACTAAATAAAATAAATAAATATACTGCTTAAAACCTAGTTAATTTCTTTAAGTTATCCATAACTATGCACTTTATATAGTGACCTTAGAGGGATTCATCCAAGTTCTATATCCAGGATTATCAAGAGAATTTTTAGAAAAATGAGAGATTATATAAATTTTTCCAAATAGAAATTGAGTAATACAAAAATTCTATAATACCTTTATAATGCCTTGTGTTGATGTATGGCTGAACTCATATAAAAAATACAAAACATAGGAGGTCTTAATGGAAGTTTTAGAAATCGTTAAGATGGTTCTCACTAAATGTCCAAGGTATATTCTCACTATATTATCTCATATAATTTAGTTAGGTTTTGGAATTTTTAAACTTAGACATAAGTTGAGTTTTAAAACAATTTCCTCTCCAACAAAATTAAAAAAATTACAGACAATGTTACCAGAGGTCCCTCGCTTTAAAAATAATTTTATTCTCATACAACTTCCTATAAATATTGAGCACATAAATTTGAACTTTGCAAAGTAAAATTTTATGTAACCCACAAGTTATTTATGAGTAACATTAATCATTTATGAATTACATTACAATGTAACTCAAAAGTTTTTTATATCTTTCATTTAAGTATTCTGTATATTTATATATATATTTTATACTATTATTTTATATATATATTAAATAATACAATAATATAGTTCTGTTCAATAACATTGTAAGTCTACTTTTAGACATTTTACAGATTGAGCTACATACTGAAATATTTGTTATTAATAGTAAATGTTGAAGTATTTTTCTCTGTTAAGTATATCCATTAATTATAAAAATCCATTGTTACAATGAAATACAAAGAAAAATCCTATTTATTCATAACTATTAAATATTTTTTTAAAAATTGGACTTGCCAAATTATTGTGCTAGATTATAAATTTTAAGGATCCAGCTAAAAATTGAAGTTATAACTATTATAAGCTATGTTTAGAGTTAAAAACAACTTATTGTCACTCATTGATTTAGTTTTTAAATATAAATCTAAAATAGTTGCATACAAGGTATTTAAATAAAATAATGAAATTTAACACTTGAAAATTTTTGTTTTGTCCTGGTTACATTTTGTACAATAAAAACTAAACATAATTAAATTAATTATATATTTTTATTGTAAATAAATTATAACTAAGCATAGCTATATTTAATTTATTACTCACTTCGATCTTCAGATTTTAAAAACTAAAAAAGATTGAGATTTTATTACTTAAAAGTAATTTAAAAAAAATATATATATAGTATGATCTATAACAAACAAAGTATTTGATTCTAATTTGTAGGAACATCTTGAAAATTTTTCAAAACAGAATATAGGGTATTTCCTATGCCTTTTGAGCAACAAAAACTAATTAAATAAAAATTATTTTATTATCACAGATATTATTTAAATCTAAAAGTAATAAATGATAATCTAATACATAAATAAAATTTCTATTAATGGACAAACTTCATGTTATTACATTTGAAATATAACCAACATATAACAGTTAAACAAAATAATAATTTAACAAACAAGAACACTAGATAAATTGGTAATGTTTAATATCAGAGGAAAATAAATAAAAAAATTATAAACATTTGAAGTATGTTAGACATACTTAAATAATAGAAATTATTTCGAATTTTCAAGCATATAAACAAATTAAAAATAAAACTTTGTAAGATAGCATATGTAAAAAAATTAATTATCCAGTTTTGTTTCTTTTTAATAAATCGTCAATCTATTAAAAATATAATTAAAATTAATATATATTAACTATGAAACAATTAAAATGTATTTACCTGAGCTTTGTACATTTCTTTCACATCTTGAAGGTCTAGCTTTAATTCTTCACTTTCTTCGATTTTTTCACCATACATTTGCAATAAAGCATCATATCTCTTTTGTAAATTTGCTAATTCTACTAAAGATAAAGATTGTTCTTCTACTTTGGTAGTTAGAGAAGCCAATTCTGTTGTTAATTGATCTCTTTCGTGTTCCCTCCGAGACAATTCCCATTGCAACTGTTGAGCTTCTCCTAGAAAATAAAGTAAATAATAAAAATTAGAAGTAAATAGCTAAAAAAAAAATTAACCTTCTTTTAATTTTATTTGAGCTTGTAAATTCTCTAAAATAGTAGTTGTATTACTGAAAGATGGTCTCATAGAATCATAAACACTAACAGTTCTTTCGGTAATTGAGCTTCTGTCATCTTCTACAAACTTAACAAACAAATATAATAAATATTCATTAAACTTATGCATATGTATAACAAAGTATTAAACAAACCATTTACTCAGCCATAACCAAGAGGCTCAACTTTCCCACATTATAACCCATAAAAAATAAAAAATAAATATTTATCATTCTATTAAATATTCTTTTTAACATAGGGGAATAAGTTAAGTTCTCTTTCAATTTTTTTTTAAATTTTAGTAGTGTTCATGATGTAAATATGTTCATTACTTAAAGTAATATTTGAGCATTACGCATATTACATTTACACAAGCCAAATAATAATATAATGTGTATTATATAATATATATACAAGATGTCCCATCATGCGTTTATTAAGTTTATTTTATTTATTCCGAGTCTATCAATAGATAATTGTTTTTGTTTTTCTTAAACCTAATCAATGTATATTAATTAAGTTTTTAGATTTGAGGGCATTGGTAGATAATTCCTTATAGAATAAAAAAAAATTATATGATATTATTGAGTGTCTTGGAAATGGTCCGAATAAGTTTTATAAATGCTTTAAGTTCTAAACTCTAGTTATAATCATAGGATTCTTATAATTTACTTTATAAAATGGCTACCTTAATTTTTTTAAACACAGCTAATAATTTTTAAAATATTTTTTTTTATATAATATAGTCCTAAGTTTTAACAAATAAAAAAATAGTGGTACACCTGTACATAGAAGAATGAGTCACAAATATATGACAAATCCAATAACCTATGATCAAACAGTCATTTGTTAAATTTTTTTTTTTTTAATAATTTTGGCATTCTTAGACTATGCTAACAGCTTATTTGTCTTTAGTATAGAAAAAAATAAATATTTTTGAAATTTTAAAATAGCTTATTAAGTTACAATCATTTTAATACATAGAGGGGATGGTGTATACATACACCAGAATGAGCTGTACCTACATGATTTTAATAACAGTATAAAAATCCAAAAGTTGTTAAAAGGAAAAATTATAGAAAAATGATTATTTAGTTAAAATTTACGGGATTTGTTATATGTTTGTGAATCGCTTGTATATACATATTTACACACACACACACTTAGAAGAAAATAAATAACTAGAAAAGTTTTTACAGAAGGCCAAAATGAAGATTCTTCAAATGATGGTACACCAACACTAGTTGTAGGAGATGAGTGATGAGATACTTGTGAATTAATTATTTGTTGAGCTTGAATATCATTCTAAAAAATATATATATATATATATATTAAATAAAAAAGTGTTTAGTTAAATTCACAAAGATATTTACCTGAAGTTTTTTTCTTTTTTCAAACTCGATGTTACATTTTTCTTTTTCAAGTTTAACTTCATTTTCAAGATTATGTATTTTTAATAAAGCCTCAGCTAATTGTTTTCTTGTTAACACAAATTCATTTTCAAGCTTATTGAAACTATAATAATATAAATATGAAGTCTGTAGAATAACACAATATCACTTATACTAAAAACTTGATGTTTTATACCCTTCTAGTTTTAATTTTAAAATTTCATTTTCTTCTTTTAAATTTTTATGTTCAACTTGTAACTGCTTTTCACTTTTTAAAAGATCATCTATTTGATCTCCGAGTTTTTTCCTAGATGTGTTGACTTCATTAATTTTAGCATCCATCATTAAAATTTTATGTTCAGTATTATTTAATGTTGTTTTCAGGTTTTCTAACAGATGTGATAAATTAATTATAATTATTTCAATATTAATTTAAATATATACCAATTGTTTTAAGATGCAATTGCTCTCGTTCTTCAATATCATTTTCTAATATTTTCAATTTATTTGATTTTTCTTCAAGTTCTTTGACAAGAGGTTGGGTCGCTTTTATGGTTTCTTGTAATGAGTTTTGCTGTTTTCTATTGGATTCTTCTAGTCTTTTAATTAATGATATGTTTTCTTTTTTTAATTCACTTATCTCTCTAAAAATAAGTATTAACATTATATAAAATAATGTACTATAAGTTAATACATTTTTAGATGTCTGTAATTTATAAAATTTTCATTTTCTTGTTTTTTTAATTTTTATCACCACTAGAGTAAATTTAATAAGAAATTGGTATACAAATACTAATTAACTTTTGTATATTATATGTATTATTATGATAAGTAAAACAAAAGATAAAGGTTCTTCTCTAAAGATATTTTAATATTTTTCTTTATTCACTCCTACGTTTCTTTTCACCCAATTCAATGATAAACTTATTTTTTGAATAGTATTATTTTTTAAATTTGAATTAATTGATTTAAAAAAGGTCAAAAAGTGAAATTTAAAACTAATATTTTAGGATATATGTACTTAAGAAACTGCACTATTTAATTTAAAAAAAATTAGAATTTAATATTTTAGTGTTTTTTAATTTTAAAAAAAAATTTATTTATTTTAATACTAAAACCAATTAGTTAAAAAAAAATTACATGTGGTGGTTTTCTTCAATTTTACATAAATTTGCTTTTAAACTAGTTATAACAGCTTCTATTTGTTTACAGTGTTTGTTTTTTTCAGTTAATTTATTTTCAATATCTACTAAATTTTCTTTCATAGCTTGAAATTCTATTGAATCTTTTTGTAATTCTTCTATAAAATTTTCTTTATCTTGAATGTTCCTGCAAAAATCAAACAATTATTTAAGTCACAGATAATTTTAAAAGAATTATTTAATTAATATACTTCTGTAAAGATATTAAAGTTGAAGTTAGATTATCAACTTGACTTTGTAAACTTATATTTTCTTTTTCTAAACTTTGATTAGTTTTAGTTAATTGATGAATAGCTTCAATTTGACTTCTTTCCATTTCTTCTTTTGCAACTAATGATTTTTTTATTCTTTCTAGTTCTTGATTTAATTTTTCTTGTTGATCTCTAAACAATTAAGAGTGTAGATTAATAATAGTATAAAATATTCACTTAACTATACAGGCTTTATACATTAATTAGATTAAAAATCTGAATAAAGAATATTTATTAACTAATAAATAATAAGTTAATATTAATTATTCAATTTACTTGTATTTATTTAGAGATTTTAGGGATTCTTTTTCAGCAGCTCTAAGTTTTTTGATTATGTTGTTCAAATTTAGGTGCTGTTTACTCAATTTTTCACCTTCGTCTCGTAATTCTTTAATAAGCAAGTCTTTTTCTTCAATTATATTTTTTAACTGTGCTGCATTTTTATTTTGCTACAATAAATTTATAAAAGTTAGTAAAAAATATTAAAACTGATTTTAACAAATTATTTAAGCATTAAATAATCAAATTTAATTAATTTAATAGTTTAATACTCCAAACCGATAATCTAATATAGTGATTGAATACAAAACAGTACAATTTGTTTCCCCAATTTGTATAATTTTATTTAATTATAATATTCGAAAACATCTTAATATACAATTGCTATGATATATATATATATATATTATTTTATATAATTCAACAGGCTGGGCCCTTTTTCAAATAGTTATGTACAATTTATTCAAGAACTACAATTTTTAAGTACAAAAAAATAAAAAATCCACAATAACTTACAAAGTAACAAAAATTTTAGATATTTAATATTTTTAGAACTAAGTGTTAAATAACGAATTAGTGAAATGAATATCCTTATTGGCAAAAGACATTAAACGCCTTAATGGCTCATTCACTAAATAATTGGTGGAAGCATACGGGATAAAAAAGGGAGTATAAGTTTGGGTAGAACATTGTGGAACCTTGAAATAAATTAGTGAAAGAAGTTCAGAGGACTCAACATTACCATTAACTAATCCTTCTAAGAACCTGATACCTGCAGCATATCGCTGTTCATCCAGAGAAGGTAGGCCTAGCTTATTGGCTATCGGAGAATAGTAGTGAGGTGGACATGGAACTTTTAGTAGGAAACAAGCAAAACGCAAAAATTTATGCTGAACACGCTCAATCTGCAACAAACTATTTACTGCATGGGGATTCCAAACAACACAACCAATACTGTATTGATCATACAAGAGCACAGTATACATATTTAAAAGCAATGTTTAGCTGAGTCTTTGCCAGTCTAAATAATAAACCATGTGCTTTAAACGCCTTACAGCATATATAATTAATATGTGGGTTAGAGTCAAGGTTAAAACTTAACGTTAAACCAAGGTCCACGACAAAATCAGTTTGACATCGGATATTATTTGTGTCAAGGCTATAAGAAAACACTAATGGAGATTTTATCCTATGAAATTTGAAAACATGACATTTGGAGATATTGAGTGTTAATCCTAATGTACTAAGCAATTTAGAAAAGAACTCAAAATCAGCTTGTTACTTTGGGCAATCGTCAATTGTAGATACTCGCATATATAACTTGATGTCATCAGCAAATATATATATATATATACTAATATAAATAAACATAGATTATTAAAAAATAAATGAGATTGATCTCTAAAAATCAGGTTTATTATTTAGGATAAATAATATGAATAATTATTTTTTAATTACATTTGTGTAACTCTTCTGAGCATGTTTTTTATAGGAGATGTTTGAGAACCCTTTGATGTTGTGTTAACTTTTAATAATTAATTAAAATTTGATTTATCATGTACAAGGAATAATTATTAGTCATATAGTGCATTATTATGTAAATAAAAGGGCTCAGGTTTATTTCAAATCACTCATATATTATACATATATTTTAACACAAAAATTTGAACTTTAAAGTATTATATATAATAAACAGATAAAATTATGTTAAAAATTTAAACACCATTTACTATTAAAAAAAAACTTTTTTTAAGTTTTATACATTTTATTAAATTGAAAATGTGTTTCCATTTGAAAAAAAATTAATTTGCCACTCATACAGGGCATACAAGGGTAGAACTTAAAAAGTATTACATAGATAATAATTCAAGGATAATATAATTGAATAAACCAAAAAAAAAAAAAATTCAAAAAATTATTTTTATTCTTTGAGTAATTGGATGGTTAATGATACAAAATCACTCTGTATAAATCAGGTTTTATTTAAATGTCTCCAAAAAACGTATCAAATATTTAACTAGGTATTTAGGCTTATTTATTTAATTTTTAATACTCTATAATCTAGTATGATCACCAAAAGCTTAGGTAGTGTAAGTTTAAAAAAAAAATCTATATCATTCTTTTTTAAACACACTTTTTATATGAGGACCATAGAGTAAAATAGGTAAATTTATAACTTAATAAAATTAAAAATATTAGATTAATTCAAAGTTAAAAATTAAATAACTTTTGAAGCATTATTTCAAAAGTTATTAATACTTTAAAATACTGGTTGGAGATAAGGTGCAGGTTATGTTATGTTTTATCATCACACATCACTTTACCAAGCTCCTCAACTCAGGTAGAAAAATATTTTTAACTTGAAATTTAACAGAAATACTTGTTCAAAAAAAGTTATCGATCAGTAATTTTTATAGTTGTATCATTTTCTGGACTGAATTACACTTATCATATCTGTATACTGTATAGCTTACTTCAAGTTGTTTCTGCAATTGATTTTTCTCTCTAATAGCTTGTTGAAATTTATTTTCCATATTTGCTAACCTTTGTGTATATTCTTCATTTAAATTACTAGAGTTTAAATAATCCAATTGACTAAAAAAAATTTGTTATTAAAAGTTATTATAAATTAACTGCAACATATAACATTTTTCTTTTGCTTTGTGCAGAAAATGCGAATGTAAAAACACACTTATTATTTAAATTTTCAAATGACCTTAGCAAAAAAAATCATTTGACTGTCAATATGATTAGTTTCTAAAAAAAAAAAGACAAGTTCTTTCAAACTCTAAGCATATTGTCAGCATACATTGTTTTTATACCACAGTCATTTGAATATTAAAAAATAATACTATTTTTGACGTTGATCTTTTTACATCAAACCACAGATTTAAACAAAAAAAAATGATGTTTAGTCAAATTGAGATAAACATATCATTTTTAGATAAAACTGTTGCTTACATTTTACTGAATATATTAATATTATTTCACTTAAAATAATATTAAGATAGTTCAAATAATTAACAAAATAAATAAATATTTTCCTGTAATATGTGTAGGAAGTATAAGACATTTATTTTTTTGGAAACTATTAAACATGTTAAATTTTTGTAGAAGAAAATATTGTTTGACTCAAAAAACAATAATAATATGTAATTAAATTGTTTTTTTTTTTCATCCTTTTAAGAATAGAAAAATCATTACATTAATTTTCTTAATTGAAAACCCCTATTTTTATTAAGGTAGTATAATAGGAAAAAAATTTACAAACAATTTTATTCTTATTATTTTCTTTATCTGATCAACTGTTCATCTGTTTCAGAATGTTACAGTTAAGTGTTTTTAAACAAAATTTCTATATTTATTCTTATGTTTTGTTTGCAGAAGTAATTGATGACTATTAATAATTTAATACAATGTTGCTTGAAGTGCATGAGGATATATCCATGTGTACAGTTGAGTTCTGACGTTTCGGACTCATTGCAGAGTCCATCTTCAGAGTGATGGTTGCTAGTCGGTGGCTGCAACTATACTTTTAACACATTCATAATTTAATACAAATTTTAAACTATTTAAAAAAATGAACAGTTCATAAGATAAAAAAAATTATAAGAACAACATTGTTTGTAAATTATGTTTCTTTTCTTATTAACTACATATTATTGTAATTTTTTGAATCAAATAATTTTTTCTTCTACAAAAATTTTAATTTGTCAATGATTTTCGAGAAAATGAGTATTATATCCTAAATGTATCACTCTGTATATATATGTATATGAATATTAATTAGCATACCTTTTCATATCAGAGTTACTAGCAGCTAATTCAGCATTTTTTTTACTTAAATCTATAAGTTTGGATTCCCGAGCCTTTACTATAGAATTTAGTTCCACAATTTTCTATAAAATAAAATTTTTTTGTAATATATTATTATAATTCTGTTTTTATAAATAACATTTTCTCTTAAAAACTACGCCTATGTCAAAAAGGACAGGCAAAAACGCATAGCTCAATACAACAAAATCAAATTCAGTATCTATGTACTGATTCACATTGCATTCTTGACTTAGATAAATAGGCCACCTAATTATACATACATGGTGATCGGTTTATCATAAGCTACTCAATAACTCTCAAAATAAATGCAATATTGAAAAAAAATTTGTTGGTTTTTTTAGTTATATATTTTTTTGATTTATTAGCTATTAATTACTTTTTAAGATCATCCCTTATAATATATAAGGTTAACTTAAATTTTTTAAATGGTAACACACATATTTAATTTACTTATAAAATAGAAAATTATCTAATTAAGAAATTATTAACATGGACCAGTCATTTTGACTAGTTAATAACAACTTCTGGATCAATACTTTAGATGTTATTCTCCTTTTTATATCTAAGTGGGACGAAAAGTACAGGTTGAAAATAACTAGAGATATAAATAGCAACACCCACTTTTCACATCCAATCATTACTTTAAATTATTAATAATTTCTGAAATAATGGTCCAAAAGTTGTTATTGACCAGTCATTTTCTTAATTAGATTATTTTCTATTTTATAAGCTAGTCAAATATATATGTTTTCATTTAATGAAATTTTAAACATTTTCAATAACTTTAAATATAAAAATATTCAATAATTTATGTACATCTTTTATAATATAGCTTTGTTCATACTTTTTGGAGATCTTCAACTCCTTGATGACCTATAAAATAATGAAAAATATTTTTCGTATTCAGAATTGACTATTTAATTATTTTAGTAATGTTACCTAATATTATTGATGGTAAATTATAATGATGGTATTTAACTGGACTATGACGATGAGATGCATTACTTTCACTATCTTCATTAGTTGCAGGACTTGATATAACTTCTATATCAGAGGAAGTCCATGTTTCAAGTTCATCGCAAGAGTTAGTTCCACTTGATCCAATTTTTACAAAGTCTGATTGACTGATTCAAAAAAAATATATATAATAAATATTATTTAAATTTTTTTATATTTAATTAAAATATTTGTCATTAAATTAAAACAGGTAATTATATACTTGTATAATTTTGTTATTATCAATTCAATACACTAATAGTCTTTAACAATAAGAAAATCCTCTATAAAGATGGGATCTTAACACATAGGGCATGGAATATAAACCATCTGACTAGAAAAGGAGGGTTTGTAATTTATACAGATAACTCCAAGAAATCAAGAAAAGTAGGTGCTGGCATTTGGGGATTAGAGCCTTGCATAAATATCACGATGGGCACAATACCCTTTGTGTTCCAAGCAGAGGTAATGGAAATACTAGTAGAGACCCAAAACCTGCTGGTATTCTAGAAAAGAAACATAACTATCCTAAATCAAACTGCTGTGAAGACATTTAACCATAGCCAGAAAACTTTAAAATCACTAGCAAGGTTCAATAAAGTTACATTAGTATGGGTACCAGGACATAGCAGTGTGACTGGTAATGAAAAAGCAGACTTTCTAGCGAAGAAAGGCGCAAAAAACACCTATGTTGGATCAGAACCAGTGGTAAAACTCAAGAGCAATACCTCAAAGTAAAACCCAAAAATTGGTATAGGAACAACACAGGAAAATATGGTGTTATCTGTGGTACCTAGACAATCAAAAATGTTTATCAGATTCCCCGTCTACTACTGAGGGATCTTAATTACATGTATGGATATCAAATAATCACTTTGACTGGATTATTGACAGGACACGATCATCTGCTTAAATATCTTTACACAATGGGAGTGACAGAATCACCACTGTATAGGAAGTGTGGAACAGAAGAGGAAGATTTATTTTAAATTATGCGTGAATGTGATACCCTGGCCACATTAAGATCTAAACATTTGGGAAAATCTATTCCTAAAAAAAGGAGATAATAAAAATATATAACTCGATAGGAGGTGGGCACAATGTACTTATAGGTCTGAGTGCATGGGCAGTTCTTGCCCACCTCTATAACAACTAAAACTAAAATTGATCTGTTTCATTACTAAATGAGCACCTATATATGATTGTGTGTGTAGATTAAAAATTAATCATAAAATATTATATGCTGCATTCTTACCTATTGTACCTGATTACTTATAGCAGTTATAATTACTAGGAAATGGGCCAACTTGAGGTAGTGTTTAAATTTGGGGAAATTAAATTTTACCTTAATTACCATTTTAGTTGTATCAATCTACATCAGTAGTAAAATGTTTACAATTTTATAGTTAAAAAAACACAAAATATTGATTTAAAAATTAATGTAGAATATTTTATTAATTTATTTTTATTAATTTACTTGTCGATTGAAACACGTGGTGACTGTTCCCGATTATCATCTTCAGAACAATTCTCTACTTCTTCTAGTAAACTTCCCACCATGGTTTCTAATAAAATAATAAAAATATAATAAATAAACAAACACAGTATGTTAGAACTTTATAAAAGCTCTCCTAGAACTTTTTTTTAATTTAGATTTTATTAATATTAATTTCAATGGCGGTCAAATGATTTAACTATAGGAGGGGATAAAAAACTTTTATGATAAAAAAAGTTGTATGCACTATAATAATTTTGTATCTTAGAGCTTTTTTATTTGTATTAACTATATTAGGATATTATTGTGGACTAATGAATATACTTAAATGGGTTTCTTCTTATTAAGTTTTCAATATATGAAATATGAAATTTATGCAAAAATGTCAATTAGAGTATGTCAATGGGAGATCTATCTCACAAATCCCTTATATTTGATTTAATTTAATACTTACCATCATCACAACTACTATTTTCTAAAGTAGTATTTGATTTTTTTAAAAAATCAGTTGATAAATTGCTAGAATTTAAAGAACATTGCATATTTTTAAAGTCTTCATGACATTTTATGGAAATATTTGTTTGAGGACTATAATTTTGCTTAATAAGATTCATAGATTCTTCTCTCGAAATATCTAATACACCAGAATTCTAAAAAAAAATTTTATTTTAAATAATTTATTAATAATATATTTGACGGATTTAGCATTTATTTATCTTTCTCTAAGGTGGGTAAAAGACTTTTGATTAGAAAAAGATAATATAAGGGGCACACGCCTTTATCATCACTCTTTTCTAAAGAATGATTTTTTTGTCTACTATAGCGAAAAAGAAAATAATGTAAGATCCACCAGTGAATATACTACTTTATAAATCTTATTTTATAGAGTAAAGTCAAATCAGCAAGAGAGACATTCGTAGATGATGCAGTTAATTTTACCACTGATGTTTCAGAATTATTTTGTACTGGAATGTCTTCATTAGGTATGCATGTTAAATTATCTGAAGTAGAACAAGTTAGACTGTCTTCATCTTCAATTAATTCAGGTATTGGTTCAATACTATCAGGAGAATACTGCTTATCATTTATCCTATTTAAAACATCAATATTATACTTTTTTTTTGTGAATATTTCCTTAAATCCAAAAGCCATTAGCTGATTAATGTGTACAAATTTTTACTTATATCTAGTTATTTAAATGAATATAAAATGAAATCTAAAATTCTTTACTTGTTATATTCTGTTGTAACAGCATGAATTTCAGTAGAACTAGGAGTAATTATTTCTACAGATGACTTAGAAGTAGTAACAGAAGTAGATCCAAGTATATCTACACGATCAGAAGAAAGTGTAAATTTTTGGTCACTATCAGAGCATATCGAAAGATGATTTCTATTGTTACAATTTGTATAATCTGTTCTATGAGAAACATCTAAATTTGTATCAGAATCAATTTCAATTACATTAAATTGTTCACATGATTTTGAAGTTTGACTAGAAGATCGAACTGGTTGATTAGCAACAATTGTATCACTTTTGATGGTTGAGTTGGATAATTCTAATGACATGCTTTGATTTGTAGCTAACAAGTAAATAAATTAATTAATTACATTAAAAAATAAAAAAATAACATAGAACATAGAACAAAAGAAAAACGTCCATTTTATTTACAATAATATTAGACGATTCATTTATCATGCACTATGCAATTATTTGAAAAATAATAATTTTTTTTTTAGTTTGTTAATTACACAATAAACTTTGAAATTATCAAACGAAAAACATCCAAGTTTATACAAAATGAGAACTAAGTTCATTTTCAAGTCTATTTTCTAAAATTTGAATGTGTTCATGTATAGTTTATATAAAATGAATACATTCATTATGAATGATTTCAATCTCATCACTGATGATAACATACATTTTTAACTGACTTTAATAATAAAGAAAAATCAGGTTAAAAAAAAAAATTTTTAATAATAACTTTTAAATTAGTACTATTAGTACCTAAAATTTTAAATAATAGTTTAAGGATGAAGCTTAGATCATAGTCATTTTTGTCATTAGGAACTTTTCAAGAATGTTCCTCCTACTATCAAATATAATATTTAGGAAGTATTCACATTCTAAATTTTAAAAAAATCACTTTTAATATAAGTAGAATGATTTTTATTATTAATAATAAAATTAGCAACAACTACATTTTAACTCCAGACATTATTTTAAAATACTAATGACTTCCAAATGATTGGTCCAAAAGTTGTTGTTGAATAGTCATTATTTTAATTAGACCATTTTCTATTTTATATCCTAGTTAAATATGTAAAAATAACATACTTATAAATTATGAGGGATGATTATAAAAAGTAATTAATAGCTGACAATTTAAAAAAAACCCAACACAGTAGGGTCGCGGCACAGTGAGGACATGGCATAGTTGGGACCAGTATAGATTTAATCTGACAGTGATTCATCAAAAATGCTTCGATGCAAATCTGTACATAGTGTTTTATTTTAAAAAATTGAAGGATTATTCCAAAAGCAACATGATCTCCTAAAGCTTCCAAAAGCAAAATAAACTTCTATTTCCTTATTTATATCTTGATTACAATATTTATGATTTATAAGTGTAATATATGTATAAATATTTATTATAAAAATTAAATATAGTATGAAGTTAATATTTAATAATTTAGTATTGTAATTTTTACAGAGAAATTATAAAAAATTATAAAGTAGTTATTATTTTTATGGCAAACATATATAAAATTTAAAGGTCTTGATGCAATAGTTAATAAAAAAAATTGTTTGTTATTTATAAATACGATTTGTGATCTTTTGACGTATCATTGAACAAAATTGGTTAAGTGAGAGCTGAGAAAAAGTGGTAACAGATAAAGAAAAAACCCAACCTTCTCAGTTAAATATACTCGAGTTGGTTCACTAGAACCAGAACTATAAGTGACTCTTTAATTTAAGAATATGTAATATTATATAATATTTGTTTGCTAAATGCATATTATTATGAAAAATTTAACTTGAATACAAAATTGACAAGATAGAGATCTCCAAATTTACAATCTTAATTGTAGGTACTTTCTATTTGAGCACTTTTCTTTTATTAATTGTTGACAAAACAACATTATTTTAGAGAATTGTATAGCCTAATATGCAAACTTTTTAACTATTCTTGACCAACACTTTATTTTTAGATATTCGTAATTATCATGAAAAACAAATTAATTAAAAAAAAAAATCATGTAGGTGCTGAATTGCAATTGTTTTGAAAATTAATTGTATAAATACTTTAAATATTACATTTAAAAAAAAATGTCTATTTACCATTTTGTTTATCTAATGGATCACATTCGTTTTCAAACACTGAACTTGTAAATGAGCTCCATAAACTCGAACTCAATTTGGATATATTTTGGTGAGAATCTTTTTCGAATAAAACTTTTGATGCTTCTTCTTCAGATACTTCTTCATCTTCTTCTTTGATATCCAATGCTTTATCAATAGTCTTTTGTGCTTCTTTTAAAGCAGTTTTTGCTAAATTTGCAAATCCTGATGCATCGAACTGATTAAACCAACTCATTATGAATTAATACTGTCAATACTATAATTGTATCAATAAAAAAATTAAACAATTGTTAAAGTTGTACATTTTAAATTAATTATACTACAAATTATACCAAAAAATTTAAAAACTATGAAAAAACATTAAAACCTATGTATTAATATTCAGGTAAAAAAGTAGAGAAATATATTGAAATATTGAGAAATAATATTATTTAGAATTAAATTTTTGGTATTTTTTCATATAAATTGAGCTAATAATTTTCTAGTGATGTGTTAATTTCACTTTAGTTGGAGATAAAAATTATTTTGTTATCATTAAAAATGATAATAGACCAGAATATCAACTTGAAGAATTGAATAATGTATTTAGACAGACACTTACAAATCAGGAATATATTTTATAGGAATGATTTTATTTTTGGTAAAATATTTATCATTACAGAAATATTGATAGGAACAAAAATAGGAAACGTACTTTAGAGGGATGAGATTATGTGGGACAGTATTACTTCGAAATTTACTTATGATAGAATATATTACCGTAAAAAATATTCTTTAGGAAAAGTATAACATATAAATATAGAATATATTATTAAGGAAAACATTTCTTTAAAAAATTATTTTCGTGTATTATATAACGGAATATATCATCAAGGATAACATTACCAAGAAAATTACTTTTCCCGAGTTATAATCACTAGGATTATCATTGTAAAATACTATAATATATTACTATAAAAATTTTAATTATAAATTATAATTCATATAAATAAAATTAAAATTTAGGGATCACCTTGTAAATTACTTACTAATTTAATAATTAGCGAATGGGAGTGTTTTACCCTTCTGCTTCAACACAAATAAATTCGGACATAGATAGGATCTAAATATTTAAGTGTAGGTACACAAAAAAATATATATTATATTATTACACCACAGCTATGCTCAGTATCGTATTTTAAAATATGAATTACGGACCATTAGGATATGCTGCTTCCCATTTAACTATTTTTCACTTTATTAACTATTAGTAATTATAAATTCAGTTCATTATAGTGGACTAATAATTTTAGTTCACTATAAAGGACTAACATTTTTATAATGAACTGATATGATATCTTTAGCTGGGAAACTGTTCGCCAACCTTTTTCATGAACTACTCCTGAACATAAAAAAAATTGTTCAAGGATCTCCTAAATAAAAAACAATTTTCAATGTTACTTTGAAGATAGTTCTAAATAATTTTATTTCTATGAAAAAAAATTAAATAAAACAAATTAATAATTTATTTAAATTGAGCATAACAAATATAATATATGTTTGATACAATTTTAGCTTCGATGCGAAGCTGAGAAGGTATTAATTTTACTATGATGTGTTTTAATTTTTTTTTATTTTTTATTTTTTTTTTTGTGTCTGTGAACGCTCAATCTCAGCTCTCGCTGGACCGATTTTGATGAACAATATGTCAAAAGATCACAAATCGTATCTAGTCGAAGACATTACCCTCAAAAATTGAAAAAAATTCCCTCGTTCCCCGTAAACGGGGGAAATCCCCCAAAAAATTACAAATTTAAAAATCGCTAATTTTCGATATTTTTTCAATTTTTTTTACTTAAAATTGCCATAACTTTTTTAAAAATGACCGAATCAATATAATTTTTTTTTTTATAGATACCTTAGATAATTACCTATCATTTTATATATTTTTGTGAACATTTGACCCTTTAACAGCCCAAAGGATGGGGTTTCAAAATGGTAACTTTTTTACAAAAAATTAACTTTTTCAACTTAACTTTTGAAAATGTTCCGGAAAGACTGACAATTTTATATATACCTTAAATTAAAGCTAATGTAATATACTTTAATTTGAAAAAAAAAAATTTGACCTCTGGACTTGTCTTCATGGTGAAAATGACTACCGTATGCAAAAATATGCTATTTTTGTGAAAAAATTCTTGATATTATATTTTACATTTTTTAACATTATGTTGCTATAACTTTTTAAAAAATGCATGAATCAACTTTATTCTTTAATGATAAATACTTTATATATACTTCTTTCATTCGACATACTTTTTTTTAAAATCGGACCATTTCCCTTTATACAGGGGGGGTGCAAACCTTTTAAAATGCGTATAGAAAGTAGAACTTTTTCAACTTAACTTTTGAAAATGTTCCGGAAAGACTGACACTTTTATATATATCTTAAATTAAAGCTTATGTAATATACTTTAATTTGAAAAAAAAAAATTTGACCTCTGGACTTGTCTTCGTGGTGAAAACGGACATCAAAGTTAAAGAAAAACGTACGATTTCCGTGAAAAAAATCTCGATTTTATATGTTATATTATTTAATTTATATTTTATATAACTTTTGGAAAAATGTATGGATCAATATTATTATTTTTTTATAATAAATATTTATATACTCCTTTCATCTACACGCTTTTTTTGTAAATCGGATCATACCCCTTTAACAAGGGGGGTCAAAACTTTAATCATGCGTATTGTTACTATGATATTTTCAATTTAATTTTTGAAAGTATTCCGGAAATACTGACACTTTTATATATATCTTAAATTAAAGCTTATATAATATACTTTAATTTAAAAAAAAAAATGTGACCTCTGGATTTGTCTTCACGGTAAAAATGACTACCGTATTCAAAAATTTGCTATTTTTGTGTTAAAATTCTGGGTTTTGTATTTTATTTTATTTTAAAATACCTGACAAGGGGACTACAGATTTTCATAAATATTATATAAATAAAAAATTAATATAGCATAGAAAGTTAAACTTATTTAAATTTGTTTGCTTCTTTTAAGTCGAGAAAAATAACTTTGAAATTTGAACTAGCTTAAATAGCCTATTTTTTCACCCGACGGTAGCGACGTACGGTTGCCGAGTTGGTAAAATTTATGTTTTACACGCTTGGGGTACGAGGTTCCAACCCGCGTATGGCAATGAATTTTTTGCATTTTTTCTTAATTCTTTTTAAGTTAGTATAAATTTTTAACTCGTTTGATTTTTATCACATTTAGATTCAATAACTTCAATAAAGATCAAGGATCCCATCACTTTAGTCGCCCCTTGCAAGAAGAAATTTCTTATTCGTATTAAAATTATTTTACTATATTTTAAGTTTTCGCTTCGATGCAAAGCTGAGAAGATATTTTTTTGTGACTATCATTTATTTTCTCTGCTCTAACTTGACCTACTTTTTTCAACAATACGTCAAATTACTACAATTCGTATTTATTTATTGGTTATTTTAGTTAAAGTAAAACATTAAAATTAATTCAGTTCATATTTTAATTGTAGTATCTTCTTAAACACCAAAAGATACTACGAAATGATTACTATTATTTCTATTTAAGTTATCTATTACGATAAAAATGCAAAAAAATATTGAGTTACTCTGATAAATTTACTATAAATAGTAATTATAAAATTTCCTGACTGCATATTTTTAACATATTAAAAATCAAATCAGTAATAATTTGAAAAAAAATTTTTTTTTTTTTTAATTATTATTTCATATGTAATTAGTATAATATAAAAATGTATAACTGATAGAAAAAGTCTAATTGCAGATTTGAAAACAACGCGAGAAGTTGATTTAGAAAAGTAAATTTTTGCTTCTGATGAAAGTTTCTTGTAGTCCAGTGTATTTATTCATAAGTAACAAATTTTTTATTTATTTTTTTCAACGATACGTCAAATGACTACAATTCGTATCTAGGTTGAAGATATTACCCTCAAAAATTGAAAAAAAATTTTAATTTATCAATTAAACAGTTAGTTATTCCATTTCCTCCATACAAACAATTAAAATCATTAATTTCTAATGTTTCAAAGTATTTATTGACGAATCAAGTTTGATATGATAGGTTTCAACTACAAAATTAAATCATTTTACTTTGTAATTTAATAATTTTTTTACTCTATTTGTGTGTGCTACTACTAGACTATCATATTACAATTTTTTTTTGTAACATGTTGCTATATAAATCATTTCTAAAAAAAATGATTGTTTTTTCTCCTGAATTAACAATTGATTTTTACAAATATAATCAAATTGTATTATACGTTCTATTTTTTATATGTAAATACTCATTTTTTACTAGTTAGTAATAATATCAAAAATTAGAAGTGATAGAAAAAGTCTAATTTTAGATTTGAAAACGGCGCGAAAAGTTGATTTAAAAAAGTATATTTTTGATACTGATGAATGTTTCTTGTAGTCCAGTATATTTATTCATAAGTGACAAAAAATTCATTAATTTGTTAAAATTAAATATTATCTACAAATTTTTTTATATGCAAATACTATTTTTTAATAATATTAAAACATAGAAGTGATAGAAAAAGTCTAATTGCACATTTGAAAACATTGCGAAAAGTTGATTTTGAATAGTATATTTTTGTTTCTGATGAAAGTTCCTTGTAGTCCAGTGTATAAAACTTATAACTTTGTTAACTGTTATAACTTTAACAAAAATGACCAAATCAGTATAATTTTTTTTTTATTTAGATGCATGTCTTTACTTATCATTTGTTTTTTTTATAAATCTAACTCTTTACCTGCCCACAAGTGGGATTCAAAATTATAACTTTCTTTTTTTTTAGCTAAAGTAAATCATTAAAATTAATTCAGTTCTGGATATTTCAATTGTAGAATCTTTTTAAATACTAAAAATTACTTAGAAATGATTACTATGATTTCTATTTAGGTGTTCTATTACGATAAAAATACAAAAAAATAATGAGTTTTTCTGATAAATATACTGTAAATAGTAATTATAAAATTTCCTGACTGCATATTAGTCTTAAAAATAGCATAGTTTTAATTCTCATAAAATTTTCTATTTAATGATTCATTCTAGTCAACGAAGGATTAATTTTGGAGAATAGCAGAAAAAATTCTCAACCAATTTTTTTTTCTTTGTTTTAATTAGGCAATTGGTGGATTATTCTAAAAGCAACATCAACTCTTATTTCTTTAATTATATCCTGATTAGTAGTTCTTTGATTTTAAAATATAATATATGAATAAATACTAATTATAATTATTAAATTTAGTATGAAATTGATATTCAATAATTTAATATTGTAATTTAAACGGAGAAATTATAAAAATAATAAAGAAGTTGTATTTTGCTTTATTTTTACGTGTATAAAAATTTAAAGGGCTTAATACAATAATTTTCAATAAAAACTGTTTGTTACTATAAATGAATGCACTGTACTTCAAGGAACTTTCATCAGAAACAAAAATATACTTTTTTAAATCAAAGTTTCGCGTTGTTTTCAAATCTGCAATTAGACTTTATCTATCAGTTCTTTATTTTTTTTATATTATTACTAATTACATATAAAAATAATTAAAAGAAAAAAAGAATTGTTTTCAATTTATTACTGATTTGATTTTTAATATGTTAAAAATGATCAATCCAAATTTTCATTTTTAACCTATTTTTTTGGTTCTTTAAAATTTATGAACAATTTTTGATAAAGATTTATGAAAGTTTATAGCAAAAAAAATTGAATATATTACCATAACTTTTAGCTCAATTACAAATTTAAAATTGACATCTAGGCCAGTCAACAAAGGAAAAATTTCTTAAAAAATTCCCAACCAAATTTTGTTTTATTAATAGTTGAATTAAAATATGTATAATGACATACTAATAGTCTTCATTGATTGAAATTGAGCTTTTTTTTACAGCCTCGCAAAAGTTCAAAAATATGAGCTTTTTTAATTTTCTCAAAAAATATTTAACTTACAAAAAAAAGTTTCGTACAAAAGTTGTTTAAAAGACAATTATAAACAAAAAAATTATCTTATATTTTTTCATTTAAACAAACATTTTTCGAGTTACATTACATTTAATGTGAGTACTAAAATTTATATTCCATTTTTTTCATATTACGGTTGCTTTTTATAGATCATAGCTGGCCTCACAATTTCATACTGAATTTAAAAACTATAATTAGTTTTTATAATTAGTTAGTATTTATTCATATATTATATTTTAAAATCAAAGAACTGCTAATCAGGATATAATTAAAGAAATAAGAGTTGATGTTCCTTTTGGAATAATCCACCAATTTCTCTAAATGAAACACTATCTACAGATTTGCATCGAAGCGTTTCTTATGATAGTGATTTTAATCACTGTCAGATATCATCTATACTTATCTCATCTATGCCACGTCTATACTGTGCCTCGACCCCACTGTGCTACCGTTTTTTTTAAATGATCTTAATGCGAACAATGTGTTTTGCATTAATTAAGCGAAGGAGCCAAAGAAAAATTTTAAATTAAATGATATTTCGACAGTTAAAATCAGAATTTATGAATAACACTTTATCATACATAAGTCATTACTAATTTAGGAGACATATTATAGGTCCTGTCTGAATCTATTATAGTATAGTCACTTTAATTGTTAACAATAAAAGTACTTATTTTTAAAAATTATTTATTTAATTTCTGTTTAAACTACGAATAAACATTATTTGGGGACTGTAGAAAATATAAAATGATTTTCTAAACAACTTTTTAAACTTTTAATAATTGATAAAAACTGAACTATAAAATTTAGTCATCTTTGTTTGTATTCTTAAAAAAAACAAATAATGAATTTTTTTTAATACATAGGCGTAACTAGAAATTTGTGTCCGCCGGGGTTGAAGTACGACCACTTTTTGATACCTAATAATATTACACAAAGTTTTAACTTTGTTAAACTAAATTAATACTGATTAAATAAAAAAGAAAGTCGATTTTATTTTTTGCAATTGTGGTAATTGTCTTTACTTGTAGTATAGTTAATACTTGTTATAGTTATTGCAGGGAAAACCAAAAATAAGTATTAGGGAGATATAGTTTCTCCAAAATAATTTCTTAAAAAATATTTTCCTCTGAAATATTAGTCTTTAAAATACTGTTCCCGAGGATATTTCTTGAAGTAATAAGGTTCTGAAAAATACCGTTCCTATCATTTTTGATTCCTTTTAAATAATAATCTTTAAAATACCAATCCTGTTCTGTCAGAAAGTATTTATCATGAATCAATATCTGTATTGATCCATGATAAACTAATCCATACAATTAAACTCCTGATAAGTATTTCCCTAATGCGTATAACCCCCAGATCCAAACATAATAATAATATAATAGACAAAGGAAGGTAACGGTGATGAGATTACCGATTTTTAAAACCGTTATACGAATCTAATCTAAATTGATTATATAGTTAAACTTATTTTGAATTTTTACACTCCACTTAGATGGAGAAAAACGACTTGAAAATTTGAACAAGCTCAACAAGCTATTTCTATTCTTACAACCTATTGTCAAATTGGTACCACGCGTCTCTCAAACACTAGAGATATGAGGTNGCGTAGTGACCTATTGTCAAATTGGTACCACGCGTCTCTCAAACACTAGAGATATGAGGTTCATTCAATTATGTAATTCAGAAATTCAATGTAAATTAGATTCGTATAACATTTTTGAAAGAGTTAATTGTCTATATGTATTAAATGAATCGTTTGCTAAATACAAATATTCTATATAAATAAATTATCGTAGAGAAGCTATGAACGTATAATAAATTAATGTCTAGTATTTTGCTTAAAGCTGCTTCCGTCACACTAGTTAAAAACTAATTATAAAATTATTTGACATAATTTTTAATATCAATGTAACAATTTTCTAAAACAAAATGTAAAGAACCCCACAAATATAATAACTTAATAAAGATAATAAGATAATAAGATAATAACATTAGTTTAGTAATAATAATATTTAACTAGGAAAATTAATATCGATTGAATTATTTTTATAATATTAGTCTGAATATTTTCACTATAACGGTGTGGCTGTATAGATAACGCGACAGTGCTTGACGCGCTCTGCTTCAGATTCAAAACTTGATTCGAACTCGGTCACGGCTTTATTTGCTGAGCGAGCAAATCAGTTCTGTAATAATTACAATTATTGTAGTCGCCATCCGTCTCTCCGGCGAAGAATTAATCACCCGTTCTGGAATATCAACGATTAACAAACCTCCTTTGGAGGAGGACACTAGCCCTTAATAAACTTATAAAGCAATTAAAAAAAAAAATTTCACTATAATTTTTTTGGGAGAAGCACCATTATAAAAATATAATAGAAAAAACTGTGCCCTATTGCCTTACATACTCACAATATGTATTAAAATACCGTTAACTCAATACTTATCTTTATGTTGTTTTCAACTTTTAATATTTTTAGAAGAAAAAGGCTATAAAATGGCTGTTTTGAAATTTCAAAAAATTAAGAAATGAAAATTTTTTTCTTATTAGAGAAAAATAATACAAATATGCTTTTAACATGGTTTAAGATTTAAAAAAAATAATAACAGAGAAATATTAATTGTATCAAAAGTTATAGTTTGTATGTTAGATCTATTCTACCTATATATATACAAGGTGTTCAGTAAATAAAGGAATAGGTCAGTTGTTACAATGAGAATAATAGAAACCAGTTTCCTCACTTACTAAACACCTATATATATCTATACAAACAGTAAGTTTGAGTGTTTACAAACTGAAAAAAGAAAAAATACATGAAATTATAGTTAATATAGTTTTTTTATTTTATGTATAGGAACTATCCCTTTTATAATTTTTAGGTTAAAATTATTTTACAAAATTAAATTACTGTTTAAACACTATAGTCTTCCAATAAATCTAACATTTGATCTATAATCTTCATAAGTTCTAGACAATACCATTAAACAAGGTCCTTTGACAGTAGCCAATAGTTGTGCCATTTCAAGTCGCCCACAAACATCCATTAAATTAAATATTATATTGTAATAGTATCTCTAATAATTAAAAAAAAAAAGTTGTAAAAATGTTCAAATTTAAAATATATTAATTACCATAAATCCTTGTGGTAGGTGCTTATGTAAGGTAAGAAGCTCAATTAAATGTCCAATTATGTACTGTATTGTATCACTAAAGTCTGACTTATTTATTTTAAATAAGCTAGAACACCTAAAAAGTAAATATTATATTTATTAAGTCAATAATGCCAAAATTTAAGTGAAAACATGTTACTTGTCAAGTTTGTGAAAGGGCTTAAGTAAATATTTATCATTTTTAGAATTAATATCACTTTTTTCCATTAAATACAGCCAACATCGTTTTACTATATTAGCGAATGTAATCATATATAAGCTCAAGTATGGTTTTATAGCATTATTGGAACATTTATACAAAACAATTAACAGTTCAGTTATTTCTGTCAAAACTTCTTCATTTAAAGATGAATTTTGTTCTACCAGAGTTATTACACGTAACGAGGAATTTATTATTATAGGTTTGTTTACCTAAAAATAATAATAGATATAGAAATAATGATTTACAGTTTAAAATAAAAATAGTGATTATTTTTCTTAGGTTCATATGAATTTTAGTCATTTTATAAGAGAGAAAAAATTAATTAAAAATTTTAAAGGTGTCTTACTGAATTATTTTTATAACGTAAAAAACAATACTTTTCAATAACTCGTAATTTTTATTGCACACAATAAATATCATATATATTATAAAAAACTTAAAAACTAATTTTGTAGATTTATTAATAAATAGTTTACTACATAATGGCCCCATACAAAAATGTCTACAAAAATAATGTCTAATATTTTTGTAGTAAACTAATGTAAGGTCTACTATTTCGTATAGTCTATATTTTTATTTTTAACCAGTAGCGGCTCGTGGGTGCTAGTGGTGGGGGTGCGACTTTAAATATAATACCGCTAATTATAGGTATAAAAAATTGTTTAATTAAATATAATAAAATAAAACACATTACACATATTATTTTAAAGGTCATAGTAGAAAATAATAATAATAGTGATTATACTATTATAGGAATCGATAACGACGAGCGTTAAGGTATTAATTCTAAAAATAAATCACCTAATATAGTAATACATAATTATTTTACAATATGGATGATGCTGCCGGCCGTCCAAAACCCATACATAAGATTGCAGCTTACCCATACCCGCAAGCACACAATTGGACGCCTTGTTTATAATATACGTTTCAAAATATTATTCGGACGACGCTGTTCTTCGTCCAAATACTGCTCGTGTATGCATGTACCTGCATATACCGAGGGAAACAACTTTAATGTTCGCACACGACAAATGTATTATAACTATTTTACTATTTAAAAATTTGCAATTTTAATAAAAATGTAGAATTAAGAATATACAATTCATTTTCTTCTTTTAATTAATTTTAGTAGAGGGTGCAAATGTCCCGTCGTCCAAGCCACGAGCCACCACTGTTTTTAACTATTGGCTACCTAATTGTATACTTACAATTTGTTAGTTACTATATATAAAAAAAAACTATTTGTTTATCATGAATAATACAACACTTACTCAAATAATATTTAGTTAATTTGTAGAAATTATATCTATTAACATATATAAGAAGAGCTGTAGTATATTTTTGTTAAACTCTTGAAATGTTTATAAATCTGCCATTGCTAATTTATTAAGAAAAACCAATAATATTGAATTATAGCAATCAAAATTTCAGAAAATGATAATCAATAATTATACATTTATATGGAAATTCTTGAAAACATTAAAAAATATGAAAAAGTCAATTAGCTTCTGATTTAAACAATTAAAAAACATGATTTTTACTATTATACATATAAAGAACATAACTCATTAGATGTTCATCTAATAGGTATTAGCTATGAAATTAAATTATACTTAAAGAATGATGAATGATTCAAAATTTTCTTTAATTATTATTATAGTTTATAAATGATTATATATTATTTTATTTTTAATTGTTCTATATTTTCAAATAAATAAATATTATAGTTAAAATGTCAGACATTTTATAAACTTAAAACCAATAGACATTTTTCAAAATAAACATATTAAAAAGTTGACCATTTAACTGACAAATATTAGTCCTGAAACCTTTTTAGATGAACAAGCTTTTGAACAAAAGCTACAAAATAAAATGAAATTTTCTTACCCACTGAACTTTAAGCATTAAAGAAAGTATTTTCATGAGTAAAATAAATCCTTGATTTGTATGTTTCTTTTTTAAATTGAACATATAGTATTTATTCAAAATAAATCCAAAATGATTTACAGAATCTCTGCGGATTTTTCTTTTTTTGTTCAAATATTGCATATTCAACAAGCATGACCATAATTGATATATAAACAAATAATAATTTTTTTCTGATGATTTATCCTTTTCAATTGTTTTTAACTGTTAAGTTATAAGTTATTTATTAGAAACAGAATATAATACTTAGTTAGTTGTCTATGACATATTTTTTATAAGCCAAATAAAAATAGTTCATTTTCCAAATAAGAAAAATAACCAATAAGTGAAAAAAAATCACTTAAACAAACTCAATTAACAGTATATAAGATAATATAATACCCAATTTTACAAAATTTAAACTTTTTGAAAATATGTCATAGAAATATTACTTTAATAGAATAATTCAATTCTTAAAATAAAAACGAGATTAGTAATATTGTACCGTTTCAGTTTTTAAAATTTCAATGAACTCATTCAAAACTTTGGCAGAACACATTTGAAGTAATGTTTTGGCTATATTAAGACCTAATGTGTCAGGATATAAAACATTTTTCCAACAATTAATTAAAAAGCTTTTAGGCAAACAATTAGAAATTTCATTGTAATGTTTTAATAACTTGCTAGTTAAATATTTCTTATCATCCATATGACTTAATTGATTTTTATCAAACTAAAAATTAAAAAAAAATATTTACAATAATTAAGATTTAACCATTTTTAATACCTGATGTATAAGTGATTCTCAACCTTTTATATATAAATTTAATTATATATAAAAACACAGGACAGTCATTTTGCTATCTATAATATTTAGGTTAAGATCCATTTACACTGTAAATAATTTTGATNATCTATAATATTTAGGTTAAGATCCATTTACACTGTAAATAATTTTGATATTAATTCCAAATCTAGCTTTAGATTTTTTCAACCACATCTAGTTTTCGATATAATTACTAATTAGTAATATAGCAATAATTAAATAACATAGTTATTATAATCAACTGTAAATTTATACATACATAAGTATAAATTAATGAATGTATTTATATGTAATGAATACTTACCATTAAGAAAAATTTCTATAACAAAACAGTAACCAAAATTTCTTATTGGGTAAGATATATACACATTTAAGATTGAAAAAATAAAAACTACCCACATATTTGACTTTATTATTATAAAATAAATTTATTTTTGGAGAATAATTATTTCTGCTCTTCTATGTTATTAAATTATATAATATTTAAGTTTTCTTATTATAACTAATAAATAGTCATTATTTTTTTTATAATTTAGATGGTATTTTCATATTTAATTCAAGTAACCCATCATAATTTTCTTGAAAATTAGATGAATTACTGAGCAACCAAGTGTCATGTGGCAAATTTAATTACTAAAAAATTTAAAAGGCTATACTATTTTTCAACACACATAAAAATGTACAAAAAAAAAAAAAAATTTGTAAAAACACAAAAATGCAATATTTTCAAAATTTTTAAATTTTATTTTTTCATATGAATGCTTGTCATTTTCCATGCAAAATACAAAAAATATATATAATTTTTCACTACTCACAAAATCATCTATTTACTGATTGAAATTTCATTAATAAGAGTCAATGAGTAAAAATATTTACAGTGGAAAGATTAAACTTTTTTTCTAATAAAAGGTACCATTACATTCAAATTTAAAGGTCTATAAGAATGGTTAAACTTGGTGAATATGTTTCAAATTTTGCATAACTCTTTTAATGTCATTACATTATACTAGGAAAGTATAATAAAAAAGTATTTTTAGTTTTTGTAATAATTTAATCGTCTACAAAATGCTTAATTAATAACTAGTATTTACCTCACACACTAGATGTAATGTAAATAATTTGAAGCCATATTTGGAATTAGCATCAAAATTCCATACAAAATTCACCTAAATATTGTAGACAACAGACAATTTTTTATTTTTAGCTGTTCTGCGTTATCATCTACACATCTAAAACTTTTTTTGAATTTCTTCACCTATTCAAGAGCATGTCATAACTACTTTCTCTGAGAATAGTAAAAATATATTTAAATAAAAATATATCCTCCCATGAAAATACCGAGTAGGTTACTGTTTTTAATAATTTTACTTACAAATATTGTAAATGTTATTTTACATGTTAACACGACCGCCGGGGATTGATGGGTGGTTATAGAAAGTGTACCGGAAATCAAGTGAAAAAAAGAGGCACAGTACGGGATTAGAACCTGCGACCCAAGGCGTCGTAAAGACAAACCTTACCACTAGGCCACCGTGCACTTATGATTCAGATCCCGATACACTTTCATTTAGGTTGATAACGTGATGTGCGGCTGAGGGAAACACGGTACCGTGTCAATGTGTAGAAAATTTAAATAGTAACATATAAAGATACAAAAATATTTGGTTTAATATGAACCATATATTCAATATTAAACATAAAAAAAAGGATATTTTTTATTTACATACTTGTTACTGTACACATGTCATAGGTTGAGAAACACAGTCCTAAATTATTAATTCTTACCAAAATGTCAATATATTTTTCTAAGACAGCAAAATTATTATAAATGAAATCTTCATTTTTTGTTGTAATAGAAAAGTGAAGGGATAAACTGTAAGGTAAAATAAGTTGACATGTTAATGATTCGTTTGAATTAAAAATTATACTTTCATTTAACTTTTGAAGAAGAGCATTTACATTTTTATCTTTTTTTGCATTTGTATCCTAAAAAATTAAAATTTTAAATAAACATTAACATTAAGTAATTGATTATTATACTTTTTCTCATTATATTTTAAAGATTATTACAATCATAATAAATATTAAATACTTACATTAATATTACACAAAAAATGAGATACAATAAAACATTTGTCAATTAAGTCATTATTATTATCAAATACTTCCATTAGATCATTGCTAATATTATAATCTAATTTATGTAATCCCATACTTTCTGACAGTACTTTACATAATAATTTAACTAGAGCTTCCATCTCATGATCTGATTTGATTTTTTGATAAATTATGAGTGTGTAATTTGCTGCTTTAAAATTAGATGGAAGTTTACATGTTTTTAAGTAATCTAAAATATATATATGTAAAATTAATATATATAAACAGTATGATTTTTGAAAGGAAGATCCATCAACTTTTGATCTAGTAAACAGGATAACTCATTTAATATTACTCTCGGTTTTTTTTACTTTGTCTAACTATTTAATAATTATCTTAAAAATTAGAAATCATCAATGTAATTAAAAGCATACTTTTATTTACAAGAAATTAAAGCCAAAATACTAAACATTAAAAATTATTTTATGTCATACCTATTAATAGATTCATTAATGATATGATTACTGATTTTTTTAAATCTGTATTTAAAACAAGTTCATATATCATTGATAAGATTACTATTGTAAAAGAACATCTATAATTACGAAATTGGTGATCACTATAAATGTCATGTAATGATTGTAAAATATTAACATAACTAAAAAATAAAACAAAAAAAATATATAAAGAAAATTAAAAACTATGTAATATTTAATACTTTTTTATTTCATAGGAAGATATTGGTGAAACTTTATCGTATTTTTTAAATATAAATAACTCTACTGCTTCAAAACATATATCATCAACAGTTGAATCAGGCATTTCAGATTCAAGTAAGGAAATAATATTATCTAAGTTTAACTTTGCGAAGATGCTTGATGTTTGATTCATTTTTTTATTAGTAAAATGTTCACAGTAGTTTTTTAAAGTGTAATAAGTCATTATGCATGCTTCCAATCTAGAAATAAACAAATCACTATCATTACATCACTAATAAACAGATCATTACATAATTATATGATAAAAATAACTTTTTTTTTTTACATCTATATAGTGTAATAAAAATGTAATTTGAAAAAAAATGTATTGTTTAAATTGAATATTTCTTTTATTAATAAAATAAAAAAAATTATTTTCAACTGCCATTCAAAGTTAAAAGATAATTAAACAATAAATGGATCAAAAGTTGTTACTTAGATCTATACAACTAAGTATATTAACTATGTATATATTTTTTTACAAGTAATACTTAGTGTTGACACTTAACAGTTTATTTGAATACTAACTAAAAAAATTAATTTATTTCTATATGAGTAGCATATTTTAATTTTGGAAGTCTCTAATATTTTTCAAATATTCATATCATTTTAAACAAATTTTTATTTCAAATTGTTCAATTCGGGATGTAATTAATATTAATGTGATCAATTTGTCTTGTAATCAATCTACAGCTCAGGCTTTTGGAAATTATGATATCTCAAAACAATTTTTTATTTTTAACACTATTCTTTTTTTATTGTGATACAACCTACTTAGTAAAGCTTTTCTAGGAGTTAATTATTAAAATACACACAAATAAATTGTATATTTTAAACATTTAACTTACTGTAATATTTTATTATCTATAATTTTTACTTTTACATATATTTTATTTATACATAAAAAAAAACAGTAAAATAGAAACCATTCATAGTAATTACTATTACTACCATAAAATGCTTATATAACAAAAATTGATAACTTTTGGCTAATATTGTTTAAAATTAAAACTATATTAAAATATAGTTAATTTAAAATACTAAATTCAAAAATCCACAAAAAATTCCTGAACACATGTTGTCAGTATATGTTTAGTGTTGATAATGATAAAATTGTTTCCGAAATGCGTATCCACAATTTTTTAGTAATATTTAGTGGTTTTTTGAGTTTTATATTTTTCAATTTTAAATTAATAAAATTTTTAATATAGTTTTAATTTTAAATAAAATGATTAATTGTGAATATATTAAAAGAAAATAGTTTTGTCATATTTTTAGAGAAAAATCTATTAATTACTATAGGCACTATTTTGAAAAAATATTGATAGAGTCAATAATTAATATTTTTCAATAATTTTACGTTTTGACTTTGATGGCTAATTACTTATAAAATATTGTTGGAACAAATCTTTAAATTAATCATTAAGTGCAAATAAAAATTTTTAAATTAAATTAGCTTTAAATAGCATGATTTTACTTGAACATTGTCGAAAATTGAAATGAAAAAAAAAATATATATATATTTTTATACTTCATGGTAATGTAAAATATTTTGTACTTCAATAGATATTGACAAGATTTTCAAAAAAAATATATCAAAAGAAAAATAAGTGTCTGTAATATTATCATTTTAAGTTTTGTACAAATCATTTTGTATAAATAAGTTCTATAATTTTTAATTTAGATATTTTACACCATTTAAAAATGAGAACATTTTTACATACACACACACAAACAAAAAAAGTAATGTTTCAAGCAAATTGGAGTTCTCTTGGTGTATATTTGAGCAATATTGGTTATGTTAGAAGTAGTCTGCATAAGTGATAAAAAAAACTATTTAAACTTTATATTGAAGCTAAGATAAGATGAAAAAAAATGAGCTATAATTACAATAGTATTTAAATAAATATAATCTTACTTATAATCTTTATTTAAGTCCACAATAAATTTGCAATCTTCCAGACTAAAATGATTTTCAATGCTAAAATTGATTAACTTTTGTAAAAATACTACTTTTTTACTTGAGGGAATCAAATGACAATAATTATGTAAGTTGTTTAGAAGAAGATTATAGTCTGCAACTTCTAAAAGCAACTTAATATTCTTCTTAAGAATTTTATTTTCACTTAATTTTGATAAAAATTTAATATATTCTATCAGGAATAGACTCTAAAAAATTATATACATAAATATTAAAAAAAAAAAATTGTCAAGATGTAAAAAATTCAACCTTTGATCTAATTAATATTTAATAATACACTTTTTTTTTTTTTAATAAATGTTAGAATTTTATTTTACAACTTTAACATTATAAATACTTTTTAAATTTATTAAAAAAAATAAAAACTTTCAAATTTACACAAATATTTAAAAAAAATTGGTATCAAAATCTCTTATTTTTTTATGTATATTTCAAAGCACCAGACAATAGTAATGTTACGAAAAAAAAAATATAAATATATGTAACTTTATCAAGTAAAACGTTAGCTGAAGTCTTAAATATTTTTGATTAAAATTATCATTATTTGAATAAGTCCTTATATATAAAGTGAAAAAAAAATTATGAAAAGTATGTTTTATAAAGCGTCAAATTAGCAATCTGGTGTATCTATATCTGCGAATATTAAAAAATTTTAATTTTTAAAAACTTTAAAATATTTAACAATTAAATTTTTTTACTTAAATTAAAAACATATTATTAATTACACTAAAATTGTTGACTAAGAGTCTAACGATTATTCAATTAACATAAAATATTCAGTAGATAATAATGCTAATATATGTTATATCTTTATAGCTCTTCTTATATATTAGTTTATTATACAAAGTGATTTTTTATCATAACCAACTCAATTACTTACAGAATAAATACAATATGTTTAAGTTTTTAATTAAATAGTAAATGGCATTTGAATTTTTAATATAACTTTATTCATTTAATAGATATAAATTTTAAAGTTTCAAATTTTTAAGTTAATATACATGTATAATACAAAGGGTATACAAATACAGGTAGCTAAGTGGTTTTTAATAATGTCACTGTCACATTCATAGAGTGTTTTTTGTCAATTATGACTATCAATAGATATACTTTCTGTATTATCAGTTAGTGCATTTATAAATTCACAACAATGTGCTTTACTACCAATGATTATAAATGCTGCGTAACTGCAAATATCTATGTCATAAAAACTAGTTATCTAACTGTATTTGTAATCTCTTGTGTGTTATATATTTATATTACTCAAAAATTTAAATAAATAAACTTTAAATGTTTATACCTAATATACGAATTAAGTTGTATATTAAAATTCAAATCCCATCTACTATTTAATTAAAAACTCAAACATATTAAATTCAAAATATGTGTTCCCATTTAAATAAATAAAGTTGACACCCTTACAAGCCATTAGGGATGAACTTAAAAAGTATTAAATAGTTAATAATTCAAGAATAATGTATAACTAAACATAACCAAAAAAAAATGTTTAAATGATATTTATTCTGTAAGTAATTGAGTGTCTTATGATAAAAAAATAACCCTGTATATAAAAGAATATTTCAACTTTTTAACTTAATTCAAATAGTTTAGAGAATTTTACTATTAAATATTTAATAGCTCTTACAAAAGCCTCTTTAATTGGTTGTACATCTTTTTCAGTTAAATTGTTTTCAAAAGTTTCAAACTTAGATTTAAATGATTCACATAAATACTGTTCTTTTGAAATATCTTGGATTGATTTATCTTCAATTTCTTTAACATAAACTAATTCTGAAAGTATCACACTTTTTAACCGTGATATTGTACAACTCAATTCCATGTAAACAATAAACGCTTTTTCGTTAAGCTGCAAATTTTTATTTTTTATAATAATAAATATTATTAAAACTTAAAAACCTAGCAATGCGAACACAATTTATTTGGGACAAGTGTAGATGATATCTAAAAGTCAATAAAATCACCATCATAAAAAATACTTCAATGTAAAACTGTAGAAAGTATTAAATTTTTTAGAAGATATTGTTGGATTTTTCCAAAAGCAACATCAACTTCTTTATCCTTAATTATATATTGTTTACTAGTTTTATGATATAGAAGTATAATAAATGAATAAATAATTTTTACAGAAGTTAATAGTATGCGTATAGTGCTGATGATGGTAACATTGTTCCCAAAATACATATACACGATTTTTTAGTAATTAGTATGTTAAATATTTTAGCTCCGATGCAAAACTGAGAAGGTATTGATTTTACAATGATGTGTCTATTTTTTTTTTGTGTCTGTTACCATTTTTTCTCAGCTCTCAACGAACGGATTTCTTTCAATGATATGTCAAAAGATCACAAATTGTATCTAGTCAAAGACATTACCCTCAAAAATTGAAAAAATTTCACTCGTTCCCCGTAAATGGGGAAACCTCCAAAAAAATTACAAATTTAAAAATCGCTAATTTTCGAAATTTTTTTTACTAAAAACTGCCATAACTTTTTCAAAAATGAACATATCAATATAATTTCTTTTTTTTATAGATGCTTGATGTCTTTACCTATCATTTCGTATATTTTTTTCATAAATTTAACCCTTTACCTGCCCACAGGGGGGATTTAAAATGACTTTGAAAGTGTTCCGGAAGGTCTGAAACTTTTATATATATCTTAAATTAAAGCTAATGTAATGTACTTTATTATGGAAAAAAAAATTTTGATCTCTGGACTTGTATTCGTGGTGAAAATGGCTACCAAATGCTATTTTCGTGTGAAAATTCTTGATTTTTTTTTTTTATTTTTAACTTTATAATGCTATAACTTATTGAAAAGTGTATGGATCAACACAATTTTTTTATGAGAAATAATATTTTTTAATAATCCCTTTTTCATTCAAAATATTAATAAGAAAATAGCAGATCATGTAGCTTTTGGAATAATTTATCAATTTTTTAAAATTAAACACTATTTAAAGATTTGCATCAAAGCGTTTTTTTTTAAAGTGATTTTAATCACTGTCAGATATCATTATACCTGATCCAACTATGCCACGTCACCACTGTGCCGCGACCCCCTTGTGCTGGTTTTTTATTTTTTTTTTTGTGTCTATTATCACTTTTACTCAGCTCATACCGAACCAATTGTTCAACGATACATCAAACGATCACAAATTGTATCTAGTCAAAGTCATTATTGTCAAAAATTGAAAAAATTTCCCACATTACCCGTAAATGGGGGAAATCTCCAAAAAAATTACAAATTTAAAAATCGTTAATTTTTGACATTTTTAAAAATTTTTTATTCTTAAAACTGCCATAACTTTTTGAAAAATGTATGGATTAATACAAATTTTTTTTATAGATACATGAGGTAATTACCTATCATATTGTATTATTTTTTTTATAAATCTGACCTTTACCTGCCCACAGGAGAGGATTCAAAATAACAACTTTTTCAATTTGACTTTTAAAGTATTTCAGAAATATTGACACTTATATATATTAATTAAAGCTTATGTAAAGTACTTTAATATTGAAAAAAAAAATGTCGAATTTTATTTTGTTTTTGAGGTGAAAATGGTTATCATATTCAAATATGATTTCTATTTAAGTGATCTATTACAATAAAAATGCAAAAAAAATATTGAGCTTTTCTAGTTAAAATTTCTATTAAATAGTAATTATACAATTTCTTGGTTGCATATTGTTAAGAGTAACAGAGTAATTAGTAGTTAAAATAACAAACACTTTAAATTTTTCTTCATTGTAATTTTGGTTTTTCCTTCATATAGCTGTATGCCAGAGGTGCAAGCATTACCCTTATCTTATTTAATTTGGATAGCGCCACATTGCGCACATTTGTTAATAGGTTGTTTATTGAATAAGGCACATGTTGTGTTTTTTTCTGTTATTATATATAATGTGATAATTCAACATCTAGTAAGTTCCTTGTAATAGTCATGCCCTTGTGGTGGGATCACTTAATGATATAGTTAAGTATATTGTTGTATAATGAAGGACACCAGAGGTGAGTGAAACTAGCTATCCAACAGGGCCTAGGTAATTTAGTATTTAAGCATTAGTAATAAGATTATTACAAATAGAAATTAAATTAAGCACAATTTCTCCTTTTATTATTGATAACAATTTTATCATTGTTTTATATGAGAAATATACTTGAGTTAAATTAAAATTTCTCATTATACAAAAAAATATTATTTTATTTTTATTTAATTATATTCCTTCCTCTTTAAAAAATTGCAGATTAAGCAATATGGTAATATTCTTTTATGTTATACAAAACAGGCCTATGCAGCAACAGTATTATTAAAAAAAAAAATAGGTCTAGTGAGAGCTAAGAAAAAGAGTCATCAACACAAAAAATAAACACATGGTAATACCTTCTCTGCCTTGTATCTAAGTTAGACATTTTTAAAATATATTTTTAAATTTAATATATTATTAGATATAATAAATAATTATAAAAACTAAGTTTACTAGAAGAAAAATAAAAATCTTAAATGAATAATCAAGTTAAATTATTTATAATACATAGTTAAGTATTCTTCATTTAACTAAATAATAATTAGAATGAACAAAAAGAAAATGAAGATTTGAAAGTAATATATTTTTTATATATAAATTATAAGAGAAAAATTTTACCGGTTGAAGTAAATCTGCTTTTTGTATGTATAACATAATACTTGAAGCACAATTTAAAATTGTAAAAATAGCCGAGTCAACTGATAAACGGGAATATGATAATTCAAAGCTTAATAAACCATAATTAATTAACTTCACCGCCTAAAATTCCAAAAATAAAAGGTAAATAAACAAATATATAGCTAAATTTATAAAATATAATATTTCTAATGTTAAAATTAAATAAAACTATTAAAAACTTTATTTAAAAATATTTATTTATTTAAATTTATAAAATTATATGATTTGTGAAGTAAATATATCTTTAATTTTATTATTAATAAGATGTTTATATTTAATATTCATTTTTAAATATAATGGCTTGATGACAAGAAAAATTACAAAAACATTCATATTTACACAAAAAGACGCAACATATTACCAATCAAGCAATTAAGCAAATGTTGACCGACAAAAAAAAATAACTTTCAAAAATTTATCATAATATTTTTTTCAAATATAAAGTTACTGAAACTGTAGTAACACATATTTTAGGTAGTGATTAGTTATAGATTTTATTAAAACACAAAAATTATTTCATAAAATACCAAATTTTAACTATTACTAAATATATCTTTAAATAAATTATACTTGAAATACACTTACATCCATAAAAAAATCATTGCATTGAACTGGTTCAGGATGTTTTTCTATGAAAGCTTCTAGTTCCTTTTTAAATTTTTCAATACGATTAGCCATAATTTAAAATTTAAAGACGAAAAAAGGTTTAAAAAAAAAAAAAAAAAGAATATTAGTAAAATATTTTTCAGTATAAAATTTTAAATCTAAAAAAAAATATTTAATCTTGAATTATTGAAAATTAGAATTAAATTTGCTAATTTTTCTAACGAGATTTCTTCATTTATTTTTACATAATATTGCTTTCCACAATCATTTAGCCCACATGGTAGGTATTAATCAAAATGATGCTCTTATCAGTTATCATTGTTATCATTAAGATTATTGATATCATGGTCGTGGTTATGTCTAAATATTTTGCATTAAACTATGGAATAATTGTTACCAATTATCAGTGTTTCTACTTTTGAAAGTAAAAATTACCTTCAATAATTTGGAAACTTGGTATTAGTATACTATGCTAGTTTTACTAAAACAGGATATACTAAATCACAGAATAAAGTATTTTCTATGGTACTGACACTGTATAAACTCAACGTCATTAATCATTACTAAAAATTGTTTTTATGTCGAAATAAGAGATTCAGTTCTAAGGTGAATGATATAGTTCATTAAAACGGTATTATTACGTTTTCTAGTTAATTTTTACGGGTATTAAAAATGTTGTTATTTTTTGCTAACGAATGTTATGTTAAACTTTATGTAATTTTAACCTTTTAGTGACGATTTTTTTTCATATTTTCTTTTATCAGTATTGCTAAATTATTATCTTTTAAATCTAATGTTTCATAGTTTTTTATAAGTAATTTTAAGAATTATTATTGTATTATTGTTAATTTTGTGCATTCAAGTGCTTAAATTTACTCATCGTTTGTCAATGCCAATTCTAATTATAAATTAATTCCTAATATCAAAATCATATGGTAAGTAAATTGATAGTTCATTAAAATAACTTAGTGTCATTACTTGACTAAGTGACCTATATTAAAATGAAAAGTAATTTTTCATATTGAAGGTCAGTGTTTCAATTTTAATAATATTAATTCTAAATAGATAAAAATATGAATTAATAATGGTTGTTTTTAATGATCGGGTAATAATTTAGGGTTTAAAATCAAAAGTGATTATTACAAAAAATTGTACCTAGGTCAAAAACTTTTGTCAAACTTGTTACACAAAAACAATGTTTAGTTTAGTTGTGAAGAAAGTCAGTACTAGGTTTTTGGTGTCCTAAATATATTTTAAGTTTACAAAATATTCAATTATTTTCTAAAAATTTTATACTAAAAACTTGACCTTAACTCGGAGATATAGGGTTTGAGGAATATACGACCTACTAATTGAACCCCTGAATTGTTTTTATTATTGTTGTATTAATGTAAGGAACACTGGTTAATTTACTTAAATTATTTTAGTCTATCTTTTTCATTTACCAATTATCCATCTATGGATTCATTATGTTAGTGTGAATAAATACACTTTTTTCAAATCAATCAAATGCTAATATAATAAAAAAAAAAAGTTAATTTGTTAATAATTATGGATACAGAACATTTTTGTAATAATGTAGATGATTGTCTTCATTTTAGTTATAAGTAAAATATCATTGGCCCAATGTGTTTTAGTACAACAGCACATTCTGTATAATTTTTCTCAGACTGAAATAGAATATCTAATATTTTTTATTTTTAATAATTTACTTTTATTTAGAGTTAATAAATGTTTATTGAAAGTTTTCTAAATATATTTCAAAAAGAATTGAACTGTTATATTATTATAGAATAGTTCTGCTTTAATCAAAATTATAGAATTATACTAAATGTTTTTTTCTTTATTAGAAAGTTTGTAAAATTATATTTCTAAAATAAAATAACTTTTACAATCCCAGAAACTATATTACGTTTTTTTTTTTTTAAATAATTTTTAAGTTTTATGAATGATAAAACTGTACAAATCAACTTAAAAAAAATACATATATATATATTTCAACCATTTAATGAAATACAAAATATGTGTTCTCATTTGAAATTTGATAGCTTTACTAGATATAAGGGATCAGCTTAAAAATATATTATAGCTAATAATTTGTGGATAGTATAACAACCAAAAAGATTAAAAATTTTTTTTTTCAAAATTGATTTACTTTGCTAGTAATTAAGTGGATTGTGATAAAAAAATTACTCTGTATAAAAAATGGTCGTCAATGTTTTAAGAAATCTCATTACTTTTTATCATATAAATATTTTGCATTACTTAAAAAAAATTAATTATGCATTTTTAAATTAACTTTTTAATAGATAAATAATTACTACAAGTTTTATGATTTATAAGTATAGCACATGAATAAACTTCTTCTAGATTTTTAAAATTGTTTATGCCTATCTTTCAGATCAAATAGTACAGTCACATAAGAGGAAGACAAAAACACCCTTTTTAAAATATAATAATAATTACAAATATTTAAGTGTTAGTTATAAATAATTTCAGAAGATTTTTTGCAGCTTTTTATGTCAATTCAATAAATATGTTTTAAAAGGTCAAAGGTTGCCAATTTCAATAAAAATGTTGTAACTACCAATAAATTATGATAAACTACAATTTTACTTTTATAACTGAAATAATAGTTAGCTAACAAAGGTCAGAATAATCAAATTAAGATTGTGATATATGTTGTTTGCTGTTGTTAGTAAAAGAAAATAGGGAGGAAATTAATCAAAAACAAGAGATGTGGAGATCAGATTTTGAAGGAAAGATATTAAGAATAAGTAGGAGTAAGACAAAGTATACAGAGTAAGAATTTGACAAAGGAGAACATGAAAGTATAATAATGTTAATAACTTCAGAAATACTGGTCTAATATTTTTAACTACCAGTCATTTGCGTAATTGAATTATTATTTTATAAGCTAGTTAAATATGTATGTTACCATTTAAAAAAATAATGTTAACACATTTATAGGGAATTAATGTAAACACTTTATCATTGAAAAATAGTTAACTCAAATCTTAGCGAAATCAATATCTTGCCAATTCCTTTAATTTTGGATGGTTAAATTTTAAATTCTGCTTGTAGAATTTTCAATTCAGCTTATTCCATAAATATATATAAATTGTCATTATCATTTTATGATAATTTATAATATGTTTGTTCTAAATTATTATGTAATCCATAAAATCCTTACAAATATATTCAAACTTAACATTTATTTTATAAAAAAAAAATCATTAACATGTTTCATACTATTAATATTTTAGAGATGGCTGATCCAGATCAAAGTCAAACCAATTTAGGAACTACAACCACTTATCAGAATTGGCAACATATTAATTGGAATTATGCCAGGTAAACATTCTAATGAAATTGAGTAATACATTTTTTCTCAAGGATTATTCTTATATTATTTAATATTATATTATTCAATAAAACTTTAGTTAGTTTAGTATCTTGGGAAAAACAGGGTATTTAAAAAATTTAAACTTACTATATCTGATAATTCTAAAATAATTTAATTTAAAAATTAAAATTTATCTATAAGAAATTGTACTTAACAAACATTTTTATTTAGTTTTGTCAAAATATCAATTGAAAAAAAATTAGATATATGATGTTGAAGTATAAAGTTATTTGTTTAACCTAGTATTTTTTTTTACAGCTATAACACTGCACAACCTATGTATAATATGAATAATTATTATCCTCAATGTTTTAATCAGGTAATATATATAGAGATTGTCCTATCAGGTATAGACATCTTTAATAACTTTTGATCTAATAAATATTCAAACAATTTTTTTAAAAATTTCAAAATAGCCCTTTATGGCCCTTATCTTATAAAAAATTTTGATGGGTTAATAACAATTTTAATACAAGTTCTTATGGAGTTACAATCATTTTAATATGTATATAGGGTATAAGTTCAGCTCGTACTGGTGATGCATTCTCCATCCATGTCACATACCTATTATATATAATTCAGTTAATTTTGCCAAAAATGATATGATTTTTGACTTTAATATCACTAACTTCTAGAAATTAAGATTTTAGAATAGTTTTTCTATTTTTATCTTTAATTACTTAATTTTGTGACTTCTTTACATATCTCTGAACAAAATTGGTCTAGTAGGAGCATGAGATTGGTTTTCTAAAAATAAAACAAATAGCGTCTTAGTTTTGAGCTAAAATAGCTATTTTGACATTTTAATATAAATTATTGATAAATAATAAAAAAAATATATGCCTTGATAGTAGTTTAAGAAGGCAATAATTATTAAAAAAAAGCAAAATAATTATATTTATATTAAAAGTTATTAGTGTTGTTCAATTAGTTCTAATACACTTGTACATTAATAGTCTAAATATTTATTTTGATTATTATTTAGCCACAATACCAAAGCTTTCCGAGTCAATCATTGAGTTATAACTTTAAACCATTTATAAATGGAGGTATGAAAAAAGGTTTTATTCGTTTTTACTGTTCATTAATCATAGTAAAATATTGTCTTTAAGGAGCATTAGAAACTTCAAATTTTGCCCAAAAGATAAATATAACAGAAAATCCACCACCTTTACCAAGTGAACCAGCTCCAACTAAACCATCTGCACCTCAGTTTAGTGTTGATGATATTGATAAACTACCACCATTACCACCTGGATCACCTCCTCCAATTTCTAAAATTTGTGATGTACCACTTCGTAAGTTAAAAATTTTACTTATACATTTATTCATCTTGTTATGAATGTTATAGTTACCTTAGGGTGATGTAAAATAATTGTAAATGCTTTCTTTAGATGAATGCATAAGTTTTTATTTCAAACTTATATTTAATATAATAAAAACATATAATGACTAAAATTTGCTAAATATTTGAAGAGAAAAAATTGCAATTACTCCATTTATTTCCATTTACCTCATTTCACCCTATATTATTAGATGAGTAAAGATTTAATTCTGAACATTATAAGGGCTAATAGAAAAATCTACTTAACAGTTGAACATTTTTCAAAATAATTTAAAAGCATTAATTAATGATTTTTTTTGTAATATCTGGTATTTTATAGCATCTGCATCAAGTATTCCAGTATCCAATTTCAATTTACCTCAGATGCCTCAATCTAAAAGTGGCCGTAAAAAATGGAGGAAAAAACAGCGAAACTTAATGGAAGCCATAGCAGCTAATAATCAACCAAATATTAATAATATAAATACTCATAATTTTTTACCAATAAATTTTATCCCTTCTCTACAAACCAATCCTCCCAGCTCAAAATCATTAAATAATAGTATTACTTATCCATTTACTCCTATTGTACCTGTCAAGCCACCAATACCATCTCTACCTGCACCTGTGGTATCACCAGTAATAAAAAAACCTAATGGTTTTGATTTGCCTGAAAATTGTCCTAACAGCTTAAGGTAATTTTTTAAATAAAATTCTATATGCATTTATAAAATAGTAAATACAATAAACTCAATGATTTTAAAAGCAACACAAATTATATGAAGTTTTGAGTAATTGATAAAAAATAAATAGCATGTACAGTATTGAAATAAAATGTATTTAAAGAGTAATCTATTATTGAGTATTAGAATCAATGACTTATGTATTAAAAAGATTATAAATATAGGTAGTTTACATTCTGAAAAAAAAAGATACTAATAATTAAACATCGTTTAAATAAAAGTTACTTAGTATGTTTTTATAATTGTTGATTCAAATATACTATAGCACAATATTACAAGGTATTTCATTTTTTAATTACTAAACGAAATCTCATTTTATATATAGAGAGTACATCACAAAATGTCAAGAAAAATGTGTTAATAAATTGGACCGAGATAGAATGGATATCATTTTAAAAGGAAAAATAACCAATGCCAATCATGATGGATCATTATGGATCAAAGATTGGTCAAAAGAACCAATGCCTATGTATGTGTTAAAAATATTTATACTTGTCAAATAAATAATGAAGTAAAGTTACTTCAAACCCAACCCTTATATAATAGGTCATTAAATAGTCAATTGAAGATATGGTGTTAAACTTTTGTTATTAGTAGCGATGTTTCAGGTAATAAATCTATGTACAAGCTGAGTACTTAGTAAAGGTTGGATAAAAAATTCTTACTGAGTACTGGGTAATGCTTGAGTCCTAAAAAGGTCAGGTATCTAAAACATCTCTATTAGTTAGTAGCAGAGTCAATTTTTTAAAAGACCTTTAGCAATTACTTGTTTTATTTTTTTAATTAAACATTTTATTAACTCTCAATGGGTACTTTGACAATCTACTCAGCTCAATTGGTATATCAGTATTGGGGTTCAATTCCATTGCTATAGGCTATGTAGGTTTTCTCATTCTCTCTAACACAAGCATAGCTTTTCAGAGAGGACATTGTTAAACATAAAAGGAGTAATAATAAAATAAATGAAATTAAAAACATTTTTTATAATTTACTTTATTATTGCCCCATCCTATTAATATTTTTTATATGGGTCAGAGGTTCCTTTTATATCTATACTTACTTTAAATATATCTTGAAATGTTTATATACTATTTTATTGTATAATTCAGGTTATTAAGTGAAAATATTTCAGTAAGTCCAAATCAAGAAAACAACAAGAATAAAAATTCAATTATTAAAATGCAATTTAAAAAGTCAACAAACAATTTTGTCAATTGTTACTTTACTTCTAAATTTAAATCAAATTTGTCTCAGTCTTCAAATAATGTTGAGTAAGTTTAATTCAAGTTATTAAAAAATAAGATTGGTATGGTATTGTGTTTCCTTACACATCATATTATCAACCTATATAGTAGTATATTGGGATCTGAATTATAATTTTCGTTTTAAATTAAATTAAATTTTTTTTTTTTTTTAATAATTATCACCCATTTTTTTTAGATCTAATATCGATTCTAGTAAAAAAAGTAGTCCTTTACAAGAGAATAAGAGGCAAAACAGTGATGATTTTATACCATTAGTTCTTGAAAATGATGATAATAATAAGAAAACTAAATATAATAATAAAAAAAAAAAGTAATTAGGAAGCAAATTAATGTTATTATTTGATTAAATACTTGCAATTTTTATTACTAAAATAATTAATAACTTGTGTAAATTTTTTAGATTATACAATGAAGATGCTCATATGTATCAACAATATGGATCTATAGATAATAAAATTAGTTGTGATAAAAATTTACTTAATAAGCGAGCAGCACGATTTTCATCACAAAGCAGTCCAAAAAAAAAACCTCGTCAATTATCTAAAAGTGATTTTAATACACAAAAAATGTTTTCATTGGATGATGATGAATTTAGTATTGACTCATGCCATATTGTTGGTACTTGCACAGATCTAGAAAAAAGATACTTGAGATTAACTGCGGTTAGTTAAAATATAATTTGTATAGTATATTTGAAGCTCGCATAGATTGCTGTATATTTAAAATATTTTCAGACGTATCTAAGTGTTGAGTTGAGTGCTGACATTTCTTTGCAGCAATAGTTACAAATTCGAAGTTGTAAAAACATATAACCTTGTACATCCAACAACTAAGGACAACTATTGCTATGATGATAAACTCTGAAATGAGTTCAAAATAAAAGTACTCAACTGAACACATGGATACATCTAAAAATATTTTTAGTAAATAAAAAAAAATTTTCAAATTAAGTCTCGTTATTAAGGGTTTTTGATCAATACATTTAGATTAAATTGTTATATTTTTCACAACATAGTTATTTTAGTAAATTATCAGTGAAACAAATAAAGGTAATTTTTTACAATTTATCAATTACATTTTATAAAATTATTTTTTACAAGGTGATTGTTATAATGTTAGCCACTCGATTTTACTTAAAATAATAGCTTTTATAGGTTTTTGTTAGTTACTTAATTATCTCCATTTATCTGTTATAAAATATTTTTTATGTCCATCCCTTATATTATATAAAGGTGTCGACTTAATTTTTTTAATTGGCACATATTTAATTAACTTATAAAATAGAAAATGATGTAATTAAGAAAATTACAGGTCAAACAATTTTTTGACTAGTATTTTAGAAAATATTAACAATTTAAAATAATGACTGAAATTGAGGAGTATTTGCTGTTATTTTAAAAAATTTATAATAACACTTAAATTAAAATACATATGTAACTAAAAAAGCCAAAAAATTAATTTATAAAAAAAGTTATTATTTTAAGATAAATTGAATGACTTGCATTATAAGAATCACTCTGTATATTAATAATTTGTATGAGAGTTTTGATGTTTAGTTAAAATTAATCAATATCATTACTGAAAAAATATTTTTGTGTTTAATCTATTTTTCGATAAGATGTAATTTTAAAGTTATAATTATACAGTGTAATTTTTAATAGTAAAAAAAAAATTATTTTTTTAAATGTAGACCAAAAAAATAATTCTTACAAAGAAAAATGTTTTAATTTTGTAATTATCTTATGACTTATTACTCATTTATTAATTGTCATTAGGCACCAGATTCTGATGCTGTTAGACCTTTACATATTTTAAAAAAATCTTTACAAAATGTCAAATCTAAATGGATGATTAATGCAGATTATCATTATACTTGTGATCAGTTAAAATCTATTAGACAAGATTTAACAGTAAGAATGATCTTCTTTTATTTATTAATTTTTCACTAATTTAATGTGTTGTCTTTTTAGGTTCAAGGAATAAGAGATCCTTTTACAGTTGAAGTATATGAGACTCATGCTAGAATAGCTTTAGAAAAAAGTGATATGGGCGAATTCAATCAGTGTCAAACACAGTTATGTGATTTATATAAAGAACTAAAAGAAAGTAGTACAGCTCAGAAGAATCGTAATGAATTCCTTTGTTACAGCATACTATATTGTATTTATACACGAGCATTAAGTGGTAAATTTGTAATAACTAATGTAATTGATTGGTACTCTAGTGAATTAAAAAAATCCTAATTTGTTTATTAATCTTGTATTGAATATATTTAAAAATTTTTTTATTAATTTTTACTTATAGAATTGAATGAAATACTTCTGACTATAAAAGAATCAAATATTAAAGATGAATGTATTGAATTTGCATTAAAAACTAAAAATGCTTGGTGGTTAAGTAATCATATTCAGTTGTTTTCTTTATATAAAGTTGCACCAAAAATGGCTTCTTATTTGATGGACATGTTTTTAGCGAGAGAGCGAAAAAACTTCTATTTGGCTATTGCCAAATCGTATGTATACAATTCATTTATAATTGCTATAAATAACTATTTTTCAGGACATAACATTATTAAAGTTTTTACAGGTATTTAATTTTGATATTACTTTAAACCACTACCAGTTCATTTTAATATAATTTTTAAAAATATCTTTATTCACTATGCTCTATTAAATTTAAGAGTATATTAGTTTAAGAGTAGATACACCTAAACCCATTTTTAAGGCGAGAAGATTTCAAAAATTTTAGTAGCATAAAATAATCTGAGCATAAAATTTTAAAATGTTAAGCTATTTTTTTTTAATACTTACATATAAAATAATATAAATATAATTTATTATGATACAAATTTAGTACAAAATGTATTAACTGTGAACCAATGGCCTGTGATGCTACGGTTTTTATTATATATATATATAAAAAAAAAAATTTGGAAAAAAAGTAAGCCGTTAATATGTGTTAAATTAATAATTAAAATTTGATTGCATCCTGCAAAATATTTTTATTTATCAAATTTCAGATTTGCCTAGGATATTATAATGTTTAATTATCTCCTTAGTTTTCTATGTATGAAAATTAAAGATATGTTTCATGAAATGCTATATTAGTTTTATAAACATAATTTTATTATGATAAACAGTTACCGTCCAACTATACCAATATCGACTATTCAAGATCAAATGGCTTTCAATAAGCGAGAGGATTGCCTAGCTTTTCTTAAAGATACTGGTGCTGTAATTTCTACTGATAACGAGAACATCGACTGCAAAGCAAGCTGCGGTACAACCGAAGCTTGACTTTCAGAATGGTTTCGTTCATAAACCTTCATAATTATATTAAATGTAAATAACAAGTCTTCGATGATTTGTCATCATAGAAAATTACCACAGTGAACCAAAACTTTGAATTCTACTTCTATGCTATTTCTGGCTACATCACTACACTTAATCTGAGGGCTAAAAAATTATTTTAACATGCTAATTACAAACATATAGGTATTATGTATTTTGGAAAATCTTCACATTAAGGAATAAATTATTTGATGAGGTTTTCCTTTTGTTAAGTCAATGATGTAACATCCCCCATCATTATTTTACTGATCATAAACAGTTACTGATTAAGAATCTAGTTGTTTTAAATATTGTCAAAATGTATCAAAGAAAATAACAATTTGACTTATTTTATCTACTATCGGAAAATTTTATTTAACTACAACTCACCACACTAGCTGTAAATGGACTTAATTGTCAAAGAAAATTTAATCAATCAAGATCAACTGTTAAGACCTAAAGTTATTTCGTTTTTATTTCGAAAATTTAATTAGGTAAGTAAAGGTTAACTGGTTATTCAGTCAAGATTCTTCAAAAATATCCTTGAAAATTGGAAGAAAAGTGTAGTCAGTTATGCAATATTATTGACTGTTGATTCATATTGCTTTTTTCTGTGTATAATGTGTACACAGGAATAACAACAACTTATCTGTTTTTTTCCTACATCCAGTAACTCAATAATAATCATTCTAACATGTTAAAATCTTTATTATTGGAATTTAAATCAAGGTCTTTAAAAACAATTCGACAATGGATAATATTGAAATTTAAGTGAGTTTACTAGTTCAAAATTTATGTGTTTAATAACTCATGTGTTTAATAACCCATTGATGTTTTAGGATTATTAAATTTGACTATATTTCAGTGTTCCCCTTCATATGACCTCCAAAAAGTAATGTAATGTAATCAGTGGTACAATATATCTGTATAATTTAGTCAATATGATTATCTGTATGATTTTTATTTAATTACAGGTAAGAATAATTGTTCTTTAATTGATGTAAATATATTAAATCTTTAGCTGTATGACTAAGACTCACAAAAAATTTTAATGCAAAAAATTTTTTATTTAATTTTAATGTAAGAATAACATTTTTTGAGAAAAATGGAAAAATAACTCCTTGAATCAATTTTTAATCATCATATATCATGTGTTAGAGTTAATAAATCTTGATTAAAGTTTGTAAGACTTTCTTTTTCATATTTGAACAATATGAGAGATTATTATCTACAACTTTTTGAAAATCATACAGGGGAGAATAACTTAATTTCATGAAATTTTTTTTTTTTAAATAGAGCCACCTTAATATGAAATATAATTTTTATTCTAGGAGTATATTATTGCCCTAGTTCAGAACTACAAAAATTAAAAAACTAAAAATTTTATTATAATCATTTAAAATTAAATTTTTTAATACCGTTCGTGTAAAAGTTAAAAACCCCCTCTTTTGAAAAATAATCAAGTTATATTAAATTAGGTTAATGAGCTCTTAATGTTGAATAAATAACAACTTTAAGTTCAAAACTCAAAAAAAATTTTTAAGTTTTGCAATTCTGAACTGGAAATCAAAATTATCTTTCTTAAAAAAAAAAAAAAAAAGTATAGAATTTAAATTATTAATGATAATATTTTTATCTGTTTACAGGAACATTAAAGAGGTAATTGTGTGACAAAAATATTTTTATAACAATATTTAAATGATCGTACTGAATAGTTTTTAATTTAGTCTTTTAAAGTAGGATAAATATTCAGATTATTTAGTTTGTGGTTCTTTTACATGTAATTTTCGAAGACTTTTTCAATTAATATTTATTAAAATTTTAATATAAATAAGTAGTATATTAATTTTAGTATTGTTTTGTAAATATTATTGAAATAAATGTTTACAAAAATTTATTCTTATTTATAAACATTTTTAAATGTGTGGTTTTATTCTAGAGTACTTCTAGTGTTATAATTCTATCAATTATTCTCTAAAATGATTTTTATTATAAAATAATATTTTTTTCTGAAAATTCTCATTAAAATGAAAAAAGAGATTATACTATACTATTAAAAAAAATCTTATCTTAATACCTTCCTGTTAAAAAAATAATAATTTTTAACGGATGACAAAATTTTAGTTGTATCTAAGTAACAAATCGATTCCAAAATATAAAATCTTATAATATAAAATTTAAAATATAAAAACATTTTTCTGTATATTGTTTACTGCGAATAGTTGAAACCACTTATTACTAAATACATTCGAAAAATCAACTCTTCTATTAAGTTCTGTTTAAAATATCGACTTATGAAGTAAATTTTTTTTAGTATTTTAATAAATTGATAAGTGAATAGTTGTTTATGACTCGATGAGGAAACTCGTTTACTGATGTGCGTTAAATAGATAATTAGATTCATTAATATGGATTAATAACCCCACTCCTTTTTATATTAACACATTTTAATTTTAGCTGGGAAGTACTAAAACCTCAAAAGACTAAACGAAAAAGTTTTAGAAGGCCCATTTATTAATTTAAGTCTTTTTTTTAGTTATTAGTTCAACAAAAACAAACAAATAAATGTATCATTAAAATTTTCGTTAATTAAAAATAAAACCAAACCATAATAACCAACAGTGACATATACAAGGAAAGGCTAAAGGGACTCTGTTCCCCTCATTAGCCAGTTATAACTACAGTATATGACTAGCACTAATAAGAGAATGTGATAAACAAAAGAAATATTGCATACGCCAAAATAAAAATCCACAATGGATTTATATTTAACATTAGAAAAATTGTTCTTTCTAATAAAATCTAAATAAATGCAAATATTTTAGTATTAAAGGAACTTAATCCAAAACTAAAACAAATAAGTGATTATAAAAAAATACTTTTAAAAAGAATTTGGGCGTTCATCGTTTCCGGCATACCAATAGTTTATGCCTGGCTATAAATAGAAGCTGAGAATCACTAGTTAAAATATTTGCCAAATTTACCCGATAATGATTATTCACTTTTTATTTTAATCGAACTTTTCCTATTCTATTATTGTCCGTTTTATAGCAATTGATAATCAGTAATATAAGAATAAATATTTTGTCATGCGTTCTTTTATTTTACTTTTTTATTCATGTTATATGCGAACAACATGCATCACGGTACCTCTCCTTGTATTTCTCTAGTGATTTCATCCATCAATATAGAAAATAAGTAAGGGCTTGAAACAGAACCTTTGTGCATTCCTACTTTCACCCTAAAACTTTCTGTTACTCCTACGTTTTTTACCCTGGTATAAGATGTGTATGAATATTCTATTATATTAAAGTACCTTTTCTCATTAATGCGCACGTTAAAACCTCTCGGTACTTTATCATACACTTTCTCTAAATTTATAAATACCCTACACAACTTTTTCTTCTTTTCCCTAAACTTTTCTATTAGTTGCCTCGCACAAATTAATGGCCCGTCGTTGACGTACTAGGCATAAATTCAAACTGGTTTTTAGATACCGATGTCTCATTTCTTATTCTCTTATTTATTATCTTTTATCAAATGTTCATAATATGACTCATAAGAGCTTTATGCTATAATATCTACACTCCTGTATGTCACCTTTACCTTTTAATATCGGCACCACAATACTAATCCTCCATTTAGAATTTTCTCTTCTAATAAAATTTTATTTAATAGATCCTTTGACCACCGCCTAATAGTTTTCATACTTCTACGGGCACTTCATCTAGTCCTACTGCTTTTTTTTTTTTATTAATGCCACAGCCTCCCATACCTCTTTCTCATTAAAAAAAATGAGTATCTACGTATAAAAAAAAATCCAGCACAGAGGATCGCGGCACAGTGGTGACGTGCATAGTTAGGTCGAGTATAATGATATCTGACAGTGATTAATATCACTATTTGTAGATAGTGTTTAATTTTAAAAAAATGGTGGATTATTCCAAAAGCTACATGATCTCCTATTTGCTTATTTATATCTTGATTACAAATTTTATGATGTATAACTATTATGTATGAATATATATATATATATATATATAAAAGGAATGGTATTATTTAAAAAAAAAAGTATGTTGAATTAAAAATGTATATAAATACTACTTCTCATAAAAAAATTGTATTGATCCATACAATTTTCAAAAAGTTATAGCATGATTAATTTCAAAATGTAAAATATAAAATGGAGAATTTTCACACAAAAATAGCATTCGGTAGCCATTTTCACCGAGAAGACAAAATATAGTCCCAAGTTTTTTTTCTATAATAAAGTATATTACATTAGCTTTAATTTAATATATATATAAAAGTGTCAGACTTTCCGGAACACTTTCAAAAGTTAATTTTTTCCAACCCGTCCAAATGATAGGTAAAGACATCATGCATCTATAAAAAAATTATATTGATTTGGTCATTTTTTAAAAATTTATGAAGATTTAAAGTAAAAAAAAATTAATGAATTTAAAAAATTTTTTGGGAATTTATGGGAAACGAAGGTAATTCATTCAATTTTAGAGGGAATGTCTTCAACTTTATATAACTTCGGATATTTTGTTGTATCGTTGAAATAAAATGGTCCAGTGAGAGTTCGGAAAAAGTGATGATAGACACAAAAATTCACATAATAGTAAAATTATTAATTTCATATTTTCGCATTGAAGCTAAAATTTTACTATTTATAACAATTGTTAAAAACTAATTAATTAGTTAATAAAAAACATGAAAAATGTTTGTGCATTAACCCTTAGCCTCAAAAAGTAAAAAAAGTTGTTAAGAGTTACATAAATTTTCTTTCCATTTCAAAGAATTTTTTATTAAAGTAGTATAATTTTGTACTAGCGGTATATTGAGGATTTTTTACCGTGTGATGGCTAATAACAGTATAGTGACTATTTTTTTAAATGTTGGTTTAGTTTGGATAATGAGGGTTTAGCCCTTTTAATGCTTTTCTAAATAAGCCATTAGTTTTATTAAAAATTATAAGGATGCCAAGCAAACCCTTATTTGCGCCTAAATTGGTAAACGTTCATTTTTTCTTATGGTGATATAAGAAAAAATGAAATTCACTCATTAAAAAATAAATGCTTTTAAAAAAAAATCTGTGTAGTAAGCCATTAAATATGTTTGAAACTGTTAGTCGACTCTACTCTAAAAAAAAAAAAGAGTTTAATCAAACAACGTCAACATTTATGTTACAATATTTTTGAATGTAAAAGAAATCAAACAATCTTAGAGGACATATGTGCACATTAAATAATGATATTACGTCAAAGAACAGCTGATCAAGGAAATCCCTTCCCACTTCATCGTAATATTTTGATTTTTTGTACTAGTTGACCATGTTATCATTATTATCAGAACCATTTATTAACAATTTGTAACTGCGACAAAACTAAAAAGCAAGAATAAAAATTTAGTGGATGCACTTCGACGCCTATTATTAATTAGTTATTGTTTTCAAAAGATTTGCAATATAAAATATTTCGTGAGTGTAATTTAAACGAATCTTAATAATAAGCGCTAACTCTTCATCAAGTTTTATTTCTGATTAATTAGTATTCAATGTCAAGTCTGATAGATGTTTGTGCTGATCATTTTAATCTATTATAGTATATAAAGTAATCAATTTATTACTACCAAAACTGTGTTAGTTGGAATTTTTTATTGCATGCAAAATGGGAGCAAAGGCCAGTACGGCCAATGGTGATGAAAGTGGTGGAAGTCATGCTGATAGGTCATTCACAACAGGCAGTGGCCCAAATACTATGCATACTGCTGGAAATCCTGGATTTAGTATATTACGTTCCTTACCTAGTGCTGTTGCAAATGATAGACAACGTGCCAGATCATTATCAAGTGTGCCAGATGGTCACGATACTAATAGCAATTCAACGAGTTCTCGGTTTGAAATTAGTGATGTTTTAGAAGCAGATAGTAGCTCAAATGATGATCAAAATATGGATAGTCCTACTGTTACTGCTAATATAAGTCTAGGACGTGTATACTCAGCACATTCATTGCCAGGCCACATATGGTCTTTTAATGGTAAATATATAATAAATAATTCTATGTATATTATAGAGTAATTGTTTTATCTTAAACCACTTGATTACTTGCAAAATAAATACAACAATAGGGAAAACAATTTTGTTTATTTATTTACATATACTTTTTAATTTATCAGCTCTAAGTTACTTTTTAGAATCTTGTAGGTTATTTTATAGGTCTTTATAACTTATAGTTGTATCAGCTTTATTCTATAAAATGACAATGTACATAATTTATTAGCTTATTTAATAGATAATGAAGTAATTAAGAAAATGACTGGTCGATAACAACTTTGTTAGAAGTTAGTATTTCAGAAGTTATTAACAATTTAAAGTTAGATTGAAGATGAGGAGTGGGTGCAGCTATATTTATCACCAGTCATACTCTTCTAGTCGTTTTGGTAAAAATATGAGAATAACTTCCAAAGTACTAAAAGTTGTTATGCAAATTTTATATTATATATTTTAAAACTAAAAAATAGTTAATCAATATATTTTTAAGTGAAAAAAATGTACAATATAATGAAAACACAAATTGTCACATTGAAGAGTAGGCATATAATACAAATTTATAAATTTACAAAAATGTCATGTCTGGATATACAGGGTAATTGGCTAACTATGCCTCACATAATATCTTTAAAGATACAAGTGTTATAAACAATGTTTTTTTTAAATCATTATGGATCTTTGATGAGATGTTTCACAAAAAAATTTTAATTTCCATCATCATTCCTTATGCTTATAACTTGTATCAGCTTCAGATTTTAAATGGCAACCCTATTTTTTTTTGCACCATTAGATTTAATGTAATAAAAAAAAAATATTTTATTTTATTTAATATTAAGCACTCCATGGCTTTCCAAAGTTTGGAGTTTATTAAGTAAAAATCATAACAAACTCTAATCGTATAAGCACTGCTACCAGTTTTAAGTAATAGACTACCTGCGTTGTTGAAGTAAATCGGTAACTCTTATCACTACATAAAATAATAATGTACCGTCGTGTTGGAAAAACTACTGAATTTTTTCTTCAAATATTGTATATTTTGAAGTAGCCTATCTTGTTTAAAATTCATAATTTTTAATTTTTTTTTTTTTGCTAAACACTTTTTTTATTATAACGAACAAAAATATATAAAAATAATATGGGGTTGTCATTTAAAAATCTGAAGTTAATACAAGTTCTAAGTATAAGGGATGGTGATAGAAATTTAATTTTTGTTGTGAAACGGCTCATCAAAGATCCATAATGATTAAAAAAAATTGTTTATAACACTTGTATCTTTAAAGATATTACGTGAGGCATAGTTAGCCAATCACTCTGTACTATAATTTGTTATTTTTTTAGCTTCTGTATGAATTTGAACTTGTTTATTTATTTTTTTTCCTTAGAGTTAGTAAATGTCTTTTTTGTAGAATTATAAATAAGCTAACTTAATTATTACCAAATTTTGGGTTATGCAGTTATTAGACATATTATAGTTTTGGCTAATCTATATTTATTAAACAGTTGATTCTTTTAATTATTTATACTATTCAAATATAAGCAGAACATTAACATTAGTAATTTTTGTTGAATATTAGGTTTAAAAAAATGATGAAAAATAGTAATTATTTATATTTGATATTCTTTATAATGATTCTTAGAGGAATCTGTTTTTTAATTTTAAAACTTTTGTAAAATTTTAACATTTAAACTTTTTCATTTAGTATCTTTTGGTGTTGGAGTATTGCTTTAAAATATGCTTAAAACTAGGGTTGCAAATTAAAAAATTATAATAATAATGAGTTTAAAATAGTGTATTGAGACCCTGTAAACGTTAAAATTACAATTTTCATTTGATAACTCTTTTATCAATGTATAATATATTTATATTTATAATTAAAAAAAAGATTTATACACTTTGTTAAAGCCATTTTAAAAGCAATTTTGTACAAATTTGTTGTTGGAATATACAGTATTGTAGAAATATTCTTTGATTTAGAGTGAATAAATCCAATGGTTTATCCTTTAGCCAACCCCAAGTAGTTGGGATAAAACCCACATTATGCCCCAAACACTACTACATGTGGTAGAACATTACTTAGGTTTTAGAAGTTTTCAAGCATATTAATACAAATTTGTTCTGGGTAATAATGTTTTTGGAATAATTTAATATAATTTATAAATGCATATAAATCTGGACTCTAATTGTAATTATTAATTAAATCAACTGAATTAAATAAAAAAACCCAGCACAGTGGCATAGTTGGGTCACGTATAATGATATCTGACAGTGATTAAAATCACTATCTGTAGATAGCGATTTTTAAATTTGTAATTTTTTTGGAGATTTTACCCATTTACGGAAAATGAGGGAAATTTGTTCAAGTTTTGAGGGTAATGTCTTCTACTAGATACAATTTGTAACCTATTGACATATCGTTGAAAGAAATCGGTTTGATGAGAGACGAGAAAAAGTCGTAACAGATACAAAAAACACATCATAGTAAAACTAATATCTTCTCAGCTTTGCATCAAAGCTAATATAAATTTATATTTTTCTGAAATTATTATAAAAACTGTTTTACTATTTAATAAAATATTTCTGTTTATATTATTTTCATTTATCATCTCAATTTGCCTTTGCTTAAAATAATTTATTGTTTTAAACATAAAGCATTTCTTTAGAAATTAGATTATTTAATACTATTTATAACCTCTAAATTATGTTTAACTTAATATTTTTAAGTTTCTGTAATATTCAATATTAAAGAATATTAGTTTTGGTTAATTTTATACTTGGAGAATTTTTTATTAATTTCAATATTAGTTGTTATTGATTGAACGTACAATAATAATATACTACAAAATTAGTTATCAACCAGTCAAAATTTTATTTGAACTATTATTCATTTAATAGTATTACATACTTATAATTTTTTCATACAATAAAATTTATATTTACTTTGGTTTATAAAATATATCAAATTTTAATTTGTACACTTTTATAAAAAAACATTATTTAATGAAAACTGAAGGGNTTTATAAAATATATCAAATTTTAATTTGTACACTTTTATAAAAAAACATTATTTAATGAAAACTGAAGGGTATCATTCTTAATAAAACACTATATACAGGGTGGTTCATTAAAGATACGACACTCTATATATATATAAGATGATTAGTTTATCATAAACCATTTTATCACTCAAAATAAATTACAATGTTAAAAAAAGAAATTTTTAGTTATTGTATTACTTAATTTATCAGTTAAAATATACTTTTTAAAATCATCCTTTATTATTTAAAGAGGTATCAACTTTACTTTTTTAATGAAAATATATATTCTTAACTAGATTATAAAATAGAAAATAATCTAATTAAGAAAATGACTGGTCGATAACAACTTTTGGCCCTGTACTTTGAAAGTTTTTTTTCATTTTTATATTTAGACGGGATAAAAAGAAATGAAGTGAAAAAAAAAGAAAGTGGAATTCTGAAGAAAAATATACTTAAAACTCAAAATTTTGAAAAATCGAAAATTCTTTTTTATGTTTTTTTTTAGTACAGTTTTTTTGAGGTTTAAAAAAATAAAGTTAACAGCTTTATGTATGTTTTGGTACTTTAAACAATGGCGTAATTAGATTTGGTGTTTGGCACTTGGTTACTCAACTAATTGTTAAGAAAAATTTACATATATTTGCAAGTTTATTCAGTTAAGAATAAAAAAAAAATTAAATAATGAAATAATGGTCATACACCATAATCTGAACTTCAATATTGTAGTTAAGAGAATATCTTTAGATTACTTGTTCTCTTGTGTTACAGTAACACAAAAAGTAATATTTAAAGCAGTTATTGAACAGTTAATATTTTATTTATTTCATTTTCATATAATTGTTAAAAATAATTTTACAAGTTGTCCTTAAAATTTCTTTTAAGAATAATTTTTTTAAAATTAATTTGAAATTGATCATACTTAAATTAAATAAATCATTCAAGGGACTCTTCACAAAATCAGTATTCAACAAAAAATTGAAGGTAGTATTCTTTAATACATATAAAAGTGTAATTTATATTAACTACTTAATTGGAAAATATAAATAAGATTGAGAATATTTTTTTTAGAGTAATTTAGAATATAATTTTATATTAGTTCCCCCAAAGTCTTGATAAGTTAAGCTTAAATAAAGGCAATGTTCCAGTATTAGGCTTATATTTTTTTCATGCACTATTAGAAATTAAAGTCTTAAGATGCCAATGATTTGTAAATTAAAGATTATAAATTTGGTGCTAGAAATGCAAATATATTAAATATATACACTGTTTGGTATAGAATGCCTTTAGCAAAGATCTAGTAGACCAGTTGTTACAAACATGGTTGATTATATTATATCGTGTGACAGCTGATCTCCAACATCTTGTTTCACTCACCCCTTTACCCACCCAGCACAGCAAATCGATGACCTCTGTGTCAATTGTCATCCGTGTGCAGTTTATTGTCGTAAGTCAGATAGTCAATTTTGTTTTTATGTGTTATTCTCTTCTGTAGCAAGCGTCTTTGCTTGATTGGTATATTGTTCAGCTGTTGTACGCCGTTATTCTTTTATTTGTTTATTGCACCCTTGGGCTCAAAGTTTTCGTGCCCTTACACGCTACTAGTGATTAGGCCCAGACCATCACTAAATATCTTCATTGTCATAGTCGCTTTTTCGCCGTCTGTTCTCATCTGCCATTACATGCCTGGATCTATACTCTGACTTGTCATACTCAGATGTTCGACACCATTACCACAAGATCTCATACAGTCTACTCATTACCATCAACAACTTTATCTGTTCAGCAGAGTTTTATATTATTTTTAATGTTATTTATTGTTTGTTTTAATTGAGATGAACTATTTTGTTTTATGCCGCTTCTCTGGCCATTATTATTTAAAGGCCCCCATTACCTCTTAAATTTGAAAATAATATCTGAAGAATTTCTAATATATGTGGTTATTTGTTATGTAATTATTGTCTACTCTCATTACTTATTGGATGTACAGTTAGCCGTCATCCCACAGATGACCTATTCCCGCTTCAATAATAGCGATTTAAACAAGCTTAAGGTAAAATGGCATTCTAGTGTGGTGCACAACTAGACGTCCTACAGTCTAGCTGCCTTGTACAAAACTTATACATAGTAATTTTAATATCATGAATCACTTAATAAATCAAAAATTAAAAGTAATATTGATTATAGGTACAACCTTTTGCACACACCTATGTTTCCAACAAGAATTTAGATTTAGAAACTGCATATTGTAATTACTGTTATCTGTTATAAATTTATTTATTTGATTTGAAATTATATTTCAACCCATTTTCTTAAACCAAATTACTCTATTAGTTTAAGTTTTTATATAAATATAATTAATTTTTATAATTTTAGTAATATAATATATTAAAATCTATACTGTTATTTAATATATAATGTGTTTTCTTACAGGAATTAAGTGTCCTGTTTGTTCAAAATTTGTATTGCCGGATGAGATTGAAATACATCTTGTCATGTGTCTGACAAAACCTAGACTGATATACAATGGTAATATATTACATACTTACAATTTAATGCCACTAAGGGTTTTTTTTTTAAATAATTCTTTTATTATTATATTTTAGAAGACGTTTTAAAAGATGATAAAGGCGAATGTGTAATATGTTTGGAAGAACTTACTCAAGGAGATACAATTGCTAGGCTTCCATGCCTCTGCATATATCACAAAACGTAATTAAATAAAATTATTATTTTTCAATTAGATTTCATAGTAATACTTTATATTATGGTTAAGTTACTCTTAGTAACTCTTATTTTTGTTTACAAAAATTTTATATTAATTCAAAATACTTACCAAATAAAATTAAAAAAAAGTAATTTTATAAATACTAAGCTATTTTATTTTAGATTAGGAGAATTTTTTCAATATTTCTAACTTTCTTTTTTTATAGTTATTTCTTAGTTATTATCACTTATAAAAAGACAGACATGGGTCTCTTTATTTTTATCATTATGCATCACTCTTCCTCCCACCCAAGTATAAAAATGCTCATGAAATACTGTTTTAAAAATTGTTATGGATCCGCTTTTTTCTTAGTTTTTTAATTTTTTTAATATTTAAACTTGTAAAATATGTATGTTGTTATTTAAAAAGTAAATTTGGTATTCTTATAAAAGATAAGGAATGGGTCTAAAAAATATTTAACATATTTTAAATAGAGAAATAAATACTATTTAAATAAGCAGAAAAAAAATAGTTTCTTAAAATTATTTAAAAAAAAAATCTAGTAATGAATAAAAGATCAATCATCCTATATCTTAGTAATTATTACTTCTTGTATAGTTTAAGATTTACTTAATTCATCTTGTTAGACATTTTATCCTCCAAAAAATTTTAGTTTGGTACCTCTGTTAGCATATATAAGTGACTACTAAGAGAACTAATTGTATATTTAGATTTATGTATTTAAAAACTGTAAAGTTAATTCATAAAAAGTTTTAAAAATCTTTTTAATTAGTCAGGTGTATTATTTAAATATTTTAAGTTATTACATTAAATAATTTTAAAAAAGTTGCGAATTTTATTTTTAAATAATAATTCACTGTCTCAAAAAAATAAAAAATTTCAGCTGTATTGATCGATGGTTTGATGTAAATAGATCATGCCCAGAACACCCAGGAGATTAATCTTTGGAAAGAACTTCTTTGAACAAAGCTGAATTTTAAGTTTTAATTTGTAACGATTACCATGTTATAAAATACTGAAATAGTATCAATTTTAAGATTTAAATTATATAATAAGCTCGAAAATGGTTATCACTCTCAAGTCTCTCCTTTTAAAAATTGGTTTATTGATGCTAGTATCAAATATGAATAGTTCACACTCAATCAATCAATCAGTTTACAAATTTTATTCATTGAACCTAATAACATTCAAATTTTATGAAGGTGTAATTCAATCAACTCTTGTTTTTTTTACTTTTATTTCTATTGTCTTATAAATTTTATGAAAACTTTATTAGTATAAACTTCCGCAATATATTATAAAAGTATCAAAAATAATTATATAGTTATATGTTTGACATGTTACAAAATAATTACAGTTGTACATATCATTTTTATTTACCTGCTTATATGTGAAATATTTTTTATTTTCTTGTTAATTTTTAAATTTTATAATAAACAGATATTAAATTGTATACTTTCTTCCTTAAAAGTGATAATATTGAAATTTAATTTTTGTTTATGTCTTTTATTTAACTAAAATAAAACATGTCTTGTATTAATGAAATTTCAATTTATGCACTTATTGATACTATTAATAATTTTACCAAACGTTTATTTAAATATTTCTTAAAATTATTTTGTCCATTGTTTGTTAGTTAATTTTCGTCTTATCTTAAACAGAGATAGACTCAATGTTTTGTTTATATAAAAACATGATTTGATACATTGTAACTTGTTTTGTTTTGTTTTATAAATTATTGTTAATTTTTTTTATACATAATATAAATTTTATAAACTCAAAGAAAATGTATTCTGAAATATTATTTCTTATTATTATTATTATTTTTTTTTTTTGAAAGTCTCTAGAGTCATTGTGCATTTATTGGTGGTCATGATATTAATCTTGTACTAAGTATACATGTACTTTGTTAATTTGAGGTTCATTGAAACATTTTGTTGCTCTTATACAGATCAAAGTTTTTAACGAAAGTTTAAATTTACCTTGCTTCTCTTATGATGCTCAATTTTCTCTAATTGATATTATACGAGTTTATGTCATTAAAATATTGCAACACTTGCATACCACAAAATAAAAAAGACTTATATTTTTCGAAAAGTTTAAGTATGTGAGTTTTAATGTTTGCACAAATTGAAATAGTTTTAACATACAAAATAAGGTTAATATTTGTTTTTAATTAATTTTTAAGTGTAAAATAGTATATATAATAAACTGTAAGAAACAATTTTAATTTACTGTAATAATAGTTTAAAAATTGACATGTGCAAGACCCATTCTAATCTGTTGTATTGTGATATATATCTTAAATATAATGTATTATAATATATTTGTAAGATAAAAATAAATATAACATCATTTATAAGTTCATCATTTTTTTTAGCTTCGATGCGAAGTTTTTCCTTATAGAAATTATAATAATACTCAGATTTTTATACTTCTTTTTTAAAAATAGCATGATAGTAAGAGTATAGGATTTTTATTAAGGATAAATAAATAGAGAAAAATTGTTTAATTATGTATAGAACTTATAAAAAACATATATATTTTTAATTTTTAATATTTGGGTGTTTACGCTTAAATACTATGTTTCAATAAAATCAAGATGTAATTATAATGATAAATTATTATAAAATTTTTAATTAAATGTTTAACAGTTAAAAATGATCACAATCTATGTTCATGGCTCTCAGTTGGTCACTTATTTACTAATTTTATATAAGGACTTTTTATGTTTATTGAAAACATGGGAGTAGCTTAAAAACATTTCCTAAGGGACTTCACATCTTCTGTACAAACTACACTAATGATTGGATGAATATTGATGCTAACACTCGAGATTGATGACCGGTTATAGAAAGAGTACCGGAAACTAAAAAAGGCTTAGAACTATTTCTAAATAGGATTAGATCAAGTGACCTAAGTCGTCATAGAGACAAACATTATCACTAGGCCACCGTGCTTTTGTGATATATATGAGCGGCTGAGGGAAACAGGCTACAGTCTCAATGCATAAAAAATGTTTTTGTTTCTCGTACAATCTAAATAAAAATATAACTTGAACAAGGACTTACCTTCATAGTGAGGGCTCCCTTACATCACGTTCAAGATAAAAGTTGAGAAAGTAATTAGATTCATTTAAAACTATTATAGTGGCTACAACAATTAAAAAATCCTCCGCAAATTATCAGAAACTTCACGAATACAAGTCAGTGAACTATTTAATAAATATTAGTTAGGATAATAGGATAATATACTCTAATATTTGTACTTTCAGATAATTTCAAATTTTTATTTATACACAAATCACAATTACAAGGGTGATGTTTGATAACAAAATTAATTTTATTTTAAATATATGGATTGATTTTTCCTATTGTTACAAATAGTAATTGTAAAAAACATATTTTTGAGTATACTAAAAATTTATAAAAATGCCTATTGGCATATCATAAATTTGAGTATTAAATTTTAATGTAGTTTAAATATTTGTTAAAAGTTGAATTAAATCTCCCCTTTTGTTACTGCTTTTTTTATGAAAAAACTTTTTTAACGAATCTACCTTTTCTAAAAAAAAAAACTGAATTTAGAAAAGCGTAGTGGGGTATCTTATGAGATTAATAGAGCTAAGGCGCTTTTTATTGTCAGGCTAAATCAGTATTTAAATTTAAAAATGATCTCAAAAAGATTATTCAATTTTTTTTAGGATCAGATCCCCAATTTAGTAAATCCTGAGTATGCTGCTGACAATGATTTATCATAATTTTAGTATCTTGACTAAAATTACAATTACCCGGTGGTCTTTTCTTATTACACTAAATTACTGTAAACTTAGCGCAATTAAAATAAAAATAAAGTTACTCTAACAATTATTTTGTCACTGAGTACAAAATATTTTCATGATTCTTTTTCTAATTTGATTTTAAGGCTAAAATGTAACTATAATTTTTAAGCTATATATTTAAAATTCGCAGAATTTCCAGAATATTTTTAAAACTTAAGTTAAAAAAAAAAACCCAGCACAGGGGGGTCGCGGCACAGTGGTGACGTAGCATAGTTGGATCAAGTATAATGATATCTTACAGTGATTAAAATCACTATAAAAAAAAAACGCTTCGATGCAAATCTTTAGATAGTGTTTAATTTTAAAAAATTGGTGGATTATTCCAAAAGCTTCATAAACTGCTAGTTCCTTATTAATATCCTGATTAAGATAAAGTATGTCGAATGAAAAAGGGATTATTAAAAAATAGTATTTCCCATAAAAAAATTATATTGATCAATACACTTTTCAATAAGTTATAGCATTATAAAGTTAAAAATGTAAAAAATAAAATTGAGAATTTTCACACAATAATAGCCATTTGGTAGCCATTTTCACCGTGAAGACAAAATAAAGTCCAAAATTTTTTTTTACATAAAGTAGGTTACATTAGCTTTAATTTAAGATATATATATATAAGTGTCAGTTTTTCCGGAACACTTTCAAAATTTAAGTTGAAAAAGTCAATTTTTTGTGAAAAAGTTGTCATTTTGAATCCCCCCCTGTAGGCAGGTAAAAAGTCAGATTTATAAAAAAAATATACCAAATGATAGGTAAAGACATCATGCATCTACAAAAAAAAGAATTATATTGATCCATACATCTTTCGAGAAGTTATAGCATTATAAAGTTAAAAATATAAAAAAGAATTTTTTTACAAAAATCGTATTTTTTTTATTAAGTTTAATGTCTGTTTTCACCATGAAGATAAAATAAAGTCCGAAATTTTTTTTTACCATAATAAAGTATATTACATTAGCTTTAATTTAAGATATATATAAAAGTGTCAGACCTTCCGGAACACTTTCAAAAGTTACGTTGAAAAAGTTCTACTTTCTATATGCATTTTTATGTTTTGAATCCCCCCTGTATTTAGGGAAATGGTCCGATTTAAAAAAACAGTATGTCGAATGAAAGATCTATATAAATACTACTTCTCATAAAAAAATTGTAATGATCCATACATTTTTCAAAAAGTTATAGCATAATAAAGTTAAAAATGTAAAATACAAAATCGAAAATTTTCACACAAAAATAGCATTCGGTAGCCATTTTCACCATGAAGATAAAATAAAGTCCGAAATTTTTTTTTTTCATAATAAAGTATATTACATTAGCTTTAATTTAAGATATATATAAAAGTGTCAGACCTTCCGGAACATTTTCAAAAGTTAAGTTGAAAAAGTTAATTTTTTGTGAAAAAGTTGTCATTTTAAATCCCCCCTTGTGGGCAGGTTAAGGGTTAAATTTATGAAAAAAATATACCAAATGAAAGGTAATGATATTATAAATCTATAAAAAAAAATTATATTGATATGTTGATCTTTTGACGTATCATTGAAAGAAATCGGTTCGGTGAGAGCTGAGAAAAAGTGGTAACAGACAAAAAAAAAAAAAACACATCTTAGTAAAACCAATACCTTCTCAGCTTCGCATCGAAGCTAAAAATTCTACTTTTTATATGTATGATTTATGCGTTTTGAACATAATGCGTCTTATATGAAGGATAATAGTTTGATATTTTAAAAAAGTATGTTGGATGGAAGTGATATGTATAAAATATTTGTGTAATAACAATTGTATTAAAATTTGTATATAAATATGTAGTGTATAATTTACACGATATTATTTAACTATGCATCAAGTGAAATATATTATAATTAATGTGTTAAAGTACTCTATAGTCTAGCGAAGGGATTGAAAGAATAATTCTACCGTAAAATATCTGACAAAACTGATTACTACAATTCAGTTGTAGTAACCACACATTATTTAAGATTAATAAAGTTTTGTCATGTCCTTATTTAATAAGAAACAACGATAAATTAAGTTTAATTCTATATTAGTGGTGTTTATTTAATAATAGGGTGTGCCATTATTTTTATTTGTTTATTCGCCAATATTTATTTTTATTTATTATTCGTTACATGATAATTTTTAAATCAGAGATTATTTTAATCAACAAACTAAGAGACAAAAAGTCACCTACTAAAAAATCGTCGTCTAACATTTGATATATTTAGCATCTAAGTAACATTTTAACTCAGATTAATAACATTTAAAAAAAAAAAATGTTTAATATATTTAAATCTCAATTGTAAAAAATGCTTCGATGCAAATTTGTAAATTGTGCATAATTTTTTAAACACTATTTTTTTTAAATTAATTATTGTTCTTGTTTCTATGTTATTTAGTTTTATAAGTAAAAAATAATTTATATAAATAATAATAATCAGTAATTAAATATATTTAACATGTACTAAATAATTTAATTTCAAATAATTTTAATTGTGCATAAAAAAATTTTATATCCAACTGTTAGTGGATATAACATTTTCCAGGTAAAGTACGATTACGGTGAAAAGTACGTATTTTAAACGTTGAATCCGCTATTTTGATATGCGACTTGCACATATTTAGATAAAGACCGTACGTAAAATGTTAATTTTACCTAATTTTAAAAAACATAGATTTGTTCGAAACATTGTGCCAGATGGCATTATAGATGATTATATATTTTATACTATAGCACTTGAGAGTAATACAGCAGATGGCTTAACGCGGCGGCGATGTCGCCGTCAATTACATTAATTGTTAATATACCAGTTTTAAGCTGAGCTTGACCGTTATTCGTATAGTGAATAATAAATCAGTATTTTTTATCGACAATATATAATAATAATAATGACGACAGTTCAAGTTTTC